CTCGCGGAACTGTTCGCGACGTAGGCGCCTACCCTCGTGTGAGTTTGGTGGGAACGGGAGAGTTAGCGCTGGAGTCGGCGGGCGTAGTTCTTTGCCACGGCGTTTACCGTACGGGACGGTCTCGACAGGGTCGTTGGCATTGCCGGAGGCAGGCGCGTAGCCGGCAGAGTGCTTGTACCGTTGGAAAATGGAGTGAGGGGGACGAGCGGGCAAATCCTTTGGCACTAGAAATTACGCAGAAATGAACGCGTGAGCGCTCCGTCTGCCACTAGCACGCAACGAGACTTACTCGTAAACTGCGTGGATAAACTTTGTTTAAACTAGGTGAAGGGGACCAAGGTTTCCCGAGGGGTCTTCTTCAGCAATGAGACTAGTAAAGTGGGGGTAGAGTGGTCGTGAGGCCGGGGCTCATAACCTGTGAAGGTGCGACTGAACTCTTGCTTTATTCTGTGCTACAGGGCCAGTATATATACATGTGAGTCAGGACCTCTGATACCGCTATAAGACCTATGGTACTGTGAGCGTAAGCATGTATACTAAGCATGAGTCATCAGATGTCGTATTACTACAAGATAATAGAGAGGTCATGTGATGATATCCCCATTAGTCCGTACAGGGCAATGACGTAATCACCCAGTTCTGACACCCAGTGCGTGAATCATGCTCATGATGCACTTACCTGCTGCACGAGATTCTCATTCAGCCGGTCCTGCAGTCTCTCTGTTGCGCTATCTCCACCTTTTAAGACCAGCTCCGACTGCCCATGGTCCAGGGACTCTCCAATGTTTCCAAGAAAATCAGAGGGAATTCTGAAATCCACAGAGAAGCGAGAAAAGTGCTGCGCATCTGAGTTACTGCTTCTTCCTGTGGCGTGGTTGAGCTGGTGGAGATTGAGAATAAAGCGTTGTGTCATTATGAGAGGCTGTACATAATAGTATTTGGTCAGTGGGTGTGTTTCTCTTCATAATATATGAGAATTTTACCATTGACTGGAGAAGAATAAATGCATATGGGCCCTGCAGCTATGAAATCGAACTTTTCTGGAGTAGAGATGAATATGGCCACTCACAAAAAAATTGGAATTGTCATTATATGTTAGGTGCTGCACGATGTTTATGCCTAGGAGGGGGCTTGAGGATTATATGTTAGAGGGTACCGTTGAACTATTTCAGGTCCTTTAGCCTACAAAAAATAAACTGTGCCTGTAACAACATCTCATGAGCTACATTGTAAGGAAGTCAAAAAGAAAATGATGCTTGCCATCTCGAACCAGTACAGCAGAAATGGACGAACTGAGCCCAAGCCGTCGCATCTCTTGGAACTGCCCAAATGATTTTAGCCATGTCACCACCAGAACAACGAGATCGGCAGCAATTGCACTGCCTCTTGTAAGGAAGAGCACTGCATGCATGTAAATGACATGAATGCACTAGTATAGACATGAATATGAAAGACATACACCTGAGAACAGTTATCAGCATACAACAGAGTCCTGTTAAATCCTGTAACTCACGTTGTGGTAAGCTTTGAATAATAGTTTAACACATTGCTACAGCTTGGACCTATCAGGGGAATGTTCTGATACACATATGTGTCGTGTATCCAGTTAAGCTAACGGAAACTTAATATAGACAATTAACAGCTGCGTGATAAAAGGAATGCGGCGCACAATGTTTGTCACCAAGGGAACCACTCCAAGTATGAAAACAATGGCAGAGAAGGGATATTTCATCCTTGACCCTTGCCAGAGTGCATATACACGCAGAGCCGAGAATACTACTCACAAGATATGTCATAGAAGTTAATGGAACAATTGGCAAATGGCAAGTGTGCTCACATGAGACCAAAATAAAACCTGCCGCCCATGATAGTTCACCCAATATGAGTGACAGCTTGCACCTTATGACAAGTGCGAGAGTTTATCAGAAATTGTTCTGTGAAAGAGAGAGGGATGCGCCTAGAGAGATAGTACAGTGGGGTCAGACTGGTTAACATAGCTATCTCTCAAGTTGAGCAACATAAACAGCCTCACACGTAGTTGGTGTCACCGGGACAATCGTCAAAAGCGCATCCAAAAGCATGCACCACCTTGTGGTAAGTAGCAGCAGCGAGGCAGCTGTAAACTTCCTCCTCCACACGACAGAGATTTCTTGATCAAATGTTATGATATATTCGTAGATTTGAAAGCCTGGTAGAGGAGCAGTATGTTTGGCCGGTGTTCGTGGAGTTTAGCAATGTCACAACTTACAGCTAAGCGACGTTTGAATACAGAATTGTGTTCGACTAAATACATGCGAAAGGTGTCAGCCGCGGGGTGAAAATTTCAAGGGAGAAGAGAGAAGAGCCATACATTTGTTGAAGTTCTTGCTGGTCCAGTGTGTTGTTGTATGGCTGAGCCATGTCGCTCGTGGTTCAGAGAATGCGCAGGCAGATTGGAGCAGAGCAGTGAGCCACTCTGTGACCAATTTGTACTACAGCGTGTCCGCACTCCAGCGCAGTCTATATAAAGATCGGATCTCCGCACCAGCTCAGTTGACCGTTGCTGATAATTGAGATAGTAGAACACAAAGGAAGGGTCATGCGCTGAATAATGCATCCTATGGACTCAGATATCCTAGCTACCTTGATAGATGAATAGGCGTGAGCATCGCAGATGGGCTGTCCAAACTCCGCAGAAAGGGCAACTGGAACACCGCCTAGTTTTGAATCCACTGGAGCCGTTGCACAATACCTCAACTAACTCAATCATCTAGCTTGCGGCCGTGCTATCTCCCTCGATGTCTAGTAGATGATCACGGACAAAAGTAGGAAGGTATGCAGGCGAACTTGAATTCGGTGTCTAACTACTAAGTGGAATCATCACGAGTTGGCGCCATTTCCCCCTCTGTCCCACCAGTTTCTCATGATATTTCAACCTCATTGCCTCAGTAATGACATTAATGCTCGATTAGGCGACTTCTGTTCCCCGTACCACGCACGTCACTACTGCTTGGTTTACGAAGTACTCGTAACATGGCCGAGTTTGACCGTTGCTGTGCGCGATGAGACAGACTCGGCCAGCCATGTCCGATGCTGCGATGAGAGAGCCGCATGGAGAGCTATAATTGCGTTGTATTTGGGCCGTCGGGTAGCTCTGGCATTTTGGAACGACGATAAGAACGCAGCGAAGCGCTTCAGAGGGTATTTGCAGTCGGTTGAGTTAAGTGAAGTTATCAATAATAACCATTTTTGGACCCTTCAAACGATGGCAACAGCAACGACGCTTAAGTGAACGTGAGCTCACACATTCTTTGTGCCGCCGGTGTATCGACACTGCTCGGCGCCACTATGAAACCCACATAATGTACAATGCACCGCATGAGGCCGTCGTACCTGTTAACTTGTTCGCCTGAGTTGTATACTTAGCGCAAGTAAATACGGTGCAAATTTGTCACGCTGCGAAGGGCACTGTAACCATGGGCATCTTCATGAAGCTGTATATTCGTCAAGTTAAGAAGGACTAGTGCTGATCACGAAGACACTGCCAGTGCACATCAGACGCTATGGCAACACAAATATCTGATATTGCAGGATATAGAACTAATGTCTTTGACTGCTTAAATGTTGCATAGGTGGTTGATGCTGCAAGAGCTCACTAGGTAAGTAGCTCAGTTTGCAGATCCGAAATTCCTCGGGGAACAAACAAAGCCGCCGAGAACGACTCTGCACAAATGCAATCAAGTGCCATTAGTCAAGCAGCAATATCGATGCTGCCGCAGTTCGACACTCTAGTTCAAGTTCTTCTGCGAGATTCCATATCATTGAAGCCGTCTGAGAGCGGCTTCACGTGCAGAGAGCCGGCTCGCAGGATGGCCGTGCTCTAAGCTACGATATGGCCACTTAATCCATATACAATACAATCAGTATGTTACATAACACCCAGAAGACAGAGATTCTCACACTAAGAGGAGGAAAAGCTTTTGCGCATACGAGAGATTGAGCTCTTGCTACTGGCGGCTAACCAAGCTGCGCGGACGGGGTCTGAAAATGGGGAGAGCTGTTCTCGGAGATTACCGCGCCACAAAGTGATGAATCACGTGCTTCTTGCAGAGCGCGACCGACCGGATCCACACTCCCATGTCCAAAGGCGGCCGATGCCTCCACGGCGGTCCGAGCACCTTATTCTTGTTGCACAGCTGAGGAGATCCTTGCCCGGCACGGACACTGGCGTCTTGGCGCCCCGCTGAGGTCACGACTCACGAGGGCTGGCCGAGATTGGATGGACGCCCTTTGGGCCGTAGTCTTCTTCGATGTCAGGTCCAGTGTGACCATGTCAGACGTTCGCATCCATGCCAGCAGAGCCTATCCAGAATTCAGCAGAGATTGACGTTGCTTGGTATCCAAACATCAGCTTCGTGATGGCTAGGCCAGGCTGGTGCTTTATAAAACTCGCCCGGTTCGATCTCGCTTTTAGACTCGCCTTTCGACCCACTTCGTCCTGAGCCCCCAAGCTTAAGCTGACGATGCTGCCCACACTTTGCCGGACTTCTGCTGCCAGCGCTCGGCGTGTTAGGCCGAGTGCCGTCCGAGCTCCAACATCGTAACGCGCTTCCCCATCAACATCAATTCGCACTCAGAGCGCCCTCGCTATCGCTCAACGTCTCCGGTTGCCCCGGTAAGTCTCTCATCATATGAAATGACAGAAAAACCTCATATGTTAAAGGCTATATCCTGAGCGCGCTGCAAGAGACAGCCACTGGGCTGGCCGCTCAGCTGAATCTGTCTAGCCCTGTTTGCAATGCGTTCGGGCAAGATATTGCAAATCTGACCCCGGAAGTTACCTATGATTCCAATATGAGATGAGGGATCCCTCTACTTCCTTCAATAGCTTGTGCCTACCCACATCAGGCTGAACATCTTCGACACTGCCGATTTCCAATTCACTATCCCATCTTTGGTAATTGAACTTCCAAGAAAGCCAACATCCATATACAAAAACAGTTCTGACCTCGTCTTCAACTATGAGCCCTCTCCGTTTGCGTTCTGGATTACCCGCTGCTCCGAGCTTGACGCGCAACCTCTGTTCGACCACTCGGATCTCGTCCCTTCCTCCCACGCATATTCCGCCGGTGATCTCGGCAGACAACTCCACTGCCCTCGATAGCTTCCCGCTCCTGTTCGAGGACCAATGTCTGCAGCTCACATCTGCACTCTCACTCGGGACAAACATCTACGGCCTGGGTGAGGTCTTTGCGAGCAGCGGGTTCCGCGGAGACGTCAGCACCGACGGTTGCGTGGCAACGATCCAGACGATGTGGGCGAGACATTTTTCCGATCACGTTGACCAGAACGTATGGGCTTTCTTCTTTGTTTGCAAAAGTTACGTGGCTGATTCGTCTCTAGAGCTATGACTCACATCTCATCTACCTCGAGCACCGCTACAACGCCACGACCAAGTGTTCGCAGACGCACGGTGTCTTTCTCTTCTCGCACGCCGTCCCCCTCTCCTAGTCGAAATCATAGACTCATCGCATCCACAGCACCGCCGGATCCGACATTATTCTCCTGACTCCGCCGCCGTCCAACGTTTCACTCGTCGAGTACCGGCTAATCGGCGGCACGCTCGACCTGTACTTTTTCTCCAGGCCGAGCCCACAGAAGGTCATCGAGTAGTACGGCGTGCTGGTCGGCCTGCCGAAGTGGCAGCTGGCGTGGGGATTCGGATTCCACCTGTGCCGCTGAGGCTAGTACTTCAGCTTGAACGAGACGCGCGAGCAGGTGCAGCGCATGCGCGATGCAGACATCCCACTCGAAGGTGCGTTACGCTTTTCTCTCTCGCTCATTGTGGCGTACGAAGGCTTACGAGATGGCCAAGTAATATGGAATAACATCAATCTGTACCACGCGATGAGGGACTTTATGGTGGACCCGGTGTCATTCTCGCCCGAAGGCTTGACGCAGCATGCGGACCATCGACCACACGTCGAAAGGAAGGAGCAGGAGCCGACGTTATCCCAACTGTGCGACCCACTGAACGTGAGAGTGAAGAGGACGACGCTGGTTTGTTCGCTATCCTGCGCGGAATGGCCATTGTACCTTCCCCGGCTGCAGATTAGGTGCGTATGTTGCTCCATGCCTGTCAGGGAGGCTATATATATATATATCGGTTACGCCACGAATTTATGGCCGTCAGTAAGTGCCAACTGTTGTTCTGCTCAACGCTGGCGTTAAAATTCAAGCGGACAGACACTTCTCACATCGCGCTTCAATGCTCGTGTTTAACACCCGCTCTAATTTCGGCACCGTTGTTTACATTCCTATTCAAGTTTTACCAATCACGAATGGCACAACGCGTTCCCAGAAGTGCGGCGGTACAGAGCCTTTTGCTTATACTTATACATACAAGCTCGGGATCTCAATGAGCAAGGCGCGCTGAGTCAGAAGCCGTACCGCTGGTACAGCGTTGCGAACGCGTCGAAGAATGTAATGGCAGTGCGTACGAGATGCTGCCATATTGGGTGCATAGTGTTGTTGTCGTACACGGGTGGCGTCGCCGGCGAGATGGTGGATGCAGTACACCCCGTTTGCGAATGCATTGAAGCTTGGGTCGTCCTCCGTCCTTGCCTTCTGTTACGAGTTCCCGGACGAGCACGAGCTGTTTGCGGTCGACAGGCAGTTCCTGGTCGGCCGCGATATCTTGGTTGCACCGGTGCTGACACCGAATGTCTCCACTGTTGAAGGTAAGCTATACTCGTAGAGTCGCAGAGTACCACCAGACTCACCGCGAGCGCTCCAGGTGTCTTTCCTGGCCAGGGTCTCGTGACGTGGCGCGACTGATACGCGTGCGACACCGCCGACGCCGTGGTGAGCGTGAACACAACGCTCGCCATGCCACTTGTGCACATTCGCGACGGGCCCACGCTCCTGCCGCACACCACGCCCGGGTACACGATCACAGAGACGCTGCAGAGCTCGTACATGCTCCTCATTGTGCAGGCCGCTGACGGCTACGCGCTCGGCACGGCCTGCTTCGACGACGGCGAGAGCATCCCGCCGACGCCGCACCGCGACGCGCAGTTCCACGTCGAGACGGGTCAGGTCAGAATCGAGAGCAGCGGGACGTTTGGCGTGGGGCCGAAGCTGTTGAAAATGCAGGCTCCATCGTGGGCTACATCGTCGAAAGGAGGGCAAACGCGCAAGCATTCGCAGTCTATTCGGCGGGTATTTATATACACTCACGAGACAAATTAAGATATCTTTTCGGCTAAAAGAGGCGTGAAAAGAGCTTAACAAAATTTTCCGAAAATAGCCTTACCCTTTCAGTAGAAAAAGATGCAAGAATCTTCAACGGAAATAGTACCAAGAGAAAGGGCACCATTTTTGGAAATATCTCTTAGCAAAAAAGTCGTATATTTGTGATGCAAAGAGAAAATTTTGTGCCTATCTCGGTGAAAAATAAATGCCCTAGGTTCATCTGTGAGCAGTGTGGATATTTTCATTACTCTCTGCACCACATATATATGGCCTTTTCACTAAGAAACATTTCTAAAAATTGTGCTCCTTCTTTTGGTACTATTTCTGCTGATAGTTTCTCGCATCTTTTCCACCGAAAGGGTCGGCCTTTTCTTGGAAAATATTGTTAAGCTCTTTTCACGCCTCTTTTAGCCGAAAAGACATCTTGATTTGTCTCGTGACTACGAATGTCTCAGGTACGAACGTGGGCGCAATATAAGATAAATACAAGTAAACAATGTGCGCACGAGGCGCCAGTGAACACGAGCTCGAAATACGATCCACAAATCTAACAGAAGCTGAAAAGCGTGACCGTTCTCGGGACGGCGCTAGTGGTTGAGGGTCCGGTCCGGTCCAGTCTTTTTTAAAAATTGGGTAGGACCAGGACTCAGACTGGTCAAGGACCAGCATCTGTTTGTGCAGGACCGGACCAAGACTGGGTCCTGGTCCTGTACAGTCCTCCGTGCAGTCCTGGACCAGTCATAACCAGTCTAGGACCAAATGCGGTCTTAGACCGATTCAGACCAGCTCAGACCAGTCCTACCCTGATAAATATGACACAAATAAACAAATTTTGATTTTGAACTGCATGTACAGGTAGACTAGCAGTATACTAAGCTAATTTCTGGACAAATCAGTTTTGAGACCACACTACTCAGCCTAATGAGTCAAAGAGAAGACAGTGTGTGAGTCTCAAGAAGGCCAGAAGAGTGTACCAGATGCCTATCTCAGAAGTGCTATATACCATTCATGCATTGCCAGACTGTCTTTATGTACTGTAAGGCATCACAGAAATACTGTTGCATAGAGTCTGATATTGAGGGAGTGTTTGACATGGCTGAATATTTGATGAACTCAAAGGCAGGAGCTCAAAAAAATAGCCACAGCTGTGGTCTGTGTTGTTAAGGTTCAAGAGAGGTATTTGGCAGGTAGACAGCTACTTCACGTTATGTCATACATATGAATGAAAGACAATATTGTATATGGGCAAATATAGGTAAACAATGTGTGCACAAGGCACTGGTGAACACTGTACACTTAAAAATCAAAACAAATATTCAGCTAGTGATATGCAGGCACAGCTTGAGCTTAAAGCCCAGGATTGGGCCCATGGCAATGTTGGGCTGAGTCCTGACCCCAAGCCTGAGCCTGAGCCTGAGCCCAGCCCAAGTTGCCAAGCTTAGGATAAGTTCACACTAGCAGAGACTGTCCACTGACTCAAGCCTGGCCTTGAGCCCACTGCCAGGCCAGGCTCAGGTCAGGCTTTTTTGGGCTGGGCTTGCAAGCTTTGAGCCAAGGCTGCACATTACTATATTCAGCAAAGAAAACAATGCTCTGCTCACACGGCTGGATTCTAAATAGAGAAGAAGGGTATCATGCACCACTTTCATCATTCTCAGCATTTTTGTATAAAACCTCCATATCCTTGAGAGCCTTGTTATCTCTACACTCAGGCTCCATGTTCCCATGGTCATGGCTTTAGCTGATTATGTGCAGTAACCGCATCCAAACTTGAATAAATCATAAAAAGAGTTTTAAAAAATGTATTAATCTGTGCTTAAGCTGGCTGTGTACTTGGACAAGCCTACAAGGGCATGGTTGCAGTTCAGAAATTACTAAGATATACATGTACCAGTAGCCAAGCTGCTTTCTGGGTGCTGCATTTTTGTTACTTTATATTGGTCTGTGACTGGTCCTGACTGGTCATGACCAGTCCTAAAAGCACCCAGCGCCATCTAGGGCCAAGGACTGTGACCAAGACTGGACTGACGTAGGACTGGACCATACCCAGTCCTGATCAGTCCAGTCTCAGTCCAAGTCCCGGTCCCGACCGGTCCTTAGGACCGGACCCTCAACCACTAGACGGCGCAGCCCGCGGCGGCGACAGTCAATGGAGAGGCGGTGCAGAATTGGCAGTACCTCGCAGCATAACAGAAGCTGGTTGTAGGAGATAAAGCCCACACAACCACCTGCCTTTTGCGGAAGGGCCCGAAAGCTCGGCGCGCCCGTGGCATGTGATGTAAGCGCTGTGCTCAGTCATACATCCTGAGTAAGCCGCGTCCTCGCTCAGCCTCTAAGTGTCGCACCGCCGCTGCGTCTCGATAACCAGCACAAGTAAGACAGGAGTTTGTATAGTAAATCACAATAGCCACAAGTTGATATGAATGTAATGCATAAATAAGTCTTAAATGTATCTGAATACTGAATAAAGTCCTGGTAAAGCACATATAAATTGCCTACTGATGTAGCTAAGTTAGTACACGCTGTAAGACTGCTTTCTCTTCTGCTTCTTCTCTGGTGACGCATCAATAATGTCTGTCCGCCAGCATTTAGAGTGGTAGTAGGGCTCCGGGGGTGTAGAGGGGCGCAGAGAGACAGTAGCCGCCAAGTTTCGTGGGCCTTGTGAGCCGGAGGGACCGTTATCAATGTGAACGTCGCCAGGAGACGAAGGATCAAGGAGAAGCTGTCCAAGTCTGGATGATAGCTTGTCTACGCTGGCCTTGAGTGAACGAATGCGCTGGGCATCATCAGCGTTCCTGATTTTGCCGGTAGCAAGGTACTCGGCCAGCAAGCCAAGCTTTGGAGCGACCGTCTCAAGCTCGTGAAGTGCGCGGGACGTCCTCTGCTCGTGCACGGCTGCTCTAGAGCTTGTCATGAGTGTGGTGAAATCAAAAGGGGAACCAGATGCTTCTGTTGCCACGCTTTCACCATTTGAACTCGGGTCTTCTCCTAAAAGGCCATCCTCCGTGTCCTCATCGCTCTCTTTGCCCTCTTTGCCCTCCTTGCCCTCAGCCTCTACATCCTCTCCTTCCTCTGGTATCCCATCTTGCATAGCATCTTGTACAGCATTAGCTGCACACTGTATATAGCGAGGTGGTTCAGCAACATCGGCTTGCAGACTGCGGAGCGCCAGCGGGATGGCGCCAGCGCTCACCAACAATTCAGCCCCAAGCTTGCGAGCTTCGTCCTCCGAGCTGGGAAGTGAGACAGCAGGGACATTCATTGTGTGCCGTAAGCTATCGAGGACAAGGAGCGCAGCGCGCATGTGCTTGCAGACACCACCACGGTTCAGGAAGTCCTGGCAAGAACACAAACCAGTGTGATGCACACTGAGCTCTATGCGGTATGTTATGGGTTCTTTGTCATACGGAGTTGTAAGGGAGGAGTAGCATGCAAAAGCAAAAGTAAGGGTGGTTTCTTCAAAGGAAGGAGTGCTGATTTGCTTGTTCTGCAGAAGCAATGCCGTGCCTGCGTCGCGCGATTCGTCTGAAGTGATGTATGCCACAGGTGGCAGCAATTGCCCAGCCTTCGCTCCTTTCTTCTGCGCAAGCAAGGCGGCACCTCCTGGTAGCTGCAACAGTTGCCTCTCCCATAGTATGTTCTGCTGCTGCTCAAGCTCACGTTGTTGAAAGATAGCAGGTAGAACCTTGGTGATCGTGATGCTGGTGAATACGTCCACACGAAGGGCGCGGCCATAGTGCTGCCATCGTTTAACGTGCTTGTTCTTGAAGACGCCGTTAAACGACTCAAGGTGATTGGTTGTTGGAAGGACGCCTTCAATCGTGCAGCCAAGACGAACAGCCGCCACGCACCGCCCAAAATCAGACCAGCTTTTCCACAGTGCCTCCGTCCCCCAGTAACTCTCAAGATAGTTCAGGTGTGCCATGGCGCCATGTATCAGAGCTAGACCCTGCAGCGCCTCCGTGTTGCCATTGAGCTCTTGTTGCATCTGGATGAGTACTTCACGGTGTTCCGCAATGAGACCAACAAATACGGCATGCTCAGTAGTATGAACAAGAAGCATCTCGAGCCTCTGCAGTCGGCTCTTGAGATCCTGAGCCAGAGGTGATGTACCCTTCAGCTCACGATTACGGTGGTTTTGAAAGGACTGGCGAAGGTGGAATTTACAGATGAGGAGCCATACATCATCGAAGACATTGAGAAGCGCGTTTCATTCCATAAGGTCTGTGTCTGTGATGGCAACATGAACAGTGAAGGGCTGCCTCTTCCGCGCAGTAACCGCTGACTTCCACTGCTCCAGAAGCTCTGTGAGAATTGCCGTGTCGTATCCGGCAGAAGTCTGCTTATTCTTTGTGGGAGCGGAGAAGAGAAGAAAGGCAAGAGGTACGCCCTTCCATTCTTCATCAACTGCCATCACAATGAACAGCAGAAGCTTGCGGTTACAGATCCCAAACGTTCTGTCGAGGATGATTTGTGAACAGTGAGCATACTGCCAGGCGGCATCTAGCATCTGCGGTGTGGCAATGCACAGCTTGAGACGCTCCTCTCGTATGTGGCGAGGTGAGTAGTAAAACACTGCGTCGGCAATTGCACGGTCATACAGTGGTGAGCCATGCCGGATCCAATTGTCGATATTAATGTGGGACGGTGTTGACGTCTTGATTCCCTGCATGCGGTTGAACTGACGATAGATTGAACGGTTGTCTGATGCGCGCAAGAGCCACCGGTGCCCAGCGGAGAGCAAATCAACTCCGGCAAGGCTCTTATATCCTCGGGTGTGGAACATGGTACGGTTTCGCTCTTGGATCTCCGTGAGGTCTGCGCCTGACTTGAGCTGTTCTAGAGCAACCTCAAAGACTTCGGGATGGACAGGTTGAATGGGATACGAGGTGATGTGTGCATTCTTACACTTGTCGTTATGCTGCGGGTATCCATGAACTGACAGAATCTTGCTGCTTTCTGCTAGGTATGTGACTTCCATGTGAGCGAGGCAGTGGGTAAATGGCATTGGGTTTCGCCTTTTTTTGGCCCCAGCAGCTTTGTGGTCATAGCCACAATCACTACAAAGGTGTGTCGATGTAAATTTGAGTGAGGTGATGAAGAAATTAATGACGCACCATTGATACAGGATCCTGCGTTTTATGCGCCCTCCTTTACCTGTTGTATGTGTCCACTTAATACTCCATCGACTTCCTAACGCTTCCTTCGAGTCTTCGTCCAGGGCAAGGGACGCGAGCCAGGCAGCAGCAGCAGTCTGCTCATTCTCGGCCTCCAAGTACTCACGGCAGACTATTGGACTGTGAGGTTGCTCGGAGCTGTACAGTGCTCGGATGAGCCCTGTTTGTTCATCGTTGAGTATGAGGTGGCTCCAGTACACGCTCGACGCTTTCTCTCTTGCGGTGAGTGCGACCTTCTCCCGATTAGCTTCAGCAGCGCTGACTTCTACAAAGCGAGTCCGGATAGGATGTCGATTAGGTTTAGATGATGCTGTATTAAGCATAGATATGAGGTGCTGGCATTGGTCGAGGCAAGCAGACGGTTTTTCTCGCTGTCCGACGCAGTCAGGGGCCGTTGGGCAGCCTTGACTTGAGTATAAGCTGTTGTTACATTACGGTTTTGATTGACATAAGAGCTTTGTTTCATACAGTTACTTATGTAGTTTGTTACTATTACTATTGCGTTACAGATCACTGTCTTACTTGTGCTGGTTATCGAGACGCAGCGGCGGCGCGACACTTAGAGGCTGAGCGAGGACGCGGCTTACTCAGGATGTATGACTGAGCACAGCGCTTACATCACATGCCACGGGCGCGCCGAGCTTTCGGGCCCTTCCGCAAAAGGCAGGTGGTTGTGTGGGCTTTATCTCCCTGGTTGTAAGCGGGCTGGCGGTGGACTTGAATGCTCCGGCAACGGCAGTTGCGTGGCAGTAGCAAATTTCTCTGAAGAGACATTGATTTTGTTTGCGTTGTACTCTGAATGCCCAGTTATCATACTCGCTTGATCGCATCCTCAAGTCGGCGGCCCGATCAGTGTATTAGGTTCATAGTCGTTTCGGGAAGGACTTCGTGGCGCGGTGATGTCCGGCACTGCCCCTATCTGCCTCGCTACCGTCATCCGCACCTGCACCACGCCGTACAACCCCTTCTCGTACCAGATATCTCTCACCGGTAACGGCCAACCATGTCATTATTGAGACTGCGCCCAAGATTCCCCCGGCGTACAACGGCCGTGGTGAATGTAGAGTCAGTGAACGAGGCAGATGTCCAATCGTTCTCTTCGGTGCCCACGCCTCCGTGTGGAGGGGACCGCAGTGCGCCTGTCGAGTTAACAAGAGAAGATAGCCACGCTGGTGGGGGTTTAGCGTATCTATACATGTGCCATGTCTTACAATCGTCCCTTCTATAGGAGGCTCCAGCACCTCACCATTTCCTATCAACCGCCTCGCACCAGAGCTCCTCGCTGAAGTCTTCTACTGGTGCATCCTGCATGTCTGTGTCATACGTCTTGAAAACCGCATCCTCTTCCCCACCCCATACTCCTGGCTCACGATTCGCCACGTGTGCCGCGCCTGGCGCGAGATCGCTCTGGCGTTCCCGAAGCTCTCGACGCATATCTGGCTGACGCGCCCCGAGTGCGTCGCCGACATGCTTAGCAGGTCTGGCACCCTGCCGCTGCACATATACAGTGTAGAGCCCTGCCTGCTGGACATTGCCACCGTCGACGCCGAGAGGGAGGCGGAGCTGTTCGGGCTCGTGCTCCCGCAGTTCGCGCGCGTCGCCCACGCCAGCCTCGTGTTCGCTGCGCGGGCGGCCGACGACCGCTGGCCCGACCCGCGACATGTGCGCCGCGCGGTCTCTCGACTGGAGTCTCTGACTCTGCGCATATATTACAACTGGACGCCTCCCTTGCCGTTGTTCGCTGGCTACGAGTTTCCAGCGCTGCGGGAGCTGGAATGTGCAGGCACGAGCGCTGATGTGCTCCACCCTCTCATTGTCCCTGGGCTGTGCCGTCTACGGCTCTCCAGCTGCAATATACTGTTAGAAGAGCAGCTGCTTCCACTCCTCAGGCAGCTCGGTGCACTCGGGGAGCTGGAGTTGGAGAGGGCGGTGCGCCTCTCCGAAGAATCTCACCGGACGCTAGAGTCCGTCCTGTCGTCCTCTGACCCCCGCGACAAAATCTTGCTCCCTCGTTTGAAGAAGCTTTCCATCGTTGATATATGGGGAGATGCAGGATTCTGCCTCATGCATCGTCTCTCTTTTCCTCTTCCCGCGTACATTTCGATGCAGACACTGTGGGTGTCTAGTAACCTATCATCGTCTTGTCACGACTACGCAGACATCATCATTGCAACAATGGAAGGCATCACTTATAAGACGCTCTCGCTCTCCACGATACTTGGTACAGGGTTTGCGATCGATCTCTGGAACGACCGCCTGGCCGCTGACAGCCTCCCTCCGCAAAGGCACTCGGGCGGCACGGGACGCTTCAGCTTTTTGCTAGGTTGTCATCATAGTTTTTTCATGCAATGTCTCATCGACCGGCTTCCGCTCTCCCAAATCGAGTCTGCGCTCCTTGTCGAAAAGGCGGTCGGCTTTGCACATGGAGTATCCTGGGAGACTGTCCTTTCGTCCATGCCGGCCGTCGAGGACCTCGCGCTCCGATACGAGACGTTCGATCACCTCACGCCGAGCACCGAGCCGTACCACATCACAACTGCAGACACACGCACGCCGTGTCCGTCACTGAAGACGCTCCGGATACGCGAGTTTCACCGCAGGAGCTCGGTGATCCAGAGCCGCTCCCCCGACCTCGCTCATCTTAGCTGCCTTGCGCGCGGGTTGGCAGCGCGCCGGGACGACCCGTCTCTCGCCCTTTCTGGGCCTGTGGACGTTACCCAGCAAGTTGAGAATTTCCATGTGACGTATCCCTGCCTCCGTGGGGGCGGGCCCAACGAGGAGCGGCCGCCCAGCGGCGATGGAGTCGATGTGACCAATAATCCGCCATTGTCACCACTACCACTACCGCTACCGCCACTGCCACTGTCGCCGCCACCACCGCCGAGGATCCGCCTCAGGGTGCGCATCCTCGAGTGTACTTCGTGGATGTCCCGATTGTTTAAGCGACGCTAGCGCGCTTGCTACTTACCTTAGGTTTATCTATTCCTTCAAAGTGCTTCCAAGTTTACTTTCCTCGTCGTCCGCGGCACTCCATGAATCGTAGTGAATTTTAGTGAATCATAAGGCTTACAGTGCTATACGTCACGTCGGCCCAACGCTTATCGAAACTGCTTATACCTCAGACCTTCCATGACCATGTCTTAATGCATGCAGTCACTCAGCAGTTATGACCTACTGGATCCTAGGTTAGGTTTTAAGCCAAATTAAGATTCGCAGCGAAGTGGTGACGTCGTTGTTATCATGGGCCATTGTTGATGCTGTAGTACGGCAGATCGAGTTATAAGCCCGTGACTTGCAACTTCGGCGTTCGCCAACTTCCAGCGGTAACCACCGGTGTTCGCCGGTGGCCATTGGTGTTCGCCGGCGGTCCTTGCCATATACGGGTGCGTCACTGTGAGCGCTTGTGAACACCACCGTTCGTTGTCCACTGGAACCCATCGGAATACAGCAGCAACTGGTGAATATTGCTGTGTATCAGTGGCAAGTAGTGGGGTATGTTGGGATATACCAGTGTTCAGCATGTTATGCTGGCTGCCACTGGTATTTGGTCCGGTCGATTCACATGGCAGGTGGCAGACACCACCAAACACTGGTGACATCCACTGGCAGGCAGTGGCCACTATCCATCAGCATATGCTGTTTATTGTTAGTATGTCATTGAATAATAATTTTTGGCATTTTTCACTGGTCTTTGGGCAAAAGTGTGTGACATTGGGCCATGGTGTGTGACTTGCTTTCCAGGTTGGGCTAACTCTCATGAACAAATTGTTTTAAGACTAGTATCTGGCAGGTTTGGTCTCATGCTTTGTGCATAGATGGCTTATATTACACATATTCTCACTCAGAAAATATACATTTACCTGAGAATCACAACAACAAGGTTCATAGCTGTTGAAATATTAATGTGACTGCTGGCAGCCTGCCCCCACTGCCTGATAGCTCATTCCTGAGCTTATAGAAAGTTTATAAAAAATCTCAGGAGCCTCTAACCAGGTCTGTGTAGTTTAATATGCTTCAAAGAATTACTTGCAGCTGCTTCCACTTGGGGACACATCCGGCAATCAATTTTACACACCTTTTGCACTCAGACAGTGTACCGCGTAGAGACACTTCAGTGAGAGCTGAGTTCTGGGATAGTGCACAGTTCAGAGGAGAATAGGCATCTATACAGATGCCGGTGGCTAAGCATGTATTGAGCTTATTACAGAAAAATATTTGTATCTATATTGGTACTTGATAAGCCAGTGGCTTCAAGCAATGTTTGATGCAAATTGCTGGTGATGTGTGCCGGTAGCCGGTGGCAACCTGCGAAGCCCAGTGGGATCCGGTGTGTTTCACTGCCGCCCACTGTTACTCACTGATACCCACCAGCCAACAGCAGCAGCCACTGGAGACTAGCACTGGACTTCACTGGATACCAGTGGGTGCCAGTGAGTACACCCCATATTCAGTGGAATTTGGTGTAGTTGTCAGTCCCGGGCATATTACTGGGCAGATCCTGTAATTTACACGCTTTACTTATGTCCGCTTACCATAGCTTATATTTTAGACGCCTGTATAAGACACGAGAGCTTACATATTTTATCTACAGCCTTATCTCCGTTACTTACTATCATCAGTAAATTGCACCGGCTGGCAATTTCTTCCGCAACGCTATGTCTTCTTCCGTGTCGACGACGTTAAAACCGCCTCTGGTTTTCACGATTCTCATTTAACCCGTGCTCGTACCTTGGGATACTCTATTTCACGCACGCTCTCACCTAATACTTCATTTCAACTATCTCAGCCCTTGAAATGGCGTTCAAAGTCGGCATCTCATCAGGCAAGGAATTGTCGAAGGGAGGAAGAGGAGCTACACTATGCATTAATTTGGAGGTGGTCAGGGGATACTAGTGAGTTCAAGTATCCTGGTGGGCTGGTCCGACACGCTCACACTGCGTCGTGAAGGCACATTGAGCTGCACTGTTATGTTCCTCCAAGCCCATACTGCTGGCTCACCATCAGGTACATCTGCCGTGCCTGGCGCCAGGTTGCGCTGACATGTCCAAGGCTCTCGAGCTACATCTGTCTCACTCAGCAAGAGTATGTCCGAGACCTCCTCGACAGGCCTAGAAGCACACCTCTGTACATATATGAAGACGCGGTCATGAAGCGCACGGAGTAAGCCCGTCAGTTTGTGTTGGCATATCTGGACCGTATTATCTCGACACAACTCAGTCTCATCTGGTCCATTTTTCTTCCCGCCATGCTATCAAATGCCCCGAATCAACGCCAAGTTTCATCCTTGCACCATCTCGACTTTCACAATCACCTCTCAGCTGACTCGGTCGGCTCATTCACCCTATTCACGCGTCCGAGCCTTTTTCATCTGGAAGAGCTCACGTTGGGGTTACCGGATCTTGATGCCACGTAGCACATCTTGGTGCCCGGTCTTCGGTATCTCTACATGTCATACAGCCTCTATCCATCTGAAATCGATTGCTTTGTGTCGTTCTTCGCCGTCTCGGTGGGATGGAGGTGCTAAAGCTCTGTTATCTGTTTGCAGATTACGACTCCCTTGCTGTAGCCGGTCACCAAGTGATTGCGCATCACCATTCCCGGCAGTCCACGTCTCTTCCGCGTCTGCATATGTTATATGTCGACGACGAGGACGGCGCTGTCATAGTCGGCGCGCTCGCGCCCATTGTATGTCCTGCTTATACCGCAATGTCGCTCAGCATTGTAAAGCTCGCCAATCTTGCGCCGTACGGCCGCGTATTGGACCATCTTCACAGTCGAACGGACGCTTTCAAGTCTTTCTCTCTCACGCAATCGGCGGTGCAGCTGGGGGCATCGACAATACGTTGGAGATCCCATGCTAGACGACACTTCTTACCCAAGACGGGCTGTCCGACGGTGCGTCGATGACGCTGTTGGTGTGGTCACAGCAGAGTACCAGCGAGTCTCACTGTCTCCTTCACGTTCGACTGTCCGGAGGCGAATAAGGAGTTCATGTCCGCGCTCTCACATGCCTGCCTCTTGCCGACGTCGAGACCACCTTATTAGCATAACCCTTCGTATTGAGCAGCATACGGAGCAGAGTGTCTTGGAGCTCCTGCCGTCCGTGAAGGCCCTAGGGCTTGAGTATGAAATGTCAGGCCTTTTTAATGCCCACATTTCCTAAGTTTGATTGCAGTGCCTGCAATGCGCCTTTCCTGGCTCTATCGAGCGTTCGGTAGTGGGAGCGATACCGCAAACATTCGTGGTACTTCAATAATCACGCGCTTTCTGATCTGCACCTACTCGTGAGTCATTTCGTTTCTCGCCGGTGGACCTAGAGTTGCACATTCAGCACCACTATCTTAGATTACATCGCTTTTCAGGCAAAATCTGCTCATGTAAGAGCAAATCAGCAAGACGAATTAGCACAGGGACAGTTGGACAATTAGCAGGAGTTACCCGCCCTGCAAGTGTATGGTGCGCTTTCACTCTTTATTTAAACGCGAAACGCGATTTACGATGAGAACTCATATCCTGACTCTTTTTATTTATTGGGGGAAGTACTACACCGGGTAGGTTCCGCCGTCAAACGCACTGCAGAATCTTATCTTAGTGTCAGGTTCATCGTCATTCGCTCAGAATCTCGACATCTTTACTGCTGTCGCAGCATCTATACCTCCAGTTTGGAACTGCTCCGTGATTGTATCTCTCGGAGCTCACGTTTGTAGTGATAGGGGGACACTTTATCATGCTTTTGAAGATGACACAGGAGGCCCTGGCCAGTATGGGGAGATTGCTGAGTCTGGAGCGCATGTACTGTTTGTTGAGCTCTCTCAGTGTAGTGAAGACCTATAATCGCGCCCTCTGACACGAGCAGCCTGCGCTGAAACGCTTGACGACGGCGCTCCGAGAGGACACCCTGTCGTCCCTACCGCCCCTACTGCCTCACGTCGCAGTGCGCAACGCCCGTGCTCTCCGTGAGGATCTTTGGATGCTCTGTACTCACGGATGCTAGTTCCACTACACGTGCGTCGCTGCCAAGGAACAGCCACTCTCGTCACTACAGTTCGTCAAGGAGCTCACCCTGCGCCACAGCTATGAGGTCGTCCCATTGACTGCAATCAGGCCTTGTAGCGTTCGTACCGTCTATCCTTCAAGTTGCCTCCAGATGCTCTTCATGTGCGAATACAAACTAAACGAACCATGTTACCCGCACAGCAGCCCGTGTCAAAGCTACCCCAGGCTTGCAGATCACTGTCAGCGTTCCCCGCTGTGGGCAGGGTGACTAGCCGTAGCCAGAGCAAAAGTGTGCACTTGCTTTCATGTCTAGGATGCAATTTAGTGTAGCAATCGCGTAAACTCAAATTTTGTTCGCTATCTCCACTAACGACTGGCTCAGAATGATAGTCGCGAAAATGTCCATCGGAGCGTGGATGATCAAGCCCGCCAAGCTATGCCGAGAAGCCGATTTTTCTCCGACATCACTGTGGCATTGATCCGACTTGCGACGAGAATTTGTTCACACAACCGCGAACTCACTAGCTCAATGCCCCCCAATCAGCACTTTCTCAAGTAAACACTAGCTCAAGACCACCAACAGAGGTCAGGCGACCTTCGATTGTGTATGAGATACTTCTTTGCCTTGTTCAAATCGCACCAGCTAACTCGGACGTGCAGACGGGCATAGTCAAAGCGCCGAACTTGGCCTGCGATGCAGACGTGGGCTGCGTACCCGTCTGTTCGCAGTCTATATACCTCAGGATGCAAGACATCCCACTATCGTTCAGGTTATCGACCGAACCTGGTCGACCACCGCCATACCGCCACTGTTAACACCCAGAAGCTGGCGGGAAGTGTGCGGATGTACAGGCTGCTGGCAAGTGCTCTTAGATTGCGAATGGGGTTTTTTTTTCGACTAACAACGTTCTTCTCAAAACTCAGGGCCCGGCTATCACGACAGTCGACCCAAACAAGCTCACTAGTGACTGTTTTCGGGACTTCTCGGGCTTAAAAATATTCAGCCTGCATTTTCAAGAGGGCGATAGCTCGAGCTCTCAGAGTATGCTATGGCGTCGTAGATACTTGTCGTACCGCAGAAATGGTTCGCAAGATTCCGTGCCATCTCCGCCTGGAACGCACGGCTTCTTCTACTACTGCGCCCCTCCATCCTGGGCCCACGACCTCGCCGGCGAGATCCGCTTCCGTACTACAAAGGACAGCGACCCGTCGAGCTTTGCTAGCGGACATGACCTCCTCGTCCAGGGCATGCCCTGGACTGTAACACTGTTCTTCAACACTTCTGTTTCGGCTGCGTTCCTTAATATCTTACAACGCGACGGTCTGCTCAGCGAAGACCAGATACGCCGCTTGGGACGCTTGGAACCGTGGCGTTCCCCACTAACAGCCAAGTCGCGTCTCATCCATTCCATTGGCCAGCCTTTCGCGATACCCATAAGTGCAAACCCAAACAGGTGTAAGTTCTCCCGGACCCGGTACCTCGTTCCTGGCATCATGGACGGCAGAGACGTACTCGAAAGCTTCCATGTTTTCTCCCGCACCCGGTCTCAGTGGGGATACGACGCCGGTCCAGACGGGACCAAGGTCTTCTCGAAGGATGGTGCGTACATCGTGTCACTATCCGTACAGTCAAAGCCTTGCTCGCGTCATACACGCTAACACGCCTGTGCAGCCATCGCTATTGTGCACCTCGAGCCTTGGGTGCATCCACGCTTCAAGAAACGCTATGTTGCACTCCGAGTCCGGCGACTGCTAACTTTCGACGGCTTGCCTGTCAACTCGCCGGATGACCACCCCGATCACGGTGCAGCGGGACATCTACTGCGTAATATCGGCAGGGAAAGAATGAGGGTGTGGCACCATGACCTCGACCGGGGACCAGTCGCGTGGCGGTACTTGCGTCTACCTCCTGAAGGTATGACCGTGGACTTGTAAGCCATCTGTACTGTACGCGATCTTCCTGCATACAGCGACATGGCAGGGATGACTTTCTAGAGACCCAGCTTTCCTGCATGTTTGTTATCAACAATTAATTCTCATGGTTGTGTTCGACCGGTTCGGGCCCGTGCCGCTGTCCGCGCCGCATCAGCCCACGAACGCACGACATATGCACAGCAGGGCGGCAACGCACCAGGACCCGTCGCAGAAGCTCGATGCCTCATTCATGTCCAGTCAGATGCCGGGGAACTCAATCTTGAGGCTGCTCCAGTTCGTCAGCATTTCGATCCAGCACTGCTGCGTGTTCTCGGCGAACCAGTCCTGAAAGACACTGTATCCTGGACAGACTTGGCCGACATACTTGCTACCGTCGGAATTCTTGATCCAGACGTCGCTGGAAACTGGCTTTAGCCAGCGAGGAAGATGCAGTGCGGAGAGCACTTACAGTTCGGATCCACGAGTAAAAGTATCGTACTATCGAATAAGCTGTCAGCAGAGAGCGAAGCTGCAGGGGTCAAAAAGATGCACTACTACGTCTGTGTCGTTGATCTGCTTGATAACTGCGACATCAACAATCGGGATGTTATGCTGGTTGTTAACAGCCTAGAGGATGCGATTAGCACCGTGACGACTAGCATTGGAGCCAAGGACACTCAAACCACAGTTTGAGACGGTGATCTATGGCTTGTGGCGCAATAATTTCCGAGACATCCTCACTTCATGTCAAAACTTTGCTGCGCAATACAGCGTATCTGTAGCGATGCGGGACATGATGTCATTTTTTTGGAGATAAAATAGGGCCCCTCTCGGCCAGAATGGTGAGACTGCTGAGTCTGAAGCGCACGTATCGTTTGTTGAGCTCTCTTCATTGTAGCGAAGAGCTAATATTGCGGCCTCCAGCGCGAGCAGCCTCCGCAGAAACGCTTGACGACCGCGCTCTGGGAGGACATCCCGTCGTCTCTGTCATCTCGCGTCACAGTGCGCGATGCCCGCGCTCACCATGAGGATCTTTAGATGCTCGGTGTCCACGAGTGCTAACTAGACAATGCGTGCGCCGCTGTCAAGGAACGGCCGCTCTCGTTACTACAGTTCGTCGAGGAGCTCACCCTGTGCCGCGGCTATGAGGCCGTCTCGTCAACCGCAACCGAGCCTCGTGGTGCGCTCGTACTGTCCATCCTTGCCTCCAGGTGCTCTTCATCTGCGAATGAAAACCAGACAAGCCAATTTACTCGCACGGCAGCCCATCATGCCGGGCTATATCGGGCTTGTACTAGAGCTAGCTCGCGACCTTGTTGCCCGTAGTAGGGAAACGCTGGCAGTGCACGCAGCGGGTGACTGGCCGCGGTCAGAACGAAAGCGTGCATTCGATTTCACGTCTGTAACGCAGTGTAGCGTAGCTGAGCCTGATCGCCTTAAAATCAAGTTTGTTCGCACTTTCCGCTAAAGGCTCGGAAATGTCCGTCGGAGCGGGAACGGGAGAGCTGGTGCCGAGAAGTCGATTTGTTGTCCGATCTTGATCCGACATGCGGCGAGAGTTTGTTCATGCAACCACGAACTCACTGGCTCCGCGCCCCCTAAGTAACATGGTCTCTAGCTTAAGAGCAGACGTGTGTACCTAGTTAAAGCGCTGAGGCCGCGATGCAGACGTGGGCTGCATACTCGTCTGTGCGCAGTCTGTATATCGCAGTCTGCAAGCCATCGCCCTATCGTATCAGCTATCGACCAAACCCGGTCGGCCGCTGTCATACCGCGATTTTTGACATCCAGAGGCTAGTGGGAAGCGTACGGACGTACAGGCTGCGAGTAAGTGCCTTCAGATTGCAAATGGAATTCTTTCTAACAGTGTTCTTCCCAAGGCTCAGGACCGAAACATCACAACAGTTGACCCGAATAAGCTCACTAGCGACTGTTTTCAAGACTTCTCGGGTCAGAAATTTTTCGGCTTGCGCGTCCAGGAGAGTGCTGGTCCGAGCACCAGTATTACGCTATGGCAGCGCAAGTTTTGGAGCTTCGCCAAGGATGGCACACAGGTCCACGCGCGATCTCCGCCTGGAACGCACGGCTTCTTCTACTATCGTGCCCCTCCACCTTGGGCTGGTGAGATCCGCTTTCGCATTACGAAGGACAGGAACCCCTCAAGCTTTCCTAGCGGCCACGATTTTCTCCTTCGAGGCATGCCGTGGGCTGTGACATTGCTATTCGCCACTCCTGTTTCGGCTTTTTTCCATAATATCCTGCTGCGTGACGGCCTGCTCAGCGAAGGCCAGATACGCCGCTTGGAGTCCTTGGAGCCGTGGCAGTCTAGACTAGCAGCCAAGTCGCATCTCGTCCATTCGATTGGCCAGCCGTTCGCATTACCTCTGGGCGTGAACAGGAGCACCTCGACGTGTTCCCGGCACATCGTGCCCGGCATTGTAGACAGCAGAGATGTGCTCGAAAGATTCGAATTTCGGTCCGTCGCTGGGTCTCTATGGGGATACGATGCCGGCCCGAACGAGACCAGAGTTTTTTCAAAGAATGGTGCGTACGTTGTGTCGGTATCTGATCGGTTGAAGCCTTACTCGTGATGCGCACTGATGCGCCTATGCAGCCATTGCTATTGTGCACCTCGAGCCTTGGGTGCACCCACGCAAAAAGCAGAGGCGCCTTGTTGCACTCCGAATCCGGCGACTGCTGCATTATGATGGCCTGCCTGCCTGCTCGCCGGATGACCACCCCGATTACGGTGCGGCAGGTCACTTACTGCGTAGCCTCGTGAAAGAAAGAGGGAGGGTATGGTATCACGATCTCGACCGGGGACCTGTTGCATGGAGACACTTGCGTCTGCCGCCTGAAAGTGTGACCATGGACTTGTAAGCCGTCCGTGACGTACACAATCACCCTTAACGTAACAACATATTACAGATGAATTATTGGAGACTCAAGTTCCCCGCATGTTTGTTGCCAATGTCAATTCTCATGGAGGATCCCTGGCTACTTCCTTCTGTTGGCAAAGCTCAGACACCGGCTGATTGTAATCTTATGAGCATATAGTCTGGTTCAGTCCAGGGAGAGGGCGCGCGCGCGCGCATTGATCCCGGTGATTATAAGTTCAATTTTCCTGAGTCGTCTGCAGCACTCCGTGAAACACAACAATTCGTGAGGTCCGCAGTGTAGTACACAACTTCCTAACATCGCACAGATCAGCACTCGTCGAGGTTAATTGCTCATTTCTTTAGCCCTCCATGACTGCATCATGGTGCGCGACTTCGTTATCTCGGGCTGTTAGGCTTTACTTGGCCTTATACTTTAGGCCAGACTAAGGTTCGAGAAGGACTTCTGATGGTGCAGGGCTCCTAGTCTCGGTTCTAGGACGCTGAGCAAGCGGGGGGCAGCAGTAACAAATCGTCTATAGTGATGCATTATCGGACTTTGAAAGTCCTGCTGCAGAGCTTGGCCGCAAAGGGAATTTTAAACTCCGAGAGCCCCTGTTACAATTTTCTGATAGCAGGTGGAGGAACTGTGATTGAACCGCATCACTGCGTCGTCATCGGTGCTCTCTGCCACATCCTCACGACGTCTCACACCTTACCCTTATTTCGGGTACCATTGGCGGCCAAAGCCCAGCTATGTCGCTGGTAAGACTACGTAAAAGGCTTCTCAGACGCAACAACATCGTGCCCAGCACAAGATCAGAAGGCGCTGCCGCTGAAGACATTCCGTCCGGAACGGTCCCGACAAGGCTACCTGGAGAGGACGGAAATAGACAGGCCGGTAAGAACATGCGTTAACGTCAGTGTCGCATGTCAAGTCTTACGGATATAACTGTCGCAGAAGGCTATACCCTCTCGACATCTCCTATCAGCAAGCTCGCACCGGAACTCCTCGCTGAAGTTTTCCATTGGTGCATCCTCAACGTCGCCGCCGCACGCCTCATGAACACTGCGCCGCCTCTAGCACCGTACTCCTGGCTCACCATCCGCCACGTCTGCCACACATGGCGTGACGTCGCTCTGGCGTTTCCTGAGCTGTCGACACACATCTGGTTGACCCGACCTGAGTGTGTCATTGACATGCTTGGCAGATCGGGTACTCTTCCCCTGCATATACACAGTGTCGAACGCTTCTACATGAATCCTACAGAGGAGGCCGAAATGCTTCACATGGTTCTTTCCCAGTTTGAGCGCGTCGCTGATGCGTCGTTTGTGCTTGCCGAGGAGATTCTCCGTAGCTATAAGCCGGACCCGCAACTGAAAAAGCACACGGTCCGCGCCTCACAGTTACGGTCTTTGAAGCTGTACATATGGCGTGCCAACCCTAGTTGGAGACCGCCCTGGCTGCTCTTTGCCGGTTTCGACTTCCCGGCATTGCGCGAGTTGACATGTGTACACACGAATATTGCTATGCTTCACACCCTCGTCGCTCCTAGGTTATGTCATCTGCGGCTCTTCCACTCTGAACTGCAGCTGGAACAAGAACTACTACCCCTGCTCAATCAGCTTGGAGTGCTCGAGGAGCTCGAGCTAGACGAGGCGATGCGGTCCTTCGCAGGGCCCCAGCAAGCCCTGGGCGCCATTCTGTCAGCTCCAAACTCTCCGACTTCAGTCACTCTTCCTCGCCTGAAAAGACTTTCCATCAAACATGTTTCTGCAGATGCGGTCTTCTATTTGCTTCATCGACTCTCTTTTCCCCTGTCTGCTTCTGTGGTGCTCCAAGCCTCGTGGCGACCTAGACGCCCTTCTTCCTATGACAGCTACGTTGCTGTCATCCTCGCGAAAATAGAGGGTCTCTGCTTTCACACGCTCTCGCTGTCCACAACGGCTGAATCTGGAGTTACCTTTCGCTTATGGGGCGATCGTCTGGCTGTTGATCATGGGCACCTTTCACAATTATACTCGGGCGAGGCCGCACACTTCAGCTGCTCTCTGCGCATTCCTCCCAGATTACTCATAACATATCTCATTGAGGAGCTTCCGCTCGGTCAAATAGAGTGCACATTGCTTTCGGAGCAGGCGGTGGGCCTGAATGACGCAGTAGCATGGGAGACCGTCCTATCCCTCATGCCTTCGGTGGAGGATCTCGTGATGCAGTATGAAACCTTTGATTACCTTGCGAACGATGCTCAACCGTATCGTATCCGGCCTGCGAACACCTACTCGTTGTGCCCTTCTCTCGAGACGCTCCGGATACGCGAGCTGCACCACTGGAGCTCGTTAATGTTGGACTTCTCCTCCGACGTCGTCCACCTCGGCTGTGTCGCGCGGGGGCTGGCAGAGCGCAAGGATGGCGTTGGAAAGATGGACATCACCCGGGAGGTTGAGGACTTCCATGAGGAATATCCCTGCCCACATGAAGGCGGACGTGGCTGTCGGCAACCACCGGGCTACGAAAGTAGTTTGAGTGCACCCGTACAACGCAGGAACCATTTCAAAGCGCGTATCTTGGATGGTGCTTTTCGGGTACCTAATTTGTTCAAGAGACGCTAGTTTGCTTCTCATTTTCCAGTCTTATTACCCACGGTAGCACAAACCGACTCTCTTTCTGCATCTAATCCCTAATGCGAAAACTTTGGCATCGCCCTACCTCGTCTTAGGCTTCTTCCTCGCCTCCGGCTTTTGATCCGCAAGGAATCTGAACAAACACCGGCGGTTGAGCTTCTTGCAATTCTACGGCCTAGGTAATGTCTTGAAGGGTCCTGCGGCCCGCGCCATTGGCTACGATGAGTGGAATCTGGACAGGCACAGTGAGGTCACATCTATGACACAATACCCGGTTGCGCCAGTTCTCCGTCTCTGAGCAGCCCGCATTCCTGAGCGTGCCTATTCTCTGCCGTGTAGCATATTCACCATCGAAAACTAGCCGTCGAAGCTCGGCTTCGAATGCCTGTCGAGTTGGTCACAAAGTACTGTCTCCTCCGGCTGCTTGGAAAGACGATCAACGCCTGGCGCGACCTCGATAGCTTCGCGTCTCAGCTACCCCAGGGACACTCCAGCTCCCTCGCCTCTGTAAACCTCTGGCGTTCGCATTCTTCTCTCTCAAGCTCGTTTCACAAGATCGCTCTCCACCTGGCGCACGAGACCTTCGCGATCAGCCTGTAGGCGACCGCACTTGTCGCACGCGCCAGTGCACGGTGGGTCGGCGCGCTCTTGAATGAGATCATGTTGCCGTTGCTGCCCCAAGTTACACTGTGCGCCGCCCACACGTTCTGTAAATACTGGCAGCTTCGCATGCATGCACGCCGGCGAGGAGAGCGCGTGCATTACCGCCGAAAAGCTCCCGTCAGACGGCGTCATGCTCACTTAGTACACATGCGACCCCTATTGAAGAAACGGGCTGCCGTTGGGGTCTGTGTCGTCAAGAGGCAAACGCGCAGTCTATCCAGCGGCGCGGGTACTAACCAAGGCGCCGTCCCGATGATCCGCCGCCGCACCGAGGGTATAATACCATATTTAGATATGATGCGCCCTGAGTGCGTTGAACGCTGGCGTCCACCTGGCTCCCCGCCAGCTGATATTTCCTTGTGGTTTGAGCTTTCCGACGAATTTGTATACTACCAGAATAGATGGCGAAGTACCTATAATATAAAGGAACACTATGGGTCTTTGAGAATTTATCGCTGTTTCGAGGAAGCTTGAGGCGTTTCGGGATCACTACGTCGGGAAAGGCTGTGCGTCCCCCTCTCCTTCATACCTGCACCACGACGAACGCCTTCTCTTCACGCCGAGCATCCTCGGCATCTTGATTATATCACTATTAAGTCTGTGAATAAGAACCTTCTGGCCTGAAGCAGTTGCTGCAAGCACGGGATTAACAAGTGACTGCAGACGTTCGGTCATGGCGCACAGTTCGCTGCATGAGGGGAAACGCAGTCACACGGGCCGCCGCGCACACAAGTGGGCCATTGGCCGCAATAGCGTCGTGCACACTAGCGAGCGCATGCTCAAGCGTTCGATAGAACGCCCTCTCCTTTTCGCGATCCACAACAACGGCATCGGCGCTTTCGATATTCTACGGTACTTGTTTCGCTTGGTGCCAGAGACTAAAGTGTTCTGTTTATCGTGCGTAACTTCTCACTAATTTTTACTTCTTTTGATTGGGCAAAGCTCCTATTTCGCTGACGGCATCGTTTTGCGCGCATTCCCTCGTATTGTGCTGCAGTGACCCGAGCGCTGCTGTATTAGGTTCTAATTCATTCAGAGAGGATTTCGTGGCGCGGTGATGTCCGACACCATCGCCGCCCACTGCACCGAACTGAACTGCCTCGCTGCTCTCCTTCGTACCTGCACCATACCGAACACCCTCTCTTCATGCAGCACGCCCCTGACAGATAGCATCTGACCATGTCGCTGTCTAGACTACGAACAAGGTTTTTCCGACCCCAAACCGCTATTACTGTGGCTAATGCAGAGTCGACAAGCGGCTCTGCAGACGCCTTATCGTCCGGCCTGGCCCTCGAGCCGCCGTATGAAGAGCACCACAGCCCGGCTATCGAGACAGCACCAAGAGAGAACGGTTACTCTGGTGAGGAATGAGCTTCTTCTTACGTGTCTTGTGTCTTTTGACTATCTCCTCCACAAAAGTTTGCAGCACATTGTCATTTCCTATCGATCGACTTGCACCGGAACTTCTCGCTAAAGTATCCTACTGGTTTATCCTCGATTTATGCGCCTCCTCTCTTGAAGACTACGGATTCTGCACGACACTGTACCCTTGGCTCACCATTCGCCACGTATGTCGTGCCTGGCGCGACGTCGCCCTGACATTCCCCAAGCTTTCCACACACATCTGGTTGACCCAACTCGAGTGTGTCGCAGACATGATCGCTATATCAGGCACTTTACCGCTGCACATATATATCGCGCCCTCCATCCGAATCGATGCCGCAATGGAAGCAGAGATGTTCCAGGTCGTGCTCTCCCACATTGAACGCGTTGCTCACGCAGTTCTCGTACTCACAGAGGGGTCATTCCCTGCTGGCAATTCCGACACGCAACCCAAGGAGCGCACGATCCGAGCGCTGCGGCTGCAGTCTCTGGACCTGCACATGTTTCAGAGCTGGGTGCCGTCCTGGCCGCTCTTCTCCGCCATCGACTTCCCTGCGCTGCGCGAGCTGACGTGCACGCATGCGAGTATCGGCACATTGCGTTCCCTCATCGCTCCAAGGCTGTGCTACCTGCATCTCGTTCAGTGCGGGCTGCTAGTGGCAGGAGAACTACTACCTTCGCTAAGACAGCTAGGTGAACTCGAGGAGCTCAAGCTGGATAGGGCGCTGCGGTGCTCTGACGAGTCCCACCCAGCGCTTGACATCCTCATGCTGCATCCTAACTCCCATAACTCGGTCACCCTTTCTCACCTCAGAAAAATTTCTATCAAAGACGCGTGCGCTGATGAGGTCTTCCTCCTCCTTCATCGACTCTCCTTCCCGCTGTCAGCTTCTGTGGCTTTGCAAGCCTCGGGGCTTGTTCGGTCTCCCATCTCTTGCGATAGCTATGTAGCCATCATGCTCGCTAAAATGGAAGGCTTAGACTTCAAGACGCTCTCGCTATCCACGACGATTGAGCTTGGAGTGACGTTTCACTTGTGGGACGATCGTCTGGCTGCTGACTCGGACGGCGAGCCCTCACAATTATCCTCGGGCGAAGGCGCTCGCTTCAGCTGCTCGCTGCGAACTCCTCGCAGGTCATTCATGACACCTCTGGTCCAGGAGCTTCCGCTCGCACAAATCGAATGTGCGTTCCTTTCGGAGCAGGCGGTGGGCTTGGATGACGCAGTGCCCTGGGCGGCCATCTTGTCGCTATGCCATCAGTGGAGGATCTCGCAGTGCGGTATGAAACTTTTGATTACCTCACAAGCAACGCTCGTCTGTACCGTATCCAACCTTCAGACACCCGCCTGCTGTGCCCTTCTTTGAGGACGCTCCGGGTACGCGAGTTGCACCACCGGAGCTCGATGCGGTGGGGTTTCTCGTCCAAACACGTTCACCTCGGCTGCGTCGCACGGGGACTGGTGACGCGGAAGGACAGCCTTCATTCAGGAAAGATGGACGTCATTGTGGAGATAGAGGATTTTCATAAGACATACTGCTGCCATTGTGGAGGTGAACACGGCTGTGACCAACCATCTGACGACGAAAGTAGTTTCACCGTGTCTGTGCCACCTAGGGACCGTCAGAAAGTGCGGGTCTTCAATTATGCTTCCCGTGTGGCCCGTTTATTTAAGCGGATTTAACTCACTTATTATTCTTTGACATGTTCTTAGTGCTCGTACGAGCCGAATCCTGCTTTGCGCTTCGCGCACAGTACAAAGTCGACCGCGTTGGCTCGGGTTATCGACTCGCCATTCTGTAGGTTACCCACTTTCCAAAACAATGCCTTCACTACGTCACTTCCCAACGTCCTTTAGACTTGTCGGGATGCTTTTAGTTGTGTAAAACGTTTGCATCAAGCGCAGCGAGTAAAGCACTTTGCATCAGTAAGCGCCGATAATTGAACACTAGTAACCTTTATATTTGCTGCGAGCCTAGCCACAATGCTGAATATGCAAGAGCGCCTCGTAAACAAATGGACGGCGAATGCGAGGCTGAAGGTAGTGTCTGACACAAAGCTCCGCCGATTCCGATTCACGGACGCTGATTGTTATTTGTTATTATTTGTTCCGGGAAAAGGTAGGCTGTGCCCTGCAGTATGCAAACCCATGTCCAAAACATGGTTTCTGGTGTCCATCAATCGTATATTTCATGCGGAAACGGAACTGGGGAGATTTGAGAGCTTAAAAATAGGCCCCCCCCCGCCAGGTACGTGCGTGCCGCAGGGTAATCCACAATTATATTAAGGCGCCAATTTCTTCCAAATGTGGTATGCGCCATCATGCATCAGAGGTGGTTCACATGTTTACGAAACACATTGCTTGCACAACAGCTGCTCGGCAGTGAAGCTGTACTAACGGCCAAAACTTTGAGACGCTAAGCAGGGGCACCAATGACCTTGCTGGTGCTGAAAGCAAGGGCCTGGTGCACCTGCACCAGCTTCCAGCCCGTCTGGTCCATGAGCTCCTTCATCTGCGCGATGGTGCGCTCCTTGCCGTTGAGCACCGACAGCATCTATTGCAGCGTGATAAACAACAGTGGCTGATGTACAGAAGCAGAGGCATCATTACCTGGATGTCGAGCTGGTACGACGTCAAAGCTGCGTATCCCATGTTTGGGAGGAGCGGCTTGGGCGGGACAGGACGCTCGATGCCGGGGATGTGCTTCAGGTCGCTGTCCTCGCACGCGTACGACACCAGGCTGTCGACAATGACGAGACGGGTATCCGGAGTGGCGGCGGCGCGGAGATGGCGCAGGATCTGCAGGCAGTACTTGTCCGGCCAGTCGTGTATGATGCTGCGCAGCAGAAAAACGGACGCGTTCTTGACCGGCTGTGGGGTAAAAAAATCGTGCGCTGTGGCGGTAACGTCAGTATGGCGGCCGTAACCGGAAGCCTTGCGTCACAGACCTTGCAGCTCGACTCTGCCAGAGGGGAGTGCGTCGGGAAGCTTGTCATTCCAGAACTTTGACGCAAATCAGTTTCATTGAGCACATGTTGGGTGGAATCACGTACCCCGGCCGCGTCCTTTGTGACCTGCTCGCGGTCTTGAACCACGAAACGCAAGTGCGGGCAGTTCTGAGCGAGCGCCAACGACTGTGCGCCTACTCCACCTCCGACGTCGACGATGACAGCGCCTTGCTTCAGACCATCCCAGTCGAAGCCTAGTAAGAATAATGAGAGAGATGCAGGACAGTAAATAGGTCAGATGTACTTGCCCTCCAAGATTGCGTTCGGCGGCGATGCTTGCTTGGCGCCTTCCATCGCGATTCCGAAGCGCGTCCGACGACGTTCATTCTCCTTCTTCTCCAGCCACTCCCAAACTGGAATATCGGTGTTGAACGCGATATTGAAAGCAGTGTTGTTCAGCTCCTGAGACATAGCGGTCTTGGGGTCCAAGAGAAACTCGGACAGGTGCGCCGCTGACTTCATCGGCGAATCAGCACTGCAACGGCTGTGAGTTTACTGTCGCCGCTGAGTTATGGGTGGCTTGCCAGTGCTCCACGCTAGCTGCGACGCAGTTGGTAGCGATATGCTTCGTCTCAGGGCTGGCGATATGTGTCAGCATAAATCGTACTAGAGGCAGGGCAGGCATACCTCTCAAGAATAGCCTTCACAGACTTGCCCGTGTCCATGCACGACGAGATACGGTTGTTGACGAACACGTCTGGCGCAACCTCAACGAAGATGTGATTGGTAGCTAGAAGACGGAGGACGCGAGCTGAATATGATTTGAGCAGAGTGGAACGTCGTAGTTCGTCGCCGACGAACCTAGCTTGCTCGGATCGATGTTGCTCGCTCGAGCAATCTCGTTGACGTGGGCGCCCTGAAATAGTATCGCAGTCAGCTTCGCTCGACTTCGGAATCTGCAGCTAGATAACAAACATTGGGACCTGCTTCCCTCAAAGCTTCAGCTACGTTTGCCGCTGATGCGACACCCAGAGCGGCAGGAAGCGCATGCTGCCGACAGAAATGAGAGTCGTCCACAATGAGGGCTCATTACATGTACCTGTGTCGCGATTGCCATAATACTAAGCATAGGTGATTGTACTGATTGGATGAGCTGGTAAGCCGCTGTGATGATTAGGGTGCAGGCCTTGTCCACGCCGGGGACCATGCGAGCCGCTTCCGACTCTCTGGTGATTGGAGTGTAAGGAGATGGAAATTCTTTATTGGCTGACGACAGAGAGGCCTCAATAGAAATGATAGAGTCTTGTATAATCTTCGACAGCGCTTTGAGCTCCGCTAAAGTGCTTGAAGGACTTGGGTCGCTGGTGATCATTAGGTGTGTTATATCTCTCGATAATGAGTAGCCTGCACACCCAGTAGCCATCACTTGTTCTCGAATCGAATTGAGCCTTGCAAACGGTAGCTGCAACGAGAGTAGGCAGCCTATATTGCCAAACTCTGGAGGGGAGGTGAGGGGTGAGGCTGTCCAATGTGATCTCTCGCGGTATAAAACTGGTCAAATTCAAGCCAAGGGCAACGTGGCATAGTATGTCTCCCGGTGATGCGCAGCATTGTGGGAACGGCGACCAGTGTCAGCTTCTAAGCCAGTTACTGATGCTGACTGTGTTCAACAGATAGTTTGGGCCAGGAGCACAGTCTGTCCCCGAACGCGCAAAGAAAGGGATCCTATTACTGGGGTAATAGACCGAATGATAGATTAAAGAAGGCCGACACTCGCCCAGAATCTTGTCCTCAAGTATCCAGAGCTTTGGATGTGATTGGGGTTTTCTGGGCTGTTGTGCATGCATATTGCAACCGCAGGCCGATGTGATGAGCGTGGAGGTGCTCATGGATGCGCCGCGGTATCCTCAAAGCGGTGCAGAGCAGCAGGGAAGAGCTTTTTTTTATGTAATTGCATAATTCAGAGAGACTGAGAGTTGATAATCAGCGCTGCTTGCATCGATCGTGCCTGGGCAGGCACAAGGCCGGTGGTCTTCCAATGAAGTCGGCTGCTGACTCTCAGGAAGACAACCAAACAATCAGACACTGCAACAGACTAGCCCGTTCCAGAAGATCGAAGCACAACCTTCCGACCATAATCTCACCAAGTGAACGGCGACAAAGCTGTGTGAGAGCTGACTCGGTCTCTCGTGGATACAGGAACGACGGCCATGATACGAGCCATGCTTTCGTTGGACGTGAGAGTCCGACCGTCGGAGTAACGATATGATGCCAGTTGCGTGAGCATGAGACGTCTTTGCCAAGACGGGGAGCGGAAGGTCAGAGCATGCCGCGCACGGCGACGTGTGCAGCAATGCCGACGCCACAAATGTGTGCGAACATCGGAATTCCTTCGCGGCCGTCCACAGATCCTTCTCCGCATGTCGTCCATGATATCGGTGTGGGAGACATGATGGCGATCAAAGGGCTTAGCGCCCAAAAGGCCCGCCACCAACTGCCGCAATTCCCTCCAGCACCCGTTACGCGTCATCCTCCACTCGACTCGAGCTAATGTGGCCCATGTCTGGGTTCTGCCCTGACGCAGTTGTTCGGTTGGTTTTGGCTGTTTGGGGACTGAGACGAAGTCTCAACACACGTCACTGCGGTGCAAGCCCGCTCGGAAGTAGTATGATGGGTGTCAACCCCGTGACATCCCCGCCACCATACCGCGAGCTCAAGCTCCCCACGAGCCATCACAAGGTAGCTGCAGAGCTTGAGAGAGAAATTACGTCGTGTCCAATTTGGCATCTTCTGCCCACAGATATCTGCCCAAGGCATGAGCTCCAGCCCTCGCCGGGCTCGCTCCTGCAGCTCAACTCCACCCTCTCAAGCACCTCTCTTGTCTACCAGTAGTCCGATCGTTCCTCATACCCCCCGTAACTACTACCTCACCAATGAGCGAGAAAACTGGCCCAGGCGGTATCGGCCTCATCTTTGCGCAAGCTTGCAAGGCATACTTCCAACTAACGCGACTCCACAAATTTCCTCTCGGCAATATTCTCGTCATCTGGCCTTGCAGTACATGGCAATTTTCGCCGCTGGTATCATCCGTGCAAATTGCGACTTATGAAAACAGTGTGGGGGGCTACCATGGCTGCTTACAAAGCCCAAATCTCGGCGAGCCAGCTCGTCACCCAAGTCGCGCTGTTTGTGCTAGGTGGGACCTTGGTTCACAGCGCTGCCTGCATCATTAATGACATCTGCGACATCGAGTTCGATAGGAAAGTCGGTGAGTGTGGGCGACCAATCTGCGGTTGAGTACTTGTCTACTACTATTCCAGAGCGCACTAAGAATCGGCCCCTAGCGGCTGGTTTAATCCCTGTTTCTGGAGCATGGAAACTTCTATCTGTGATGACCATCGGATGCTTTGCCTTTCTTTCTCTCGCCAACAGCTACGCGTAGGTGATCGCTTGTATGACATCTCTCTCAGTACACTCATGGAGGCACAGGGCCTTTATTGGGATATTCGGAGTCTTTCCATTCCACACCCTTTACCCTATGATGAAGCGGTGGACATGGTGGCCTCAAGCTTGGTTGGGTACGGTTCATTAATACCTTGACTTAACATGTTGCTTAAAGCCTTTCAGGTGTTGCCATGAACTGGGGCTTCCTTGTAGCATGGCTGTCAGTCAACCCCCATTACACGGAGGCGGACATAAGGCTTATGCTGGTGATGCTCATTGGCATGATCTTGTACATCATCTGTTCTATTACACTTTCTACCCTCTCTAAGCCTGACTTTCTTCTAGCTGGACCCTGGTCTATGACACCGAGTACGCATGCCAAGATCGCCGCGACAATGTGAAAGCCGGCGTTAAGTTGACCGCTTTGCTCTTTGGGAGCCATGTTCGCGAAGTCCTCGTCACGTTCTCTGTTACATTCCTGGCATGTCTGGTGCTGGGCGGCATTCTTAACGGTCAAACGGCTGTGTACTTTGTATTCTCCTGCAGAGGCGCAGCCTTGCACTTTGCCTGGCAGTTTCTCACGTGGGACATCAACGATCCTGCCGACTGCGGTGTAAAATTTAAGGTACGTGCTGCGCAACGTGCTCGAGGCTGACAAATGCTGATCCCTCGCTATGGCAGTCTAACGGGGATCTCGGCTATCTAGTCTGGGCAGGGCTGCTTCTGGATTATTTAATGAAGATGTAGAAATGTTCTTACATAGCACTTGTCTCTGTCAATGCCTACGCTATTCAAACATTAAGCTACGGTACCTCCCTGGTATGTCGGCCCGACACTATGAAGGTCGGATACCACTGTCAGCATGCCTACATGCTTTTTAACGCCAATCATACCAAACCTGCAAAAATCTAGTTCCAACCAACTAATTTGAATATTGGACTCCAGCTTTCAAGTCTGCCCCTTCGAGACAGAATGGCGCAATCGGATGGAGACCTGGCATTCAATAAATATACTATTGCACATGACTGAACATAGAACACAAATAGACACGCAATCATATAGCAGCTCAAGAAGGAAAGGGCATGTGAGAAACCCAGTGATTCAAGCCTAAGGCTGCAGTGCAACTTCAGAATCTACCTTGGTGTCAACAACTTCGCTCTGCAACAACTTATCAGAGTGATTAATGCGTAAAGCAGGCAAACCGCTTATGGAGCCCACCAGAGTACTGCCCTTGGCTGTGGAAGTGCCAAAGCTCTGATGTGCGTCAGTCTCTGCCGTTAAGAAATAGCAAAATCAGCAACTCACTCCCATTTCTTCACGTCGGGAGTGCATCTCTACTGCTAGCACACTGCTAGGTCTGTACCCAGGCAAGGGTAGAGCCTGCTTGATACCAATCTTGCTCTTCATGGTAGAACGAATGATGATGGATGTCAGTACAGTGAACTATTCTTGTCCTGCCTGGTCAGGAACCATTTTCAGCAGTGTAGAAGAAGAAAATGTATGCTAATCTAAGTAAGAATGTAGGAAACAATCGCCCCAGCGTTCATGTGAAGCACAAACATGACCAGAACGGCCACAGTTGCTGTGGCAAGGAGAGCGCCAGACTCGATGATAATCCATAAAAACGTAAGACGTTCCCTGTGGCCGCTTGCTGGGGAGGCCCAAGACGTAGTGCGCCAAATCTTCCAGACGATCAACAGTGTGGCGGAAATTTGAATGCCAAGCGAAATCGCAAAGCTGGCAACTGTCCAATGGTAGACGACGAAGACAGCTTGAGTCTTGGACAGCGCTGCAATATGACCGATGTTCGCATATCCAGCAACTAGAATTTTGGTGAACAAACAGCGCAGAAATAGACGGACGGTAATGTACTGAAAGCACCAGTGACGATCACCAGCTTTCAAGCCTACAATCAACACCCGCTCAAGACTTATGCTTAATGCACTTACGAAGAACGTCCTGATGAACTGGTTCTGACCCCATACAATATAGCATCTCCAAGCCTGAATAATGCTCAGTCGTAAGGATATGCTGCATGATGAGTATCACTCACAAGGATCGCATCACCAATAACATACTGTGCAAGATGCGTCTTAAAACAATGCATAGTTTGCTTGGCGGATCACTCACATTTGTGGTGAACAAGAAAGACGAAACAATGTACTGTGGCGAGATGGGTTCAGGAACCATACATCGGAGCCGCCTGGAGCGTCCACATGGGTTATAAATCCACCAATTAAGTCCAAAATAGTGGTGATAAAATGGGCTGTAGCGACCACGATTTGAAAAGTGGCAACAGCGATGAGAAGCCTGGGAACTATCAGCATCCAACGTGCATGTTGGATATACCACTACAGGCGCACTTTTCCTGAGTGGTTATGTCCTTGCTCAGTATCCGAATGTATGCTATGTATATAGCAATGCTATAGAGTTGTCAATGCCCTGTCGTCTAGGTGCCTGCCGGAATAACGCACTTCAGTCCTGCATAATTACCAGAAACGTTAGCGTACTATCTCCTTGCAGCTTGAGACGGACTCACCAAACAGCGGGCCTTCAACCCAGGTTCCCACGAGGAAAGCCATGGAGCTAGATATATCAAAGGACAAGACAGGGACGGACATCCTGTGACGAGTGGCAAGCCGAACACAAGCTGAAGCCTAGGCTTATTCTTATATGCAATCCTGTAGTCGTGCTGTGGTTTCCGTCAGCTTTTATGCTCGACTAACTGCTTGGAGTTGCTAAATATCGAACTTACTCCCCACAGGTACAGTGCCATAACTGCTGCGATCGCGCCTTTTGTGCGACCATGAGGTGCAAACAGCCTCTTTGTGAAAGATATTCCTAGAATGAAAACACGGCGTCTACAGTGTTAGGCATACGTGGAAAGTAATGAAGTAAAATGGAAGGCTGCAAGATGCGGTGTGTTCATTAGTAGTGATGTTAACACTTATTCGGTGTTCAGACGGCCATATAGACGACTCATAGACTGACGGTCGAAGCAGCTCAAGAATCACCATCGTTGTTGCAGCAAGCTGAAACTCCAGTATGTTGATGAAGCGTTATCGGATTCTGAGCTATCGGCGACTCGTGGGAGGGATCTGAGACCAATCGAGTCAAAGAGTACATCTCAAGTTCGAACCAACGCGCATTATACACCTTAATGATGTTGATTAATGCCTTCAAGCCAGGTCCCAACAATCCCCGAGGTGTGAGCTGAGATTTGATACTGCCAGTGGGCATCGGCATCTGGGCAAATATATACACGAAGGTCGAGAATTCAGAATTTCAGGTACGGTCTAGGTTTTGTTCGGAGTCGAGCCTGGATGCTGTGTGGTTGATGCTTTGAAAGCACTCTGTAATGCGAACTTTCTGGAACAGTAAAGCACCTAATCACTGTTATGCCCAAGCTCTCAGCACGCGGTATCAGCACTGATATATGTTGCACATGCTTCACTTTTGCTACAATTGCTAAGCATTATAGTATTCAACTACTCGTGAGTACATGTGACTGGAATGATCCTATTCAGAGAGCGTTGCTACTAGTCATAGGCTCGACTTCAAGTCCTCCATGCCACTGAACCGTATCTGTAGCTCTCCGAAGAGAGCTGTATGGGTACGCACTAAGTGGACAAGTAGTCTAACAGAATGCCCGTGAATAGAAATAGCCCCATATAATGGTTGCTCTGTAAGAAAATGGATGGTGTTAACTGCCAGTGTGGCGGGATCAGCGGAGGACATGGCCGACTAACCACAAAGACCACCAAGCTCGACTGCACGACCTCGGCATTCCAACTCAAGAGTTGCCAAAATATGTGGAGTGATACCCCGCAGCAACCAATGAGAAAGTATAGGGTACCGTTTCCGTTGAGAAGACCCGCGAGCACAGAAAGCGCGACAAAGGCAGCCCCAAAAACAGCGGTGATCCCCCAGATATGTGGGCCGAAAAGGCGTGCCGTCAATTTAATCCCCACTTTCATGTCATCGTCCCTGTTTTGAGCTCCGTACATGGTGTCCAGCATGATAATCCACCTGTTAAAGTGGCCATTAGAGCAAAGATTAATTCAACCGAAGTTCAAGTTGTACGCACGATATTGTACTCGCCGTCAAGACCTGAAGCAGAAGGATCGTTAGAGGTGTGAATTCACTGCCTGCTAGAGATGCCCATGCGACAATGCACCCCCAGCTACCGCCTACGCCTGCAGGTCATCCTCAGTTTTCTGCTTATAAAAATGTTCAGCCCGTATGACCCACCTAACCAGAATTGCGGCCACCACGTCCAATGTTTCATCTGCGGATAGAGAAAACCCAACGGCAAAGAAGATACCATGTACCAGAACCTGTGAGTTTTAAAATGAGTAGCACGTTTAAAGCTCTGAAAGGTCCGTTACTCACGCCATCCGATTGGTATAGGAAATAGCGACAAATGTTAGTGCTAGCAGGGCCAGAAATAACACAAAGGCCTCGATAACCGATACAGTGCCAGTGACGAGAGGTCGATCTCAGGTACGTTCTTGAAGGGATCCTTAGGATAACACGGTGAATATGGAGCTAAAGACTGACCAACTCGACCGTCTAGATCTCTGTCGCACATATCATTCCAAATGCAGAACGCACTGTGATAGAGGGTTGCCACGAGCATGAATATCACTGCATGCTTGAACACGATATATCTGGGGCTGTGTAAGTTGCAAGCGGCCATAGCTAACCCCCATCCTGGAGTCACCGTATTGTCAGACTTTTCTAAGTAGATGTCGAACGGGTGGACAGACCGTAAGGCCAGAAGACCAACAAGCTACCAAATGGGAATTTATGCAGGCGCGTCAAGCGTACAAGCTCATACGCTCGCCCGGCAGCGGAGGCAGCTGAATCGCCTTTGTTCTTCTCAGGATACATTGTGGTTGCGGGCATGGCAGATACTATTGAGCCTCCCGTGGAGCTGCCAGTGAGGACTGTTAAATGCGCGTGCACCTAGATGTCGGTTTGGCTTGCTGCTGTTCCTAGCCGGAGCCGTTCTTTAGAATGGCTTCGAAATACATTCTAGTAAGTGCGGCCGTAGCAGTGAGCCCGTGTCTCCCATGACGAGACTCGTGCACTGGTAATGGTCACCTTCCAGACAGTGCCTGGAACTTGAGAGCTTGAGAATGGGCTGCCGGCTGTCTGATTCAAGTTCATGTGCTTGCTGTCCAAGAGCACGGTGTTCAACGGCGTGAGAGGTCATACCAAGGCAAAAGAGCTGTCTGCTCTGAACTTGGACATGGAGGTTCCGCAAGCCGTTTACAAGCCTGTGGACATTGGAGACGAATCCCCGAGGTGCGATAATCGATCAGCGGGAGCAGGCCTGGCGAGGGCTGGAGCTCATGCCTTGGGCAAATATCTGTGAACAAAAGATGCCAAATTAGATCCAACGTCTTTACGCAATTCGAGCACAATCTCTGGGGTTTTCTAGCGATGCCCGTGATGAGATTGAACTCACGGCAGTGGCAGCAGCGGCGGCGCATCGATGTATTAACATCTATCGCCGTACTTCTGAGCAGACTCGCACCGCAGCTACGCATGCAGAGACCCTATCTCGGTCACTAAACAGCCAAAATCAATCGAACATCTGCATCAGGGCAGAACTCATACATGTGCCACATCAGCTTTCCATACCAGTTGAATTAAGGACGCCTTCCTGCACACCCATCTGTTCGCAGCCACAGATTGGAGGCAAGATTTTGACATCCAACGTAGTGTTGAACAAGGGCTGCGGTCTCGCCGTCGACAATTCCTTCGAGCGGAAGATGATGCGTGATGGATACCGGAGAGAATTACGGCGGTTGGTGGCAGGACTTGTGGGCGCCAAGGCTCTTTCCATATCGTCATCACGTCTCCCATGCCAACAGCGCGGCGCGCTAGCAATCGGATGGCTTGTCAACAAGGTTTGATGGATAAATCTGGTCTGTGGGTATCTCGATATATGTGATTAGTATACACGCATTTGTGGCGCCAACATGGGCCGCATTGCCGCTCACGTCACTATACACGAGACAAATCAAAAGATCTTTTCGGCTGAAAGAGGCACGAAAAGAGCTTAACAACATTTTCTAAAAATAGCCCAACCCTTTCAGCAGAAAAGATGTGAGAAACTTTCAGCGTAAATAGTACCAAAATGAGGAGCATTATTTTGGAAATGTTTCATAGTGCAAAAGCCATATATTTGTGATGCAAAGAGCAATGACAATATCTACACTGCTTACAGATGGACCTAGGGCATCTATTTCCACCTGTATAGGCGCAAAAGTTTCTCTTTGCATCACAAATACTGTATATGGCCTTTTCACCAAAGGTATTTCCAAAAATAGTGCTCCTTCTTTTAGTACTATTTCCACTGAAGATTTTTTGTGTCTTCTTCACTGAAAGAGTGAGGTTATTTTCAGAAAATGGTGTCGAACTCTTTTCATGCCTCTTTTAGCCAAAAAGACATCCTAATTTGTCTCGTGTATGCCCTAACGAATGTGCTGCACATGTGCATGAATGTCCGCCTGCTCCAAGCACCCCATGCTCTGAACTTCTGCTCCCCGTCTTGGCAAAAAACATTTCCTGATCAGGCGACTAGCAAATCTCGACTCTCACTGCCAAATTATCACGGCCAACAATGTTCCAAGCGCAACCTGGTTGTTGTTAACTTGTTTACCTGGTGAGATTACACTCAGAATGACGTTCTTCGATCCTGTGGGGCGAACTAAGTCAGCTACAGTGTCTAATTGTTTGCTGTCTTGCTGAGAGCCAGCTGCCGAGTCATTTGATAACTGGAGGACCACCAGCTTTGTGTCTTTCCAGGTATGATCCACGGAAGCGGCGCTGATTACCAGTCCTCAGCCTCTCTGCTCTATGCAATTACATAAACAACACCCCCCTTTACTGCTCTGCATCACTTTGCAAATTCTTCGGCGCGTTCACGCTTGCCAAATTGCTTTGCGGTTGCCATATGCATGCACGGTGGTCCAGAGGACCCCAATCATACCCAGAGCTCTGGTCACTTGGGGACGAGATTCTGGGTCAGTGCCTCGGTCTTTCTTTAATCTATCATAAGGCCTGTTACCCTAGTGATAGGGTCCTTTCTCTTGCACGTTCGGGGAAAGACTGTGCCCCAGGCCCAAACTATCTGTCGAACACACTCAGCGTCGGTATTTGAGTTTAACCAGGTCGAATGGCGCCTTTGGTACAATCAGGAAAATGTCTGAACGACTTGGTGTCGCCTGTGCATTTTGAACCTGGACCGACGTGCCTTGGGTACGTTATCTCCAAACTAGATTCCAACAACACCCAAGGTGCGAGTGCAGATTTCCGTACTGGGCATCGGCATCAGGGCGAATGTATGCACCTCAGAATTTCAGGTTTGTGCCGAAAACGTAACAGCGAATCGGACCTGGTACTATGATTGATATTGTGAAATGGACATCGAACCACCATCATCCGGCACGCGGCTTTTCCGCCTGGCTTCGGGCGATGTTTGCGAGGGCAGTTTAAAATTGCTTAGGGACTAATTCAGGCCCTCTGGAAAAGTATAACGCCCAATCACCACCATGTCCGAGCCCTCAGCACGCAGTAACAATGCTGACGTCTATTGCACATGCTTCATTTTCGCTACAATTGCGAAGCATCATATCTGACTATCTTTAGGTATGCAGTAAACCAATCCTGGAAGCCTCACTACCAGCAACAAGCTCGACTTCAAGTGTCCTATGCTACCTGATCGTGCCGTTAGGTCCTTGACTCAAATGGGTTTATTGGAGGCAAGGCACAGCCAAAAAAAGCCAGCAAGATTACGCGCTTTCATGGGAAATTATGCGCAGACGGCAGTAACAAACTTTGTATCCTAAATTGCGCTTATTGGACTTTCCCTGAAACGCACGAATACGGGGACACGCGACATGGAGACAAGCTCAAACCGTGATCTGATCATGACATGAGGTGCCCCCAAATTATGCCGTCAGATGCATGACAAACTGTAGAGCGAATCAAGGAGACCATCATTTATAAAGCGACGGTTGCGCACCCAAGGAATACTATTACCATTTGTTACTATATACCTATTACAGGCTGAGGTTGCAGCTACGTAAAAGTGTTAATTACAACAGAGATGAGAGATCATCAATCACTGGTCAGATCACAACAGCATGCCCGCTCGAGCATGCGGTGTGGCGGACACAGAAGAGGGGGTGTTAGTTTTGGAGATCGAGAGCAAACGGCATCTGCAAGACCTTTTGGGCTGGCAAGCGAGCAACTCTGTCTGTTCGCGATACAGCGTCCATCTGAGATTCCTCTCATGGCCCATCTTGCCAGTTGATACATACCCCGCTCAGTGCACATTTAGCAAACTCAAGTGGTCGTCTCTTCTGCTCGCTCCAACCATGCAAAGTTGACGGTGTCTTCTGCTGCGATCTACTCATCACCGAGGATACGGCTCATCCCGGACTGTGGCTATCTCATAGGGGGCATAAGCGTGAGCTAGCTACAACGAGGGATAGAATGTTTCAGGCTGCCTGGGCCAGTCGCTCCTGTCTCGAATATAGCTGCGTCAGGTTGTTATGACGGAGTGTAGCGCAGAATACTCACTCAATTTGCGGCCGTAGAAGGCACAATCGCCATTGCACGCGGAAGAGCGGAAAACACTGGCCTGTCGGAGTCTTCTTCAGTCGCATGTTCAATGTACCGCTGCACCGAACCGATGCTGACTCCTGTCAGCTCCTCCCGGCGTTTGGCCGACTGGACTGCCTCATGCTCGAAGCCTCTTCGATTCCGTCTCGTAGCTCTTCTGCCTTGCAGTGAATCGTCGGCGCTATCGTCTTCGGCTCTGAGTCACTCTGCTTGGCCATAGTCCAAAGGCTCGTCAGTATTCCAGAGGAAATCAGAGGGCACCCTGGAACTCGCGGAGAAGCGGAAGAAGTTGCTGAGCGTCGGAGCTGTTTTCGCTAGCGTCAATGGTGCGGTTGAGCTGGCGAAGATTTTGTGCTCAACCTTCGTCAGCTCAACCACTGCAGCGACAATGGAGGCTGTAAATAGTGTCGCCTGGTCGAGCTTTCAAGTATTGCCCTTGTCATTCGAGCTTATGGAATTGTCACCGTGTACTCAGTAAGGGCACTTGCGTAGGAGCCCTGTCGGCACGGGCCAAGATCAGGACCTCTGTGAAGAGATGCATTCAAATGCTTACCTCGTACACAAGACGATTTGCATGAATTAGGAGCTGTAGGGAATTTATGCCTAGAAGCGTACTTGCAGTTCCGATGTCAGACAGAGTCGTTGTCGAGTCGCATAATATCACAGCTTACCAAAAATAAAGGGCGCCTAGCACGGTATTTCTTGGGTTGCGTCGCATATGGTGAGTAAATGAGGGCAAAATGCAGGCTGTCTCTGAGCAGCACAGCAGAAATAAACAAAGTGATCCTGAACATCCGAAGAGCTGCGAAATTTCTCACTTTACGAGAATGACTGAGGTGTGTACGAAGTTAAGCTGGACGTAGTTCGGTAAGATTAACTATATAGCTGATGAAGGTAATTGCTTACGATATTTGTTCTCAGATAGGATTGTCCCAAGTGCTGCGAGTACAACCGCAGAGAACACACACCTCGTCCTCGAGCCCTGCCAGAGTGTGTACACACGCAGAGCGAAGAGTTCTAGGCAGAGATTCAGCCCAATTTAACTGCGGATATGATTGGCACTCACCCAAAACCAGGATGTTAACCAACAGCTATACAAGTAATTCCAAAGTGTAGTCCGGTCTACACTTTGTAGCAAGTGCAGCAGGTTCATAATAAAGATCTTAAAAATGAAAAAGCTAGAAAACGTAATGTACATCCGTAGAGCGATGCAATTGGATCAGCCTCTCCAGGCCTCTAGGTGTCAATGTACTCACGCTAGCTTCGTTTATTGAGCAGCATAACCTGCAGAAGTGTGCCTAGGACCATGAGCCACTGGATGGTCAGTAACAGCAGTGAAGTGACCATGAACTTCCTTCTCCATATTACTAAAATCTCCTGGTCGAGCGTTATGACAGTTTCGTAGGCTACGAGACTGACAATGAAAATTATTTAGCAGACTGCCATCAAGGATTACCAATGAGCTCGACACCAACGCGGCCTACGATTACCTCCACAATCAGATCAGACTGTAGCGAGAGCGGAACGATGTCAATCGCCCGAGGCAGGTTGCATGGGTGGTACGAGCAAGTGCCCCGAACCATTTGAAGGGGAAATAGACAAGCTGAGCAGGCTGTGCGGCGAATATCTGCTCGTTCTGCAGCAGGTCACAGCACAATTAAAGTCTTCGCAGCTAGCGTTTGGCCCCAGCCTTCAATGTGTCTTCGCCTGCGAGTCCGAACCCGCCTCACCATTCTAGCACCATACCATCACGATCCAGTAAACCTGCTAGAACTAATGCAGACGCACCAGATGAGATGTCTCATCTCCAAGGTACACATGCAGCCAGCATTCCCCGACAGATCTGCGGTGTACTCGTAATTAGAGCAAGACTAGGATGGATACCGCGCGCCAGACCACTGCACTCGCCCGCCTGGTAGTGTCCGCTCATCTACTACCAGCGTCGCAGCGTGCAGTGACAATGGGTGCAGGGTTATATACGTACACGTCAAATGCTCACATTTGTGGCGTCTACGGCTGTCTCTCTTCAGCCACCATCTCCATCCACCCACGCATCACCTCCATCGTCGCCAAGCTGGACGCTCTGCACTGCTGTTGAGTTGATAGGTTCTTCCGTTTGCGCGCTTTGTCCTTTGCGCGTGCGCGCCGCGCAGCCTTTTCACGGCTCCCTCTGGCACTTACCAACCCCGCATGGATAGCTAGCCAGCCTTGATGACGGTGACACTCTTGCTTCGACATCTCTACAACCCCAGGGCCCAGCAGCGCTCGACAGTGCTCGCCAAGGTGCTGTAGGATGTCCAAAGTCTCCGAACAAAAACAGGACGTCAATAGACAAAGACGTGATTATCCCGCTTGTAACGACGGCCTCGGCTGGACATAGGTGGTGGTAGGCGAGGAGAAGGGACTGGAGAGCAGTTAAGAGCGGGTTGTCTAGAGGACATAGGTGCGCATGCTACTTAAAGTCATGCACGCTCTGTTACTGATGTTACCCGGAGGCAGAGCCTATCGATACGCGCACAGCTTGACCTGAATAACTTTGTTTCATCTGCACGACCAGATTGTTCCGTATTTGCTCCGCACCAATCAGGCTGCCTACTTCCTATGGAGACGACCATGCGCTCCAAGACCTTATATCCCAGTTCCATAGGCGACGAACATCTCGGCGCACGGCCATACAGATCCACCCACCATGACCGGCGCACTCTCCAAGCTCTTCATCTTACGCCCAGTGCATCTCAGCAAATGCCAACACAAGCTGACCTTCGATGACCATGCATCTCTGCCGCACCTGTTCATCTTCATCTGGTCCTTCGTTGGCATCCCCGCATCGAAGAGTTCATTTCTATGTCAGCGTACGAGGCTGCCCGATGCGGGTCGTCAGACACACCGTGTTGATGTCGGTCTCCTCGCTATTGCGCTGTCGTGCAAGCGCGTGCATACAATCCGCTCCCCGTGGTCCTTTGGGTACCACATTGCCAGTGGCAAGGTGCGCCCACTGACGCCTCGTACTCCAGCCTCATCGCCTTTATCAACATTCGAAGCGACAGGCTGAACAGCGACGCTTCGTCGACCCGCATCGCGAGTCTCACAAGCTGCGCCGAGACAGCTCCATGTTGACAACGCTTTCTGGACATTTGTTGCCATGTTTGCGTTGGTATGGCTCCAGCATTACCAGGGCAGTCCGCGCACCTGCCGCCGCAATGATCACCAGTGATTCACCCGCTTGAAGATCGGGATATGGTTTGCTCGCTGCCGGCTTTTCTCCTCGAGTTGCTTCAATGCGCACAAAGACGGCACGAGCACGATCACATTCGATAGCACACTTCGTGCACTCGGGGTCTTGTCCGAGAGTGGGGCATGCCGCGGCACGCATCCGCGCGCTCGACAAGTGTGTACCCTCACTGGCCTGCCCCTCTGCCTCTCCGCAACGGCGGCGTGCACGACTACGGGATCTTCTGCCTGTTTGTCGTGCATGGCGGGGTGTTTTACGTCAGTTCGCCCTCCCATCATGATCTATCAGCCTCGACACTTTTGGAGCGCAAGTTCTGGCCGGCAAGAGGGAAAGTGTGGCATCATGACCTCGACTGAGGGCCAGTCGCGTGGAGGTACTTGTGCCTGCCACCATAAATTGTGACAGTTGACTTGTAAGCGGTCCGTAATATGCTCTGTCGCCTTGAGCACAACAATATATCACAGATGAGCTTTTTTGGAGACCTGGGGCCGGGCTCCTGCATGTTTGTTGTCGACAACTAAAGGCTGCTTCTCATGGCAGACTTCCGGCTATTACCTTCTGCTAGCAAAAGTTGGACACTGACTAGTCGCTATTCGGCTCAGACCAAACAGAGGGCCGCATATGCTTTAATTCTGGCCGCATTCGAGAGTTCGCTAGTCGCAGAGCGCCAGCTCTGCTGCGAGAAGCGCGGAAGACAGCTGACGAGCACTCGCCTTTGCTCCGCAGTGGTGTTCCTGCGCCGAACGCAGCCTCTACCACGTTAGACCATCCTGGGCCGCTCCTCTGTTAGGAAGAGAGGGGATTATATTGACACAAGTTTGGCCCACTATCGTCACGTCTGCCTTGATGAGAGTTGTCAGCCGCTTCTATTTACTTTTGGCTTGGTCATGGCATTCTTGTTTGCTTTGCTGATTGAATGTGCAGATTTAAGGGATGAAATGAAGGAGCCATGGCGAACGAAAGAATTGGCAGCCAGACACTTGCAGGACTTTAGAACGACGAGATACGATGTCGTGCCATTCACAGTGATAAATACATACTATATTTTCTACAGAGATTGCAGACAGCAGAGGAAAGATCGGAATGTGTGTTAAATGTGGGAATTGAAACACAATAACTTAAGACGTGGCTATCAGTGCCTCAACGTCGGTGTTGAACGGCACAGCAGTCGATAAATACCGGCGGCTACGGATTCATGGTACGACCGTCTATGAAAATCTGCTTAAATCGCGGCTATATCAGATTTTATTAATGGAGCGTAGAGCCGAATGCTTACCTAATCTGCATCCATGGAAGGTTCACTCATCAATGAGCACGGGAGAGCAGATGACCCAGCGTCGCATTCTTCACTTGCACGGCTAGTGTACTGCAGCACAGGAACGATACCGGCTCCTGTCGGCTCCTTCCAATGTGTAGTTGATGACCCGCATGCCGCTCGAGATCTTCTCCAAGTCTGTCTTGCAAATCGTCTGCTTCACGGTGACCGTCATCACCATCTTCGTCAGCTTCTCCCGGCTGATCATTGCTCAGAGGCTCTCCAATGTTTCCGAGAAAATCGGAGGGCACTCGAAAGCTCACAGAGAAGCGCAAAAAGTGTTGTGCATTGGAGTTATTGCCACTAACCTCAGTGGTGTGGTTGAGCTGGCGGAGGTTGAGGATAAAGTGCTGCACCAGTAAAGGAGGCTGTTGGGCATCGACACCTAATCAGTAACTGCCTCCGACATCTGGCTTACGGACCTATTACCATGTATTCGATGAAAGCGGCGGCATAGGAGCCCTGTTGGCGCAAAATCAGAACCTTTCCGGAACGATGCATTCAGACAAATACTTCATCCGTGAGATAAGTTGAGTACGTCAGGAGCTGTAGGATGCTTAGCACGAGAAGTGCGTTATGATCTCATATATTAGGCAGGGTTGCTGTAAAGTTGCGTGATGTTATAGCTCACAGAAAATAGAGAGTGCCTAATTGGTATCCCGTGAGTTGCATTGCATATGAGCAAGTAGAAAAGAGTGAAATGAAATACATACCGTCTCTGAGCAGCACGCTGGAAATAGACAACGTGAACTTAAGTTGTCGCATTGCCCGCCAGTGCGCAAATGACTTGACCCATGTCACTACAAAGACGACGATGTCAGAGGCAACTGCACTGCCTCTCGAAAGAACTTGAAGGATCACTGCAAGGATGTTCATAATGCGGTAAGAATAGGAAGTGAAGTGCAGCAAACATACATCTGGACAATACAGGCAACATCAAAATTAGCGGTTGCCATAGTAGGCCAGAACATACTCCGTGTTAAGATTCTGCGGTATGTTGACGAACTCGAGACATCCAACGAACTCTGGATTCTTGACGAAAACAGATGAGGTGCGTACCAGGAATAACTAGATGTAGGTCAGCAAGAGTTGGGCACATAGCTGATGGCTCACAATATTTGTTCCAACTGGAACCATCCCAAGCACGAGGACAGCTGCAGGAAAGGTATGTTTCATTCTCGAGCCTTGCCAGAGTGCGTATACATGCAGGGTGGAGAATGCTATGCAGATAATTAGTCTATTTTTGTGTGATTCGGCAGTGAATGTGCTTGGTGCTCACCCAAAATCAGGACCGTGACCGCCAAGTACACAAGTGTTATCAGTGTGTAACTTGGCTTACACCTTGTATCAGGTACAGTAGTTAATGAGAGCCCGAGAGCGTGGCGGAAAAAATGACACCCCTGTAAAGAGATACCATAAGCATCTGGAAACACTAGATTTGTTAATTAGTACCTTTCCTTGTCTTTTTGCAAGCTTTCTCACTAATTTTTGTTTTTTAGTTACTAATTGAAAGCTAGCTGCCTTTTTCTACACTAATAGCTTACTATTTGGCTACATATATACTAATAATTAACTAACTGACTGTTTGTATACTAACCATTAACTGACTGACTATTTTTATACTAGTCACCTACTAACTGACTTTTTTATACTAGTTATTGACTAACTGACTATTTGAATACTATATAGACACTGTGTAACTAATTGTAAGCTTTGTAATTTTTTTTGAATGCTAGTTATCTAACTCACTGAAAGACCACTATTCTGTTACTATAGCATTGATGTTTTTCTTTGTGCATGCCTTGTTAAACTTCTTCAGTGTCTAATAATGTTATATAAGTACTCATAACTATAACAAACATCACAAGCTACAGAACATTCATTTTGTGTCTGATTTCCCTTTTGAATTAGTTAACAAGTATACAGTGGGTCTTTTGCAGAGAGCATGTGACATTAAAACATCTCCCATGTGACTTGTGACCTAAGGCCTAATAAAAAAACTGTTGCTGTCAGGTGGTGGCACTGCAGGTGCAACTTGCACAGAAACTAGCAGCCAACTAACTGTGATGTGTAATATAGAGCCAGATAAAAAAACATGTCCAGTGGTGTGTGATGCATAACATTGCTACCATACATTCTTTTACAGTAACTGCAGCATACTATGTTTTGATATAAGTCCTTCAAATGTTTGTTGGAAGAATTGGCCTGGCAATAGCCAACAGTTACAAGTTTAATATTTCACCTTTATTACAGGTCACAAAGAAGTTTATTTGGTTGTGACACTTGAGGTTTGCCATTATGGGAAGCTATGCTCTTTCACAATTGCAGCATTTTGTAGCACTGCTAAGCATAATAGATTGCCGAAAAGCTATTTAAATATATATAAAAAAGGCAAATTTCAAATGGCCACATTAGTTTGCATTCAACACACACTGTTAACTTTTTCACAGTGTTCATGCAGTATCCATGGCCAAGCCTGTCTGAAATACTAGTAGGCTCTCTATTGACAGTCTCACCATTCTTTAGTGTGAGCTTAGTAGCAGAGGGTTAGCACATATTATCACAGACATGAAAAATATCACAGGTTACAGAGCTTTCATTCACTCATCCAAATCAGTGTATAATCATAGAACTATTTGGTATAACTATAAAACTACAATAAAGGTAAATGAGTATTGCAAACACTTTGAACCTAAGAACCATTACCTAAAACTGGTATATGGCCCTTCATTAAGAAATCCTTACTAGAGGCTAGTTTCCAGAATGTAAAGTCTGTATCTCAGCCATTTCTCTGTAGAACTGTATCAATATGAACTGATTAAAGTTGCTTAAGGCTGTATATTATATTCTTGCATTATAGTTATCATAACCTGAAGTTCTTTGTGCACTGTGAGACTCTGCTCTTAAACCTTCCACTTGTTGGCAAATTATCTTTTTACACTATTCAACAGAACTATCTAAGTTCCCCATAAGAGGGCAACTTGTAATCACTTCTGAGGATGCTTAGTCACATTGTAAGTACATGCTTTTTATACTGTTTCACCCATTGCCACATTGTTTATTCACCAGTTCAAGTGGTTGTGAGCTTGTTTGAATATTCTATTCTATTTTGCAAGATTTATCAAATATACTAAGCTTTAAGTTAAGCCTTTAACTCTAAGATGCTACCTTTACCTACTACAACCTGCCAAAGGAATTGAACTCTTCTTGGAGATATGGTAAGCCACAGGTAGAATACAATACAATACAGATTGGCTTTAGCTATACCAGCAGATTATAACTGAATCTAGTAGAGCAAGCACTATAGTATAACAAAAGCTAACAGTGCATTTAGACATTAAAGTATAAGTGCAACTTTGAGTATTGTTGTAAGTTCTTAGAAAATGCATATGAGAATATTCAAACACAGTATTAATGTTGGTCAGATGGCTCAGTGGTTAAAGTGTGGTTGGCTCCTCAGTGAGGTTGAGGGTTCAATTCCAGTGAAAACCCCGTCCGCCCGAAGCGACCGAGGACTGTCCGAGTCTATCGAAGATTAACTATTCTACCCCCAGCGACCTCAGAGAAATTAGCAGACGCCGGAGAAGCCCCGACGTCCGCGTCCGTCAGTTGCGTCTGTGGCCCATCAATGTTACCGTGGTCTTTGATGCGTCCATAAATGCCTCTCCAACGTGTTCAAACGCCACCGACTCTTTCCAGATCCAAATCCGAGTCTGAATGCGAGGGCTTTACACCAATGACTTCAATGTCCCGACACCGCCGACCGATGCCGCCAAACCGAAGTGGAAGTGCCCTATCCCACTTATATAAGGGCACACGTCTGACGATAGCACCGCGCCGCTCTCTTTCTGCTGCCCCCACCATGCCACCCGTCGTGCCCCGCATCCCTGTGGTCCCCATCCCGCTATCCAATCTGGCAAGAGGTGAGTATATGCGCATATACCAACACTGAAAGGCTGTATTGACATCAACTCATGCCTCTCGACCCTGCGTTGTACTCGACATCACAGGGACAGTCGAGCCAGTCGACATGCTGCCGCAAATATCCGGGGCGGGCTCAAGGTGCGTCTACGCTCGCTTTTTTGATAGCTGTGTCGTGCTCACGACAGCAATCAACAGACAAGTCCATTTCTGTTCATCATGTATATGTGCTCAGGACATGCTGGACCCTTATACCGCGCGATGGACGGCGGGTGGTCGCGGATGTCTTGCTTCTGGCGCTCGACCGACCGCATAACAATCCACGGTAGGCCGAGGAGGAACCCCGGAACACAGGAGGATCAGTAGGTGTAGAGTACAATGGACCTAGATTGTACCGAGCACATTTGTACATGTATGGGTAGCACAAAATATAATATCAATTTTACTCGAATTAAGCGCAAAGAATTGAGGGTGCGGCTCATGGAATTGCTCAAACCTGCCCGGTACTGTCCGGATCTACCCACAGTCAACCCATGTTTGTGCGGACACATTCTGATGGATTGGATAGACCTTAGGTCCCTTACTACAACACTCCACCATCCAGGTCGATCCCACGCTACCAACCAACTACAGGTCGACTCAGGTCGACCCAGATAGCGCCAGACGGACGAGGTTCTCACTGGGGTTCAATTTCCACCAAGGCCATTTGCAATAAATGGGTTCATTAAATGAATTGTGTGTTGGTGAGTGTTTAGAATGTGAAATTAGTTCTCTAAATGTTTTATTTTTGTTTTTGTTTACTATTTATTGCATTATATAACAGTATAGTAGGCTAGTTAATTAGATCAATAGTTGATTAGTGGATTAGAGAGCTGTTAGAGGTGACTAGTATGCAATTAGTGAGCAATTAGTAAGAAATTAGGTGTGGGACCAAGTATATTAGTGCTAGGACTACTAATTGACTACTACCCATACTAATTAGCATGATTAGTACTAATTAGTAATTTAGGCTTTTAGAGATGAGGTCAGCCTATTTTTATCATCAAGCATAGGCATGCTCACACCAAATAGATTTATCATCAGGCAGTACAATTGCCAGAATGGGGCCCAGGATCATGAGCCACCGTGTGATTAGCAGCAGCAGCGATGCGGCTGTGAACTTCCTTCTCCACACTGCCACAATCTCTTGGTCAAGTGTTATTAAAAAATCATAGACTACAAGGCCTAAGAATAACAATCTTTCAGCAGATTATCACTGAGGAATAGCGATCATGATGAGGCAACGTACACAGTAGTGAATAAGTGACATAGTTTAATGTTAGGCTGGATACATAGCTTGTGCGTCAGAGTATGTGTGCGGCTTCGGGGGAGAGAGCGTGTACTTTTCTTGTACCTCCTGCCTTGTGTCTTTGTTTGACTGAGCCATGTCGCCTGTGATGTGAGAAGATACTGGCTGGTGAACTCACATCATGCTATATACCTTATGGCATATGCAGTGCTGTGGTGCACTTCACTGCCAATCACCCAATGCTGGTCAGCGTATAGAAAGTACTTTTAATGGAAGCAGGCATTTCAAGCTATCGGAGAGACAGATGGATATGCTAAACATCGTAGATAGACTAGCCGTGGACACAGTGATATCAAAGAGGCGGTGCATGTCACAGTAAGACTTTGATAAAGACAGGATATACATCGTCAAACTCAGGGCTTGGAGATAACAGACATTTGACACGGATCAAGAGATGTGCATGGTCAAGAAAATGCAGAGACCTCACGGACGTAAACTTTGTAGCGTCTGTGGAACAGCATCACGTGGCTGTAAATGAGCACCAGCACGACATAGCTACTGGACCTAGGCCTCGTCCCCTCACATGCTCACAGAACTACAGAGTCGAATGTCATTGTCCTCCTCCGCAATGATGCTGTGCGCTACAGGAGCCAACCTCCCTCCCGAGATGCTCTCCCGCATTCTCTACTACCTCACTCCTCCTAGCGCATGCAAGGATTGCGCGAGCCACTCATTCGAGCTCTCGCGGAAAGAATATGTGTGCTTGAAGAGTGGACTTGCTGCACCCAGCCTTGTATGCAAGCACTGGTCGGAGGCGATCAGGCCTCTCCTCTTCTCAAGACTCGATTTGCATAGCGCAGAAGACGTACGTATGTTACAGAACGTCATTGATGGTCCCTGATTCCAGACGTCATCTCTATCGGGTGCAATTTAGCTTGTGAATATACATGAGGAGGCTGCTCCGACGAAGCCTACATGGCTCCATCATGTCCATTGGCTGACATCTTGACTTCGAGAAACACTGTTCCACTGTTACGTCAAGAGCCCTACAGATGGTTCTCATTCGATGATCAGCCACCGAGATGTGTTCCGTTCATTGCCCAGGGTGCCCCCACCCTCCAGCCTGCGACTCACCACCCTTGTGCTCAGAGAACTACAATTTGCGAGTGCGATGGAGCTCGCGCTGCTCGTTGACAGCTTCCCATCCCTCCAGCTTCTTGTTTGCGACCAACTGACCTTCCTTGACCCGTCACCTGTTGTCCAGTCCCGCAGGAGTCTGTGAAGACTTTTGTCACCTCGCTTCGAATGCCAAGTATTGCAATGCGACTCGGAGGAAATACCGCTTTCTGCAAAAGCCGCACTTGCCTCTGACGTCCTCTCGATTGCCACCTGCGTCGGCCTCAACGTCAACACATGGGACGCCGTTCTTCATGCACTACTCGCTTTGGCACCTGGAACATTTCAAGCTGTATGCGTAAAAATCCTGCAACCCGAGGACAAATCGCTCAGTATGTCTTCTAATCAGTTCAGAGACTGGATCTTGTGCTAAATGTCCCCTATCAGAGGAGGCACACATTATTCTTAGACCAAGCAAGAACGCCATAGTCTCGTTTCGTGGCAGTTATATCTGCGCCAGAATTGGGATATGCCAGGCGAGTGCAGCCAAGGTATTGAGCCTCCATCCGCATTCATCGACTGTATCGATCTCTGGCTTTCACTCCCTGAAGCCCAGGCCGATGAATTCCCTTGTTTTGACGCCTTCCAGACAATTGTCGATGCTCCACTCTTTGACTGTCTTTGTTTTCAGAGTGATACATTGGATAGCCCGCCGTGCAAGACCTTGAAAACGATCCTGTGCTCCGTCTTGCAGGGGACACAGTTGGACTGGGCTCTCAAGTCACACAAACTCAACTTCGCATTTCCTGGTTCCCAGGGTTACCGTGTCCTCAGCAGTTAAGACATTCTATCCCTGCAAGTGAGCTCGGAATACACTATCGACAACATCTTGATCACTCTCGATGCCGCTGAACAAGCCGAGTGGATTATTCGTAATGTTCATGGAAAGGGCGAAAAATACCTGGAGGAGCTTGTAGCCGTGCGCGCGAGCGGGCCATCGACAGGCACGAGTTCTGGGACAGTGACTGGGCCATCTGCTCCAAAGGAAGCCTAGAGCAAAGCGGCTGAGCGGTTCGAGGTGTGTTTATGGTCTGTGCTCATCTCTCTGCAGGCAGCTGATCAGTGTTTTATAGCTGCCAACATCGTCAAGGCGCAGTGTTTGAGAGGATCAAGGATAGGATATGGCTGGTGGGCAAAGCAGGGCAGAGACGCCGGTGGTGCAGAGGTGGTGGCTAGGACGTTGGCACATGTAGGGAATCTGTTACTGGGACAGAACTGCTTCACAGTGATGTCTCTCAGAAAGTCAGGTTGTATCTACCTTTGTAATACGAGGACATGTGTACAGTATGGGTAACAGCATTCCATAGAGCTAACGAGATTTTCGGCCCATTGGCAGAGTTATTGGATGAACTTCGAAGTACAATGACAATAAGAACTAGACAAACTGAGCGTGTGCAACAGCGATCAGGAAGTGCAAATGAACTGAATGTCTACATGATAAAATATTGTGGAACCAGCGATGGACAACAGGGCAGCGACGTCAAGACTAGGAGCCCGCATTCCAGACCATTGATACATTTCACTGTACCGTCGGCACAAACACAAGTTCGCACTTCTTGGCAGCCTAATACGGTACCTGCCACATTTCTGTCAACACTTCATCTTTGCTCATCAACGTACGAATGGGCACATACATGTCAGAACTGGACGACTACATGTACGGACCATATGGGGATACATCACACGATCACCATTATCTTGTAGTAATACAATAGACATTATTTATTTGTGCCTAGTCCAAGATTATTATTGATCTTTATTTTGATGCTGATAAGATCCAAGCTGATATATTCACCTGAATTAGTAAGATCGGCAAGAAGCGCAAAAATAGGCCGTCTTAGATTATGTTGACATTTTCAACGTTGAGCAAGCATGGTGAAAAGCTCACAGAACAGCGTGGGGCATGGTATGCCAACGCGTCTATAATCATGTTCAGAGACAAGCTGTGTCGGCGCCAGAGAGTGCAAAGCTCAAGCGCCACAAAGTCCTCACATAAGCGCCAGTAGACCTTTTCCATGACCACGACTCTAGTTTTACACTAAATTTTTGGCGTGCTTGACTTCTACACAGCTTTGCCTTAAGTTTAGCTTGGAATGCTCCAGATCGCTAAATGGCGTTCGAATCTGGCTTCTCGCCGGGCGGAGAGCACGCAACGCAACACGAATCGTCGAGAAGAAGAGGAGGAGCTGCACTATAAATCGATCTTCGGATGTTGGAGATGGCTAGGTGATTATAGTAAGTTTTGATGTTTCTCTAGGTTAGTTCAGTTTACTTAGAAGAATACGTCGTGAAGACACGCTCAACTACGCCTTTCCCATCGACCGCGCTCCGCCGGAGGTCCTGGCTGAAATCTTCCACTGGTACATCCTCATGGCATACATCGACGGCCCCAAGACTGACTTCCCCCATCCAAAACCATACTGCTGGCTGGTGGTCAGGCACATCTGTCGCAGCTGGCGAAAGATTGCGCTCGAATACCCGGTGCTGTCAAGTTATATTTGTATCACTTCGCTGAGATGTGTTCAAGACATGCTGCACAAATCTGGAGATGCCCCGCTATATATATACGAGCCCATACACCCCGGGCCTCCAGAGCATAAAGCAGCACGCAGACTTGTGCTGGACCACATGCGACGCATCGTCTCGGCACAACTCCTGCTCCCCGGTTGTATCCCCGATCCCATCCCACCATCGCTTCCTACCACAACAATGCAAAGAGAAGTTAAATCAATCGCTCGTTCTCTTACTATCTACCAGTGGACTATCCCGGCTGACGAGCGCCCAGCCTTCTCGCATTACGATTTCCCTCATCTCGAGGATTTCTCGTGCTTGATTAGCAATCTCATACTATTCAGCAGAATGTTAGGCTCAAGCTTGCGTCGACTGGAGCTCTACAGATGCACTCCGTCGTCATGTCATGATCACCTCCTAGGCTTGCTCGGCCGGCTGACACAGCTAGAAGAACTGGTGCTGAGGCACGCATTCTTTGATGACGCATTACCCACGGGTGGCACTAGCGCTGCTGCAACCCGACCCCTTGTCCCTGTATCACTCCCACGGCTACGCATCCTCATGGTCCGAGACGAAGGTCCCCATGTACTGGTCGTTGTTCTCGGTCACCTCATTTATCCAGCCTCCACGTCGGTGTTCCTTCGTTTTTCAAATGTGCCGGGTACCTTTGACGTGCGAACGGCGGAAACACTTCTCTCACATTTCAGAAGCTCGAACAACATGCTATACGCCATCCCTCATCCCCAATCTGTCTTCATATCCAGACGACGCACCACTGAGCTGGAGCTCCACTTCTGGCAAGACCACCTTAGTATTCACGAGCTCCGAGAGGAACAGAAGACTGGGCGGTCGCCATCCTTCAGCTTTTGCTGCCCAAATGCCGATGAGGCTTTTCTTGCCGCGTTTTTGATGCTAGCTCCTCTGAGCAACGTCAAGACCGCCTTGCTCGTAGAACCTGTTGTCTCAGGGACCTTACCTTGGGGCAACATCTTGCTTTCGCTATCTGCCGTAGAGGAGCTGGGTTTCGAATATGAAACCTTCCCCAATCTCGGCGTAAACACAGTCCCAGACTCCCAAGTCGCCTCTGGAGACAAGACCGAGCCCGCGTTGCCTTTCAGTCTGAAGAGCGTACACGCATGGGAGCGCCACCATCTACATTCGGTGCTGCCTCCTGCAGAGTTGCATTCGCTTTCGATGCTTCATCATGCAGTGCGAACGCTTATGACTCGCAGCCAGCCAGCGTCTTCAAGGTTCGGATCGGTGCAGGACGTAGCGATACAACGCCATACCCTCGACTTCCACGAGCACGACGATGGAGTTTGTCGGTGTGAAGATCGCATCTTCTTTAACACTCACCCGGAGGCCTGGCATGCGTATTTGACATCAGAAATATCTAGGGACCCTAACCCACCTCAGTCCAAATCTTGGTTCGCTTCTTTTGCTGCTCGTATACACAGATCTATAGTACCTACCTGTATCATAGACTAGATATCGAATATCTCCCATTTGTGTTTGTGTATCTGTCGAGTAGAATTCGAGCCCAGCCTAGATGGTCGTCGTGCGGGCCCGAAGTTGCGGCAGACCATGCATTATTTCGCGCCGGATGCCAGGCGCGCGCCTGAAATCTCGCTCTTTCGAACCACTACCACCATTGACTCAGTGCCTGCCTGGTCATAGGCCTATCACGTATGAGCTTCGATCTCTCTGGACTATGGAGGTTGTGGAAGCGTGATAAGCAGAGAGTATCACGCGAGAAATCAAGTGAGGCAGGTCACTGTGCAACCAGCGACGAACCAAACTATGATCTTATGTTCGGCTCGCTGAGAGCGACCGGAGGCCTAGGTAAGTAGGAATAGCTCTCTCATGTAGAACGTGCTCACAGGTATAAAAAGATAGACCCTCTCGATTCCGGATGCAGGATCTACCACCCGAACTGCTGGCGGAAGTCTTCTACTGCTACATCTCGCTGATTGAACATGCCCGCGGACACGCCGAACGCCCTCCCACACCGTACGCATGGCTCGTCATCAGGCATGTTTGTCGGGCATGGCGAGTGGTCGCGCTCGTTTATCCCCGGCTGTCCTGTCGCATTCATGTCTCTACACCCGAGTGTGTGCAGGATATGCTGGATCGGTCTGGAACGACGCCGCTGTTCATTGATGATGTCTCGGATCGCAAGACAGTATCTCGCATCGAAGCGCAGTGTCGAGTGTTCGCCCATCTCGACCGAATCGTATGGGCGCAGACGTCGCTGTACTGTACTACCCCGATGCCATGCACCCAGCGCCCTATAGTATCCATGCTAGAGACCATCTTCATTAAGCCCAGGATGCCCGGATTCTCGTCCCCATTGTTTCCGGGATACACCTTTCCTCACCTACAGAACTTTACCAGTCACTGGATGGACCTGCGTTCATTCTACAAACTTCTTCCGTCCGGGTTGCGCCGCCTCGCCATTGTGCGCGGATTGCCTGACACCGACACCTCTTTGGATGACTTCATCGCGCTCCTCAGCAACCTGCCTCAACTCGAAGAGCTCAGAGTACGAGACCTATTCTATGCTCCTGACCCACTGGCACCCGAGGATGTGCACATGCTGCTACCATTTTGCCAAACCGCCACGCTAAAGTGCTTGACTTCGCTCCACATAACCGATCAACTCTGTGAGAACGGCTCGCGGCTTCTCCACAGACTCGTTCATCCTGCATCCGCCAACGTCCGGCTAGATTTCGCGCACGTCTCCGAGAGCGTTCCATGCGTTCTTTCTCCAGCAATCCTCCTTACCAAATTTCACGCGAGCGACTGCAGCCCGCCACAATCACTGTCAATCTCTTCTTCGAATGACGAGGCCATCAATGTCTGCCTCTGGACGGAGCGCCTCTCGTCCGAAGAACTACGCGCAAAGCAAGAGAATGGCGACGATGCGTGCTTCGTCTTCAAGACGTGTGGCTCGCCCAGGCGTTTTGTCGCAGAGTTCGTACAAGGCCTCCCGCTGTCGCACGTCCGTTCTGCATATCTCTTCGAGCCTGATTCCCCGAGTGTGCTCCAATGGTGCGAGCTGTTCTCTCTCCTAGCATCCGTCGAGGAGCTCTGCATAGAGTGTGGGGTGTGGAATGACGCGGAGGCCGACCCTTCGAGATGCACGGAGGCTTCCTCACTGGACGATTTCCACTCGTTATTCCCCTCTCTTGTCGTCGCAAAGCTTCATCACCTGCCCAAATCATCCCAGCCCTGGCATGTGTACGACCGCAACACCGGTGATTTGCGCACCGTGGCCCTCCTCCTGCAGGCCCAGCAAGGACGCGAGGGGTGCTCAATTTTTGTGGAAGGCGAGCTGATAATGACGTCGTCGGCCTCTGCAAGTTCCGACGAGGATGCCTTCTCGTGCTGGGCCGACGACTTCCGACTTCCGGTTGACGGAGATCAATAAGTTATACGTGACCCATTCTACTCTTGTTCCTGTATAGCATTCTCTACATCTTGGTTGTCGTCTCAAGGAGCCAGTCTTCGCTATTCTCTCTGACCAGGCTCTTGGTCGTCCTTGTCATAGTTCCAGGCTAATAGTTGCTCTAGAGTATCCATATTATATATGTCACGTATGCTTCTTTCCTACAACTCATGCCTAATACCACAACTACTACTTTCTTTGTTCGTCTAGAAGGACAAATTTATATGATCACACGAACCTTTTGGCTTGCACCAAGCCTGGCAGCTTCCTGCAGTAGTTGCCGCAAAATCACCACGGCTGATCGATGTCGAACGCGTCAAATATTGAAGCACTCAAGCCGGCCGGCGCGCCGGCTGCTGTTGGCCGCCCTGAAGTCGGCCTCTCTAGGTTGTAAGAGATATCCTGCCTCAGTTATCCGTTGTACTGCCTTGATATATGCATACGCATTGGCAAGGATCTAATCTCTCGGAAACTACAATATCATATTTTGAGAGCAAGCGAGAGTAGAGCTACGAATATTATGCTGAAGCAATTGCCCACAAGACAAGGCATAGATCGCCACGCCATAGACGCACTAAGACGCACTCTCATTGGCCAGCGATTTCTCCCGCGAAGCGCCCGCTCTCCCCTAGTCTCGACGTCTTTCAGCTCTTCCTCTCAGAGTGCCCCACGCCCAGTCGACCGAAGGCTGGCGGTGTGTGGCGTCTTCTTTCTAGTTCTCAATTCTCCCCTTGTGTGATGTTCACTTCAATCCTCTTTGCCAGTGTTACGCACGGGTCTCTCTCTCGTGTTGTTTTCGGTACTTAACCGATGTACAATACATCTGTCAAGCGGAAACTCTCCAAGATGGCCGATCAGCGGGATGGCAACTGTTCGTATTGGCACATACCTAAACTCGGAGCGCTTGCGCTTGAGGACGCGGCCTGTTCTTGACATCCACTCCTGCTGACCAGTTTCGCCTAAGCACAACATGTCTACCGTTCTCTCCGCGCTACGCAAGCATTGGAGGCGCGGAGAGTATCAAATTCTCCACGAGCGACCCGGGGCGACTAAAATACAGTATTCCTCCGCTCCGGATGACCGCTCCAGTATTCGCAATGCACCAAACGATAACGCCATGTTCGGCTCGCTTAGGGCTGAGAGTATTGGTACAGAATTTTGTTTTCGCATGATGAACGTCTTTCTAACCAGCTCAAGGTGCCTGGCCCTCACTATCCCGAATCCAGGATCTACCGCCCGAGTTGCTGGCAGAGATATTCTACCGCTACATCCTGCTAATGCTGCACACCTGCGCGCGTGTCGGAGACCCTAGTCCATACGCATGGCTCGTCATTAGGCACGTTTGCAGAGCGTGGCGAGCCGTGGCACTCGCCTATCCGCGTCTGTCTAGTTATATCTATCAAACTCGGAAGCTGGCGTGCGTTCAGGACATGCTCGACCGCTCTGGGACAGCGCCTTTATACGTGTATGACATCGAAGATGACCGGAAACAATTTAGTATGGAAGCACAGAGGCAAATGCTCCACCACCTGGACCGTATCGTTTCCGCACGGATTGCGGTGCACGACTCCATCCCTACGCCGAACCCGCAGGGGTCCCAGTACCCGGCAGTATCGATCTTGAAGACCGTCTCGATTCATGCTGAATCCAATATCACGCTCTCGGATCCTCTGTTTCCGGGATGGGTTTTTCCCCATCTTCAGGACTTTACCGGCCGGAAGATTAGCCTGTCCTCCTTCCGCACTCTCCTTCCGCCAGGACTACGCCGCCTCTCCCTTAATCATTGTTTACCTATTCTCTTGTTAGACGACCTCATCTCCCTTCTCAAAGACTTGCACCAACTCGAAGAGCTAGTCGTTCGGGACACGTTCACCGTATCCGTCCCGTTCGAAAGCAAACGGGGAACGCTCCCGTTTCGCCACTCCGCCACGCTGCAGTGTCTTAAGCTGCTTGAGGTGCGGAACCATTGCCATGTGAGAGGGTCGCTCCTCCTCCGCCGACTCGTCTACCCCAGATCTGCTAGCGTCAGGCTATCATTTATAGGCTCACTCGAAGACCCCTCGTACAACTCGGAGCTTCTAGTCAATTCATTCCTTGCTAGATTCAACTTCGCGGACTGCAATCCATTCATCTATTGTGGTGAATGCGACCGGTCCATCGACTGCCCCTTGCCTCAGTCTATGGCGATCGTGTCCACGATTGATGAAAAGCTCCGCGTGCGTCTGTGGACGGAGCGTCTGTCGCTCGAGGAACTACAGGCAAAGAGTGACACGAGGGACACCGCATGCTTCTGCTTCGACATGACTTCCCCTCCTGCATCTTTTCTCCCCGCTTTCCTGCAACGGCTCCCTTTGACCGACATTCGCTCCGCGCTCCTCGCTGAGCCAGGGATTACCGGGGCACTTCCGTGGCGCGAGCTGTTTCCCCTGCTGCCGTCCCTCGAGGGGCTTTCCATACAGTTCGCGAGGTGGCCTAGTCTGGAATATGATATCTGGAAAAGCGCAGGATACTTCGTGCAGGACTCTCCTCGCTCGCTATTTCCTGCTCTTACCGTCGCTCAGCTCAAGAACCTGTACTTTGCGATGCGGCATGAAGACGTGGCTAACACCCACTACATCTCGGACCTGCACATCCTTGCACATCTCCTGCAGAGCGAGAAAATGCGTCTGGTGCTTGCACGAGGCAAGCTGATAAAGATCTGGACTACCTCCCTGGATTTTGGATTGGAGAGGGAGATGCATCTGGAAGATGACTTCTTGTAGATGTATCACGAGGAGGTTATCAAGGGTGTTATTGGACAAAAAGAAATTCTCACATTCACACCGGCCGCAAATTTTTGTTTTTGATGTGCGTCTAAGGTTATGCGTGCGTATTCGTGCACGATGATGCGCGTTTGGTCACTAACGTGCGCTAACGTGCACGAAAGCTCACGTTTGTGCACCTTCGTGCACTTTCGTGCACGAAAGTGTGCATTTGACGAACTACACATTCATGTTATCACAATTCATTTTCACTAGATGTTTACTTTCGCGCACCTTCGCGCACCTTCGCGCACTTTCGTGCACTCGAAGATTCAAATGAGATGCATAATCACAAAAATGAAAACCAATTGTCAGCTTACACGAAACTGAATAATAAGTTGAGTGCACGAATGCGCACGAACGCGCACACATTAGCGCCATCGCCAATCTCAAATCAGGGCGTAACCAAAACCAAAGCTCAGCGGCATGCACGATCGTGTGCGTTTGTGCGCTTTCGTGCGCGATCGTGCACGTTCGTCTAGTTTCGTGCACGATCATGTACGTTCGCCCACTTTCGTGAGCTTTCGTGCGCGTTCGTGCACGTTTGTTCACTTTTGCGCACCCTTGTCCGCCAAACTGTGAGTACAGTCTGCACCAATTCCAAACTCTTTTTTTTTTGTCCAATAGCAACCTTCATAGGAGGTGCACAGCAATCAGCATAATGTGCCTTCCGCAGTTTTCCGCGCAACGCCGTTCGCAGCGTGGTTTTCGTCTCGAGGCGCCAGTCTTCGTCGGTCGCTCCGAGTGGGCTCTTGACTGGGCTTCTTCGGGTATTAATCATGTGGTTATGGTCCCTGCAAGCCCTCATGAGGATATTTTCGCGTGCTAAGGTGACGACCCCCGATGACACCACATTACCATTGCGACCCATCTTACCACGAACACATTGTTCTTGTCCTTGCATATTAGTCGCTACATCTTGGCTGTTCGTCTCAGTCGCTCTAGAATACTCATATTATGTACGCCACATCTGTTTCTTTTCTACAATTGGTGTCTGCCAGCACTACTACTACTTTCTTGCGTTGTCTAGAGGGATAATGTATATAATTACACCGTGGCGAGGATTTTCGCCCGCCTGCAGGAATAACATAGAACCACCATCGAACGCTTGAAACTCTAGAGTGTCCTCAGCCCTATCAAGCTGAGTCGCATGTCAATCGCGCCACAAACTCGTCCTCATTGGGCGCCAAACGCGCTGATAAACATCGTCCTCGCGTCCGTATGCAATGTGTCGAGATCGCTTGTGAATGTTGCTTTATGTCGGTGCGGTGTCGACCGAGGCCGGCGAGCGGCATAAACACGTGCCGACTGACGCGGTGCCATCACCGAGCGGTTGTGCCAGCTGCAAAACTCGAATTCAACATTCACGGCGAAAAGTGAACAGACCACTGTTACTATAAACATGATGGAAAGAAAGGATCTCTCTGGGCAGTTTATAAAGGTCTCTGAACCTGATCCCCATGTTCTGCTCGTCGAGTTGTCGCGGTACGTCCAGTGTTGCCTTGCTCAGAGCCATGCCTAAGCTTCAGTTCACAATACTTTGGCAGGACTCCGGTCAATGCTTTCCATGGAACGTGAGTCCTTCAATACGGCTGTTACCGTGGAATTGATGACGTAATTCTGTTGACAGATACTGGGCAGAGTTCGGTCGCGTCTTTGACAATATAAGCAAAAACCCTGGTGTTCGCGCTGTCGTCCTCGCCTCTGCTTTACCTAAGTTGTTCTCAGCTGGATTGGACTGTACGCTCTCGCATCTAAACGTAGTCATTTTCTGACAGCTCATCGTGTTCTAGTCGGTGGACTAAATGCCATAAACTCTTTCGACAAAGACCCGGGGCGGAAGGCATTACAGATTCGCGCATTCTGTATGCAATTCCAGGATGCCATCGCAGCGACTGAAAGGTGTCCAGTTCCTGTCATCGTGGCAGTACACGGTGTCGCCTACGGACTTGCTATCGACATGGTGTCCGCTTGTGATGTGCGGTACGCCGCAGAGGACGCCCGATTCTCAATCAAGGTGGGCATCCCGTCGTATGTCTCTCAAACTATAACTCATTCAGGGTCTATCCAGGAAGTCGATATTGGTTTGGCAGCGGATATCGGTACGCTGGCGCGACTACCGAAGATTGCCGGAAACCAGAGCTTGGTGCACGAACTCGCGTTCACGGCCAGGGACTTTACTGCTCCTGAGGCCCTGCAGATGGGTCTTATCTCAAAGGTTGTACCTGGTAGTCGCGATCAAGTGATTGCTGCCGCTCTGCAGACCGCCAAGGTTATCGCGCAGAAATCGCCGATTGCTATTCTCGGGACAAAACGTGTCCTCCAGCACGCTAGAGACCATACGTGGGTCAAACTCAGCCAGCGTGTTCTGCTTATCTAACGGATCGATGCCCTGCCTTCTAGCGTTCAGAGCAACTTAGAATATGTCGCGACCTGGAACGGTGCGATGCTTCAGAGCTCGGTAAGTTGAGAAGTGCTTTTCGCTACCTTTAATAACATCGTCTAATCGACGGCTTTACATGAATAGGATACTTTTTCTGCGCTGAAGGGTGCGATGGAGAAGAAATCCGCGACGTTTCCCAACCTCGGCAAGCCGCCGACCGCAAAGCTTTGACCACATGTTCTTCGGCTGCTGTCACGAAGCGGGATCAGTCTAGACGCAGAGTTCTTACGCGGATATCACAGTCCAATCGCACTTTCTAAAGAGAACACGCGTATGTGAAACCCTGAACGCAGCTTATGCCTGGCGAAGGCATGTTGTCCTCGTGCTAAACACGGACATTAACGAGCGATATGGCCACGATCCGCAGGCAGTTCATGGAACACGGTACTTATGTAGCTCGACTGGGGCTGTCTAGTTCATTGGACAGCTTCTGTGTTAAGTTGCAGTCGCAAACCTTGTGCGGTAGACGTATATAAATTTGGCGTATTGCGCTATGCGTCTAGTACGAGTCCCCAGCGACTAGCAACGCCTGCGGCCGCAGGTGGGCGTATTAGGCGATCTGGCCGCGTTTGGGCAGCACAAAGGTGTGCGGTAAGCTGCTGCAGTAAGAATGCAGGGACGTTGTGAGCGTGGTCAGAGTCCGAGTGGCAGGTCGGTCGCGCGCGTCCTAATCTTAACCCGCAACGACGATCACGACTGCGACGACCCCTCTTTCGGCGACGATGTCGAGCTCAAACAAGTCATCTAAGCACTCGTCGTCGCCGTCCTCCACGCCCTCTACTCCCCACAGCTCGAAGCTGCCCAAGTTCTTGCAGAAACAGCGGGATCGGTCAAAGTCTGTAGTCGAGCCTTCACACAGCGCAGGCAGCTCGTCTTCTTCTATCTCAGAGCTCCCACGACCCCAGAGCAGTACACGAAGTTCCTTGATACGGAAGTCGAGCAGGAAAAGCGGGCCAACGTCGCCTAGAGAGAGCGTGGACAAGCGGCAAGATATCCCACCAAGCGATAGCCCGGGCGTCGAGCAGGTCGCCGCCGAACCACAACCAAGCCAAGACGGCGGCGAAGAGACCCCCGTTATTGTTGAGCCCATTGCCATTCCCCGCACGCGTACAAGATCAGACCGGCCAGTCTCGGAGAATTACCCTCCAGTATCCTATTATCCCTCATCGTCCAACGCCCGCCTGTCCGACTTGCCGAGCAGACTCTCGGGCTGGTTCTCGCACACGTTCAGCTCGTCTTCTAACGACCTCTCGCTGCCACAGCTGCTCTCACAACAGCACATATCTGCACCAAATTCTTCGCCGAAAGGGAAAGGTTCCGCGCTCCTAACCGCTGCCAAGCACGGCAAGGGCCACCTCGACAAGGCCATGCGGTATCTACTCGACAGCGATGCCGTGCCAGACAAATGCACCGAATCCATCTGGTTGCTCGGCTTTGAGCATCCTGGCTATGAGCCAGGTGCAAGCCCTCCGTCCTCTATTGGTCGTCGCGGCTCCGTTGGCTCGCGTCATTCGCCGTCGTCGCACACACCTCTCTCGTCATCGCCAACATCTGCCGTACTAGGGATGGATCCACCACTATCGCAGTCTCAGCCTGCGTCGTCGAGCCCATCGAAGGATCCCGGACGACACTGGCCCCCTGTGTTCTATGCCGACTTCACGTCTCGGATCTGGCTCACCTACCGCTCGCAGTTTCTACCTATCCGGGATATGTCGCTCGAGGAGTTGAATGCAGCGCCAGAGTCAGCAGCGCTGAGTACAGGTTCTCAAGCAAAGAAGTGGAGCTGGTCGTTGAGTGGGGACAAGTGTTGGTCGAGCGATGCTGGGTGGGGGTGTATGCTGCGGACGGGACAGTCGTTGCTGGCCAATGCGCTGATCCACGTGCATTTGGGGCGAGGTGCGTGGCTTTTGTATCTCACTATATGCTGCTCCTAAATGCTCTTGATCTGCTTCAGATTGGCGGAAACCCCCACATCCGGTGCCCACGTCAGACTACGCGACCTATATACAGATCATCACATGGTTCTTCGACGACCCTTCCTTGCTATGTCCTTTCAGCGTGCACCGGATGGCTCTTGTTGGCAAGCAGCTGGGAGTCAAGGTTGGACAATGGTTCGGGCCGAGTACAGCTGCAGGTGCAATCAAGTACGTATCCGCTCACTCGTCCATGGTTCCTAACCAACCAGCCCGCAGGACCTTGGTGCATGCCTTCCCAGAAGCTGGCCTGGGTATTTACGTCGCCGCCGACGGTGGAACGATCTATGATTCCGAGGTGTTCGCCGCGTCGCATAGCGGCATTGGCTCGCCACGCCGACATACCCGAAGGGTCTGGGGAGACCGTCCAGTGCTGATCCTGATTGGCCACCGTCTCGGAATCGATGGCGTGAATCCTATCTATTATGATACCCTGAAGGTGCGTATATCAGCATGGATTTCGTCTGGTATCTGACTCTGCTACCAGACATTGTATACTTGGCCTCAGTCTGTCGGCATCGCCGGTGGACGACCATCTTCCTCGTACTACTTCGTTGGCTCTCAAGCGGACAATTTGTTCTATCTTGATCCTCACCATGCTCGCCCCACCATTCCCCTCCGCCCACCACCGGCAGCCGAACAATCATCTCCCCTGATATCACCTAGCGCATCGAGGCACAGCTCGACGTCGCCAGAACCACAGTCCCCTTCAGATCGTGGATCACCCCGTTCACCTGCCAAGCACATCCGAACGCCGACATCCCCAGTGTCAGTTCGTTCGGGCTCCTCGTTCTCGCGTATTACGCCCCCATCCCCGCTTCAGCATCAGATCTCCACCTCTTCCAGCGCGACGACTGCGTCGTACGTCACCACCACGTCTCAAACCCACTCCTCTGGCTCACATGCTCGCTGGGGAACGTCAAGTGCGGTGCCGGACGACTCGGAGATGGACTCGAGAGAGCTTGGAATCGAGGGCGAAGATCTTGACCCCGTGCAAAGGCACTACTGCATGGCGTACTCTGCGACGGAGCTCAAGACGTTCCATTGTGACCGCGTCAGGAAGATGCCCCTGTCTAGTCTCGACCCGAGCATGCTTATTGGCTTCCTGTGCAAAGATGAGTCAGAGTGGCAGGATCTGAAGTCGCGCATTAATGAGGTACGTATTCCGCCTCAATTATCATTCCTTGTGTAATTACTCGTACTCCACAGCTCAGCCGCAAATCTAAATCACCCGTGTTTCACCTTCAAGATGAACCGCCAAATTGGAACTCGGACATGGAGATGGGTCTGGAGAGCATCTCAGAGCCTGACATCGACCTGCCGGACGAGGATGACGAGTTTGCCGATGCCGATGACCGCATGCGTGAAAGCTCTGCGTCGCCGGACACCAGCCTGCCGAGTACCAGCTCCAAGAAGTCTGTTGAAGAGGATGACACGGAGGATGACCCAGTCGATCCCATAACCCCTGGCCCGGGACGAAGCGCATTCTCTGACATCCGTGCGCCGGGCCACCTTGAGAAGCAGCCCAGCACGAGCACGACAGCCAGCTCGCGCGCAGACTCGCTTAGCTTCGACGACGAGGATGACGAGGAATGGGAGGCACCGGAAGTCACACCACACCCAGATCACAGTCCGTCGTCGTCACTGCGCGACCCGCCAGAGCTGCTCGACTCACAGGCGACGATCACGCGCGAGACGAGCGAAAGCTCCGCCTCAGACTCTGGGCGTGCGCATCGGAAGAAGGCTAAAAAGAAACACGCAAAGCCCAAGATCGAGCAGTATCCGTTCCCGGCGACGTATCACGACGCGAGCGAGGAGCCCGTCGCGCCGATTGAGCGCCGCATCCCGCAGATGCGCACCCAGAAGGCGCGCGACGGCGGGCGTACGCAGAGCGGGGGCGTCCGGGGCATACCCGCCGATGATCTCGATGACTCATAGCGCGCCCACTTGAGCGGTGCCGTCTTCTGCCGTCTTTCATGGTCACTCTACACGCCTACCTTCTCACTGTACACGTTTACACCTGTCCTTCTTGCCTGTATCCTTGCCTGCACCTGAGAGGCGCGTGCCTCTCCATACCCCCTTTGCCAATGTACCCCTATTGACCTTGGAAACTATTTGCTGTACTTCTTCCCTCGTGTTCAGCTCGCCGTCCGTTTGCGCTGCAGCTACCTTTTTCCTGGCGTCTTGAACGGATCGTGCGGTATTGTCAGATCCATATACCCTCTCATCCCGAAAGTACATGCAATGCGACATCGCACTATCAGTGTTCATCCTTTTGTTTGTAGCAACAATTCTCATGCTCGAGTTTCTTCTTCTTCTTCTGCGTTGTCAGTGTTTTGTAGTATACAGAATCGATGTATTTGCAGACTGCCCAGCCCTGCGGAGTAACGCGAGCGCGGAGAACCGGGACAACGGGTGAGTGTATACAAGACAGACGCCAACGGGAAAATGATAGACGACAAAAGAAGTATCCTAGATTGAGTAGTCCTAGTCAACAACTATGCTATAGGGTGCTATGTTTAAATATGCTGATGTTTTGTAACAAACCCAGGAAGCGCGAAGGCTATATCCGGGAGAGAAGAAGTACAGTTGATAATAACCCATGAAGTCGGCCGTTCTACGACCCGCAGCACGAGGTGCCTCGCCACGTCCGCGAGCCGTCGCCGTCCTGCAGGCGGATCGTGTCCGAGCTCGGGTCGTCCATGTGCAGCATGCGCGCCTCCACCGCCTCCTCGTACTCCAGCCTCTTGACCACACGCCGCGCGACGTACTCGAAGACGTCCGCGACGCCCTCGCCCGTCTTGGCGGACGTGAAGAACAGCTTCGCGCCCCGCTCTAGCGGCGGCGGCGGCGGCGGCGGCGGCACAGGGAGCGAGTGCGCCGCAGCCGGCGAGGGCGTCACCGGGCGCGCAGGCGTCGTGGCGCGCGTGCTGCCGCTCGAGCGGCCGTACAGGCTCGGCGTGATCGTCTGCGTGTCGGAGAGCGTGGACGAGAAGGACGGCTGCCGGCGCGCGGTGCGCACGGGCGACGCGCTGGGCGAGCGCGAGCGCGTCGGGGTCGAGATGCGCGAGTGGCGCACGGGCGACGAGCGTGCGGACTCGAAGGTGTCGAAGATCGAGGACGTCGGGGTGTGATACACGGAGAGCGTGTGTGTTGTTGTCATTGTGCCGACGGTGCTCCCGCGGAAGAGTGTCGAGCGACTTCGCGAGCGTGCTGACTTGCGCCGCGGGTGGTATACGCCAATGTCAATGGAATGTGTTCGTGGAGGTGAGGGTGTGAAGATGTTGAAGGTGACTGAGGACTCGCCGCTTGCCAGCGTGTCTTGTGAAGGCAGGGGGTGCCCTGACGAAGACGAGGGCGTTACTGGTGGTGGGTGTTGTAGCAGAGGAGGTATTAGCTCGTGCATGAAGGTGAGAGCCTGCTCTTCAAGTATCCGTGGGCCATTGCTGCTCGCCCGCGCACCTGTAGGTGCGCTGCCATTCGTCACGGGCACGTCAATCTTGTTGCCTACGAATACAGAGCAGAAGCTATCCACTTCATCGTCCGCCACCGGCGCCTTGTCTCGAAAGTCGTCCCACCATTTGCGCAGAGCCTCTAGTGTTTGCGGCTGGTTCACGTCGAACATGAGCAACACCGCATCCGCTCCACGAAAAAATGCAGATGACAGGCTTGAAAACCTTTCTTGGCCGGCGGTATCCTGGCACGCCGGGGTCAGCGAAAAGACTACTCAACCGGGCCAACTTCCGCTCGGGCCGTCCTCTCGATCCCTTGCAAACCCCTGCCGCAACTCCTACAGCCCACCCACCGCCGCCAGCCATGCCCCAGACCCACCCGGCCGTCCTCGCCAAAGCCACGCTCGCAGGACTCACCCAGATCTGTAGCGTGACCAGCTCGTCAGGGTTGCCATGGTGCGGCACGCTCTTCGTGATGAAATCCGCGCCGATCGTCGCGCGATAGCCCGTCGTGAACCTTCCCGAAACATACTACAACCCAGAAAAACGGGCGTTAAGCAGCGCACAACATGAAAACGGGTGGGAGCGCGTAGAGGGGAAGGAGGGGGCAGGGCAGCGGAGGGAGGGAGGGGAAGGATGAGAGGAAGGGACGGGTGCGGACCTGGTTGCGGAGGCTGGTCTTGCCGACGCCCGACGCGCCGACAACAACGAGCTTAAGGGTGCGCATATTTTCGGCGGGCGTGTGGTATCTGCATCAGTCGGCGGCGCGAGGTGCAAGAGAAAGAGGACGTGGGTTGTGGTCGCAGTTTGAGTCCCGAGCGAAAGAACCTATGCGGGTGTCGGGGTCCTGGGTGCTCACTCGCGGCCTGCGGGACCTTGGACACCTCCGAGCGTTGGCCCGCAGCGAAGGCTGAATCGGCCACTTTGGGACAGCACAGCATGTCTCGCTCTCTCTCTCTCACGCAGCGCTTCCGCATATTTCGACATGTTACATACTGCATAGACTAGCATACATTTGTTTCTTTCATAATTCCTGATTGCTCATACTCTCATGGAAAGTCCACCTTTGACCCGAGGAGAGAGAGGCTTGGGATCTGCGATGCTCAAGCCGCTCAGGGGTGCAGGAGAACCTTGGTGTAGCCGTCAATGCGCTTGTCGAACTTCTCGTACGCGTCCGAGGCCTCGTCGAGGCTGATGTTGTGCGAGACGACGAAGGACGGCTTGGCGCGTCCGGAGATGATCATGTCGCGCAGGTAGCGGTTGTATTTCTGGGACACGAGGACGCATCAGCAACCCTCCTCTCCACGCAAAAGCGCCCGATCCACGAGGCGAACAGGAAAAGGAAAAAAAAGAAAAAAGAAAAAAAACGCGCACCTTGACGTTGCACTGACCGGTGCCGACGGTGAGGCCCTTCTCGAAGAGCTTGCCGAACGGGAAGGTGATGTAGCCCTTGGCCGAGTTCGAGTCGGGCGCGCCGGGGTCCTTGGGGACGTACAGCCCGGGGATGCCGAGCCCGCCGGTGGGGCGCACGACGGCGATGAGCCCTTCGAGGATGATGTTCGGCTGCTCGGCGCTACCGTCGGCCGTGACGGCCTGGTACCCGACGGCGTCGACGCCGCGGTCGACCTCCCTGCTGCAGAAAAACGGCAGCGTGTCAGCGGCAGGACTATGGGAGTGAACACTGAAAAGAACGCGCACCCGCCGCGATGCTTCTTGATCTGCTCGACAGGGTCGCCCTTGCTGAAGTCGATGGGGATGCAGCCGATCTCTTTCGCCTTCGCGAGACGCTCGGGGACGCGGTCGACGACGTACACTTCCGACGCGCCGCGGAGGAGGGCGCTGTAGGCGGCCATGAGGCCGACTGGGCCAGCGCCGAAGACGGCGATGGACTCGCCGGGCCTGAAGCCCGAGAGCTCGACGCCGTGCCAGCCCTGGGAGAGTCAGAACCTCGGGGTTGTACGAGAGGATAAGGTGAGGAGGGGACGTACGGTGGGGAAGATATCGGCCAGGAGAGCAAAGTCGTCCTCGTGCTCCTTGCCGTGCGGGAGCTTCAGGGCGTTGTAGTCCGCGAACGGGACACGGACGTACTCGGCCTGGCCTCCGGAGTACGGTCCCATCGCGACGTAGCCGTAGGCGCCACCAGCCTGTCGCGATGATGAGGTGAGCGTGAGACAAACGGGCGTGGACGACCGCGACGTACGAAGCCAGGGTTAACTTCGGTGCAGAACGCGGACCTGCCCTCTTCGCAGTTCAGGCAGTGGCCACATGCGACATTGAATGGCATGACGACACGGTCGCCCTTCTTTAAGAGCTGCATTGGGATGAAAATCCCGTCAGTTTACACCGTTCGGAACAGGGAAGAATGGATGACGTACGGTAACTCCATCGGCAACCTCATCAACGATACCCATGTTCTCATGACCAAAGACGATGCCGGGCTCGGCAGCGGTGCGCCCCTCGTACATGTGAAGGTCACTGGGCGAGATAGGGAATCGCATCAGTGTCGATCCTGATAGTGATACTGGAAGACGGACCTGCCGCAGATGCAGCTGGTGGTGACTGGCAGCCCGCGTCAGCATCGCAGGCGAGGAAGAATATACGACAGGACGCACCCCTCACAATCACATCACAGGGATGCTGAATCTTGGGCTTCTCGACCTCCTTGACCGAGACCTTGAACGGCCCTTCGTACACAACAGCGCGCATCTTGTTCGGCATATCGGGAGAGTAACGGCAGGGAGAAGACTAGGGTGGCTGGCCGGGTGCTCGACGAGAACCTGGGAGGTGCGCGTTCTTCGCGCTCTGGAACCTTATAAGACAGGCATGAAACGACGAGCGACCTGGTGTCTCCTATCGCGTCTCCTATAGTTGCGCAGCTGGACACATCACCTGGCCGTGTCACATGGCGGGGGGCGTGGCGGGTGCCCGAAACAAGCGAAAGGTGCGAACATCCGTTGCACGGAAAAGCTCCTGTGTGAGAACGCCAGTGCCCGAACCGGTATCCGCTCGATATTGGCTAGGAGGCCTTTGATGGAGTGTCATAGGGCGATTGATCAGGCACGTCTCGGTCGTAACAGAGATGCGTTAAGGAGCGAGGTCAGCTGTACTGTATGACGTTGCAGCCAGTCGTAGTCGGTGGTCTCAGGTTAACCGGTCTGACACCAGATCTTCTCAAGCTATACTACTACGTACTTACCACCTCAACAATAGCCCTTGTGCGAATATAGTCTATTCTAGGGCAAGATGCAAGGAGTAGAGCTGTTCGAATCCAGCGAGGTGGTCGTCGCGGCCTCCCGGCGCGCGCTTCGGCTTTGTGGCACAGCATACGCATCAAAATATCCCGGCAACCTCCGGGATGCCCGGCAGTCGGATCACCAACAGTGGTCCAACACCACTTGAGGTAAATGCTTCATAGCCCGCTCCCTTCGCTGCCGTCGAGTTCTTTCACAACGTTCAACTTCGACCGATGAGAAGCTTACAGTATCCGAGTATCTATATCGTCGTCTTCTGCAGCTTGACACGCTCTCGGATCGATGTTCGACGCATCCTGGGCCGAGCATTGGCGGCAGCGTGTCTCCGAGAGTAAGGTTAGATCAGCTTTGTAAATGAGGTGTAGCATTCCAAAGCGAGCTACCCATTCTCAGACGAGAGTGCATGTGCATGCGAGGATTGCATTGACGAGGTTAGTGGTCTTGCGCTGAACAGGGACTTCTCGCAGACATAGAGAGTTTCCCACCCCATATCGCACAAAAGGTATCTCCGAGGCCTAAACGGATGAACTGTGTGCCGTCTCTCACTCACACCGTCGAGCTGACTGACAGAACTTCGTAGTATTGATGGCGTGAGCACACACCAGGCTCTTCGCTGAAGCATCACTTGTACACGTCAACACTTCTCACTGGTGTGTATATTCGTTCATTCCATGCTTCTGCTTCTCTATACATGAAACCTCCATGTCCAATACACTGGCTTCACGTTTCACCCGGTTCCGTCTCAAACAAGGCCATACTTCTCAGCATACAACACTGCATCAGGTAATGACCCTTCTCTATTTTAATGCGAGACCCATTATACCACGCACCAAATTCGAGTGCCCATGAGCCCCGCTTTCTAGCCGCCAAGTTCCAGGACCAGTGCGCCTCGTGTCCGCTTCGCGGCGACGCCCGCCAGTGCAGCGCTCGTTTACTCGAAAGGGCAATGTCGGCCTCCCTCGGAGCTCCGCGGGCGCTGAGCATCGTCGGCCACACGTTGCGCCGCACGCAATGATATTCCAAGCTTCCAATTAATGTACTTTGGCAGTTCAAAGGTGCAAGCTAATGCCTCGTACTGGCTTTTCCAGCGCTTTCCTCAGTCGCTGATGGGGGTCATAATGCGGATGAAATAGATATTCTGAGTGTCGCACTGCTTCCGGCACGAAGCTTTACTTGCTGGAAGGCGGGGCGGTTATGACGGTCTGTATAGGTCTGCTTCTTCTCTTCACTTTGGAGTAACAGTGCGGCGCCGGAATGCTAATGTTTTTAGCAACAATGCTATGGTGAGCAGAACCGCCGTTCGACGGTGTAAAAACCTTAGTGTCCCGTGCGCCTTAGTATCAATTTTTGTCTTCTTGAGTGCTATTCTCACCCCGATGCCTACGTGTTTGCTCGTCGCCCACCACTGTGCGACCAACGCTCATTCCCCTGGGCAGAGCTATATGGTTCTCTGCGAGCTGAGTGGTCCTGAGGTTGAGGTGACAAAGAGGCATACGAGATAATATAATTTTTGGCAACATAACTTCCACTTCTGGGGCCACTCCTGCTCCGCCACCCGTCTTCGAACTGCAGTATGGAGCAAAGGGTTACAAGAGCAGCAATGAACGGTCAACGTCCGAGGCCGAGAAGCCATTACCTCCGACGCTTACGCCGCAATATTGACAGCCATGCGTGCCCCGCCCTCATTTTTGCTCCCTGCAAAAAATCATGTGCGCCGTCTTCGCGCTGACATAACCGACCTCGGCTTCCTCGTCCGCTGCAACCGCGCGCCGACGCAGCTGAGGCAGGCACCCTGACGCACCGGTGCCGCAGCGCAGCGGTGCCTTTCCCCGAGGCAGGACGACGCTTACGGAGCCGCAGGGGCAGCGTATATACGTGCCTCGTCCCGATCGTGCTCGCCGAGGCTCGCCACACACGCTGTGGCCCATCCAGCTTCCAGACCCGCCTGCAAATAATCCAAGGACCCGCCCGATCACGCACGCGCGCGCGACTTTCGCTTCTCCCGGCGAAAGAGAGGGCACGCCCAGGCTGCTCCCGCGACGTAATATGGCACACCATGTCACGAACCCAGGGCCCCGGCCGCGAGGGCAGTTGTGGGGCTGCCCCGCATCGGGCGGTGGGTTTGCGGTGTGCGGTTCTGGCGGTTCTGCGGGTCTTGCGGGTCTTGCGGTTTTTTTGCGATGCACACAACTGCACAGCCATCCTTAATGAAAAAAAAATCCGTCTTCCGGTCCTTATCGAATCGCGGACCAGTCGGAGACGCGCGTTGTCCGGATGTACTTGCTACCAGATATGAGTTGTTCGTATGGGCATAAAAGGCCTCTCGATCGCCTTTTTCTCTCCTGCCCCGCGTGCGCCGCGGCGGGCGAGGGCGTGCGGGCAACGATTTGAAAAAAGAAAGAAAAAAAAAGACAAAGAAAGAAACCGCACGTCAGCTTGCATGACGCCGTTCGGATATCGGGCTCGCACAGAACACGGCGGTGAGCCCGCCGCGGTGCATCATGACGAGTGGTGGCAGGAGCTGGCAGTGGGGTGGGGCTCGCCTCCGGAGCTAGCGTCACCTGCGAACGCTTTCCCTTGACGAGCTCACGCGCGCGAATTGAAGCCAGGAGCAATTCCACTTGATGCTGATGCTGATGTACCTGCCCGCCCGCGTGACGCCATATACCAAAATGAACCACGAGAAACTTCGACACAATACAAATCGAACTGGCGCACACACACACCACCGCGCATGACACTCGTGCCTTGCCAGCACCGCATCTCTGAGAGTTCTTTCAGCCCCAGCTTGGGCCCCGGCCCACCGGGGGAAGGCAACTGCGCGCGCGTTTTGCGCACCCGTGTGGCGCACACAACGCTTCTAGGCGGACAATACATGGGAACAGGCTGCCAGAAAGCAGCACGAAAGATAAGCTCGTTCGAGGTGTCCGCCGCCCACGGCCCACATCTGTGCCTAGTGTCAACAAGGAGCGCAGAAACTGTTCATGCGGACGCGGGTGGCATGTGTGTGTCCAGGAACGTTACGAACAAGGGTGGGAAGGGAGTCCGAGTAACCGACAGTGTCCATGTGCGACGAGTGGGTGGTGAAGCGGCGAAGGCTGGGAGACCGCAGCAGGTGCGAAAGGAGCGTGGGCCATTCTCATGACGTAGGCACACAAGGGCGAGTTGGAGAAACGTAGCGAACATTATATCCACGGTTCACAACAAACACACGGTAAGAGAGGTAGTAATGAGACAGACGGACTATAGGAAAACGCAAACATACGGTAGTAGTATCTGGGAATGTTACAACGACAGGATATGCTGGGCCTTTAAATAAATGAGAACCACCCAAAGTGAACCTGTACGAGGCAACTCACGGGGAAACGGCGAAGCTCAGTCCACACGCTTCGACATGGTGCCGAGTGGGAGTGTGAACCAGCTCTCATCACGAATGAGAAGCTCTGCGAGACCAACGTAGTATGCGACAAGGGCAGTGATGACACCAGTAGCGCCGCCTGCCTTGGTGATATTAACTGAATTTTGGAACTTGCCTTAAAAGAAGGAACGGCAGCGATCAGCGGCGGCGAGAAGTGCGTGAGTTTCGGAACTTACCGATGGCGAGGAGCATGAAGGTGATCATGAGGAAGAAGAATAGCGCCATGAGGCCGATGTTACGGCGGGTCGACGCGACACTGTCGTCATGGATCAGATAGGACGAAACGACGGCGGGACACTTCAAGGATACTCACAGCATCAAGAACGTAAACATAAACCACGTTATGAGGTAGATACCAAGCGCAGAGTTGAGCTCGGTTGCATCAGTGCCGGTCGGAGCGCTGCCGTTGCCGTATGCATCGACAATACCGAGGCTCGGGAGGTAGAGACACGCGAACGACATCCAGAAACCACCATACGACGAAAAGGCTGAAAATTCAGAAGAAAATCGTCAGTAAATCCCGCACTCGCAGACGGCAATCATTTACGATAAGCGCCGCAAGATAGGCACGGCAAAACAGGACGGATCAACCGAACAGGTCGGCGATCGTGTGGGGTATCAAACACGTATCAGGAAGTGGGGTTGCGCCGTCACGCCTAAATGTGGGGCTGAAGCTACGCCCCGCGATGGAACGTCGAGAAGCACGTCGCGGCCGAAGTTTTGCAGGATAGCAAAAGAATGACGACGACAACCAGTAACTCACCGGTCGCACCAAACGTGTTACCGCAGGCAAACTCCCACATGCCGGCGAGAAGCTGGACGAGGCCGCCGACGGCGAGGGCCATGCCTACGACGACGTTGGGCACATTGATGCCACGGATGCCCGAGTTGTACCAGGAGAGAATCATTGTCGTGGACGCGAAGGAGAACAGACCCCTGGGCGGAAAGCGCGTGTTAGCGAGGAAGCCCACAATAGAACACCAGTCATTATCGGCGTACAGTGGGCCAGGGTTGCCCAGGCGTCGCTTGGGGACGCGCTGGAGTCGGTGCGCCTCAGTGAGGGAGTGAACGTCACCGGCCTCGGCCTTCTCGATGTGGGACATGGCGCCGACAAAGTATAGTGCGGTGGGCGAGGAAGGGCGAGGCGTGCAAAGAAGTCGAGGGACGGGAGCAAGGGATGACAAGGATAGCGAGGCGGGCGTGCACTCGTCCTATATGAACGTGGCTTATGTAAGAGACAGACCATGATGGACGCTCGCGCCGGGACTCTTCTCTGGGACGATTGGTCGTCCGGCCGCGGTGGCTGGAGCAAGGGAACACCTGACAAATCTCCGTGCCCGCCAATACAACATGCGAGAGACTAACCTTTATTGCGTGGCGCAAGAGAGGGTAAAGTGATCCCCGCCCAAGATGCCGCTCATCTCCCCCGACAGCAGTGCCCGCCTGCCTGCAAAGAGCAGCCCCGTCGCCGGCTAGCCCCCGCCGCATCAATGTGGCTGCCAATACGAAACAGCGCGGACGGGCAAGCGACGTCTCGCCACGGTGCGGTCTCAGGCGACGGATCATCGCGACGCGTGCGATCTGCGGTGGCTGCGCGTAAGCGGGGCTACCTCTGACACCCCGGGCTGCTCGATGTGGCGCAACGCGGGCACCCTTCGTGTCACGACTTTGTCTTGGGGTACGTCCCATCCCATCAACAAGGGCGCGAAGGCTGCCTCCCGCACACTCCCGCACACCACTGCTGAAGCGCGTGTCGTCGCCGCGGGCGGGCGTCTTGCCTTCGGCCACACCGTGTCTCGGTCTCGAAACGCCGATTTTGTCTGCCAATTTGTCTGCTGAGCGATTTCCACCAGCTGTGGGCGATCGAAATCGAACGGGGCCTGATTCATGTGAACGTTAGGCGCGGACCGAGACGGAACGAAAAAAACGTACCTGTGACTCGGCCGTGGTCCCACGCTTGTGCGATGGCCGTCCCAATTGATTGCTCGTCCCACCGAGCATGGCGTGGTTTCTGCGGAGAGACTTCGAGCCACGGGCGGCTGCTACAACGTGCCGGCACGATAACATCGGATGAGTGGGGCGCGAGAAGCGACCGGCTGGTGAGGCGGCCCGCGATAGACGACGGGCGTTCAGTTTCTGCCGGCCACGTAGCCCGCCACCGCTCGTCTGCGATGACAGACCCCGAACCTCGACGCCGACGCCGACGCCGAAGACAAGCGACGTCCGTGAAAAGTTAGCTCCCGCCGTGCGATTGCCCAGGCGTTCGGTATCTTGGCATGGTGGCTGCCTTCTACGGACGACGGAGGTACGACGCAAATACAAGGGGATGATCGGCAGGTACAAGCGCGCTTGCTGCTCAGCAAATTATTTTCGCAAACGTCGGAAGAGGGCTCTGGTCGCCGCAATGGAAGACGGGATGGGCGTTGCACGTAAAGAAAGCGTCGCGGAAGTAAATGGGGTGCTTGAGGCGTGAGCCTAGATCGTATATTCCTATGAGGGGAAGGTCCGGAGCAAAGAGCGGACAAACGCACCTCTAGGTTCTGACAGCACCTCTGACAGCACCCTGACAGCCCGCAATAACAACGCCGTTCAGAAGCAGGCGGGGACGCGATCACGACACAGACTCTTTCCACAGGTCTCTTGCACGGCGGGGCGCAGACGCTAGCAGCAACATCGTCGAAGAGGGGAAGAAACAGCGAGAACAAGAGCCGCCATCGAGACTCAAGCTGTTATATCAAGTGGAGTCGAGAGGGGAGGGCAGGTGACGTGCCCCGGGCGGGCGTGCGCGACGCCATCACAGGCGCAAGCCGCCTGCCAATCCCAGTTGTGTCGCGACTGGTGTTGCGCCCAGGGGCAGCTCCATTTGTGGCGTGCGCCCGGGCACACGCGGCGAGGCGCACAAGCGCGCGGCGGGGTTTCCCAAAATGGGATGCGCCCGCGTGCGTCGGGGCGGCCGAGGCTTTGAGGCGGCGCTGGGGACGCGGCCGCCCGAGCTCGTGCCTCGCATGAGCGGACGGCCGGTTCCCAGTAGCGTCTTACCCCGTGCTGTGGCGTCCAGCCAGTGTGTGCAGCAGCTCACGGTGAGCTCCGCGCGTGACGTTGGGGGAGAGGCAGGGGATGCGGGACTGGAGAGCCAACCGTAGATATACTCTTCCCTCGAGCCGGCACGAAAGCTTTTACGTATGCGGCGGAAGAGCGGGTCTCCTGCGCGACGAGCGGATACGCGGTGTCCCTGTCCCGGACACGCTGTCGCACGCGAAGCCCACGCTACCCGCCGATCCGAGACGAAAATCCTGCCAGAAGCTGCGGCGACAGAGCTTCGTCGTGTTGCAGGTAGAAGAGCGAGTGCAGGCGGCGCAAAAGGCGCATCCGACCCCTGCGCCTTGCGTATATAAACCCAGGCGTTCGAACGCTTCGAGGGACCAGAGCAAAGGTTGGGCTTCTAGCGTGTTCGGCCGACGCAGCTAGACGCCAGCCACGAAGGCGGGCGTCTGAGCGAGAAAGGCAGCTCTCCGAGGGCGCTCCGTCGCGTTGGGTGGTCGTTCGCCCGAGGTGTCCCGCGCATACGTGCTGGAAGCCCTGGACACCGCCCGCGACGACCCGAGAAGACTTGCCCACGCTGTCTGGGGCATCCATATCAAGTTCAGTGTTCCGGCCTGTCGTGAAGACACGGATGGTGCTGCCTGCTGACTGCTGAAGCGCTCGGGAGCGAACGAGTTGATCCTTTCCGTGCAGATCATCTACCCACGTCTCGGGGACAATCATAGAAGCTTGAGTGATATGTCAGTGGCGTGGAGGGCTATTAATTTGACAGAGAGCTTTCTGCCCTCTTTGCCAGCACACCGTAATTTACAACGGCAGAATCCAAATTTGGTAGTAATTGAAGGGTGTAATTTACTATTTCTTACATAGGCGTCTAGTATGTAGATAGCCGTAAGTAAATGTAAGTAAAGCTCGTAAGTTGCAGGGTAAGTAATCAGTTATTTCTGTGAGCGCTTCTTACTCATCGGCCCGCAACGCTAGCGCTTTGCACGGGCTTGCCAAGTTGATTTTGTCTTTGAGTCAACCCACACGCACGATGCGAGCAAACGAGAACACAATGCTTGTGGGCGGCCAGGTTGTTCTGGTGCCGTACAGGTGCGCACGCAGAACGACAGCACGACTCCCGATAAGCTCAGCTTCGCGCAGAAAAGAACATGTCGTCGTTCGTGTCCAAGTCTGCTTCTCGATGCCTATGTCTGCACTCGCTCACCGTGATCACGTGGTAGAAGTACCACGAATGGATGGCCTGTCCTGAGCTGCAGGAGCTCACTGCGAGCGAGCCTCTGACCCTGGAGGAGGAGTACGAGATGCAGAGTGCGTCTGGGCTCTCGAGCTGTCCAGGCCGGGTCTGATGAAACCATATCCCAATAGAGAAGTGGCAGCTGGACGAAGACAGTGAGTCACACGACCGTCGTTGCCGGTGCTAGGCTTCCCGTCTCACCCATACAGAGCTGACATTCATTGTCTGTGCCCGAGAGATCCCCGCCGCCGAATCGCAGGATCTCCGCAATGCATTAACCATGATCGGAGACGTCAACCTGTTCCTCAAAGGAGACAAAGATGACCCTGAATTTGAAGTCGAAGTCGAAATCATGATCGCAGGTGTGCCTCTTTAAATCTCCCTTTGGCTCCAGGCCAAACCAGACACACACTGACCCTTGTGTCCAGAGCCCGCATACCGGAGACGCGGTTTCGCCTCTGCTGCGCTTCAGACGATGCTCTCGTATGCAACGGCGTCCGACTCCCCTTCTCCGCTCCCCGTACCCAAAGAACGGCTCGTCGTCCGCATCGGTGAGAAGAACGAGGCGAGCATAAGACTGTTTGAGAAGCTGGGATTCGCGATCACGAAGAGGGTGGCAGTGTTCGAGGAGATTGAGATGCGCTTCCAGCCAGAGAGTGAGCCAGGGAGCTGGGCAGCTGGTGAGATTCGGCTGTACTCCAGCTCGTGAGCGCGAGCATCTTCTGTTTCACTTTTCACAACGAGACTCCCCCAAGAGGGGCTCCTGCTGGGGCTCTATTCCTGCTATAGCTGCGCACCGTCGGGGCTCCGCTTCGCGCATGCTCGTGAGCGCCGATGCACTTCCGAGCCGTCCTCACTATACTGCGGCCAGCATGCGGGGGAAGGCGGGAAAGCGTCCCAGGATCTCATGACAGTCCCGCGCGGTCACAGCCCCTGATGTAATGCGGGGCCCCGCACATGCTCAGCATAGGAGTCTAGCCCGCCAAGCGCGTCTCTCTGTTGCGCGCTCGAGTCGGCCAGTAGCCTACTCGAGCATGCGTTCGCTGTCGTGAATAGAGCTGTGTCCGGCGATGGCATGATGATATGATGAGCAGGACTTTGTGCCTGTGAAAACGTTCCCTACGACGTCGAGCGGCTGGGAAATCTGAAAGCCTTGCCTATCGATATAATCAGATGCTCTCCCAGGCTGGTCTGCTGACCCCAGGGAATTCTGAATCCGGTTCGGGACAATCTTTATGATCCCTGAGGATGAAAGGGGAAGTGCTAGCGGGCGTTCTTGGTCAGACGGGCATCATCCTGCTCGATGTTATAACATCCAGTTCTACCGCCCCACGATTCCTTCCTCGCACCACCACCATCCCCCTCAACATTTCACGATGCCAGAGACCTTTGTTCACAAATTCGACACTCCCGTCTTCAAGGGCACCGTCGAGATCCCGACGGGTATCTTCATTGACGGCAAGTTCATCGACGGCGCGGATGGTAATTACATCGAGTGAGTTCCCTCTCTGCCTCAACGCCAGTCTCTCGCGGCCTCCCGCTCTACCTGGTCCTGCCAGGTCATCTTCCCGAGCCTCGGCTTCTGCGAGCTCAGTAACTCCGCAAAGACACGCTCAGGTATCTCGGGACGCGTCCTCATATACATAGGCGCCCGATGGTCTATGAAAGCGTGTTTTTGATAGCCGGCGGGAACAGCTTTCGCTGATTCTTCATGCGTCATACCGCTTCGCGCGAACAGTCATGCTAACAAAGTCTATGTGCGTAGTGTCGTCAACCCGACAAACGGCAAGGTGATCACGCGCGTGTCCGAGGGTACGCCCAAGGACGTCGACCGCGCCGTCGAGGCCGCCCAGCGCGCGTTCGACACCGTCTGGGGCCACAACATGCCCGGTTACGAGCGCGGCAAGCTCCTCTACCGGCTCGCGGAGCTCATCGAGAAGTACCAGGACGAATTCTCTGCCGTTGAGGCGCTCGACAACGGCAAGACCTTCGCGTGGGCCAAGAAGTCCGACATCACTATGGCCATCGGCACCTTCCGCTACTACGCGGGCTGGGCGGACAAACTTCACGGCAACACCATCGAAACCTCGAAGGACAAGATTGTCTATACCATTAACGAGCCACTTGGTGTCGTCGGCCAGATCATCCCCTGGAACTTCCCTCGTGAGCACCTCCTTGGACTCAGCGCCCGCGCGATGCTGACTTTCTGGTGCAGTGATGATGGTCTCGTGGAAGCTCGGCCCCGCCCTCGCCGCAGGCAACACCGTCATCCTGAAGCCGTCCGAGTTCACGCCGCTCACGGCGCTGTTCGCGGCCAAGCTCACCGTCGAGGCCGGCTTCCCGCCCGGTGTGGTCAACGTCATCAACGGCTACGGCAGCACCGTCGGCTCGGCCATCGCGCACCACATGCACATCGAGAAGGTCGCGTTTACGGGCTCGACCCTCATCGGCCGCAAGGTCCTCGAGGCGTCTGCGAAGACCAACCTGAAGGACACGAGCCTCGAGCTCGGCGGCAAGAGCCCGAACATCATCTTCGACGACTGCGACATCGAACAGGCACTCGACTGGGCCATCCACGGTATCTTGTCAGTCTTCTCGCGTCTCTGGTGAGAATTTGCCGACATTCTGACGCCGTGGCTTGCAGTTGGAACCATGGCCAGACCTGCTGCGCCGGCTCCCGTATCTTTGTTCACGCGAAGATTTACGACGAGTTCCTCGCCCGCTTCACCGAGCGCACCAAGCAGGTCAAGGTCGGCGACCCCTTCAGCCCGGAGACTTACCAGGGCCCCCAGGTTTCGCAGCAGCAGTATGACGTACGTCTCTCTGTTTTTCTTTCCTTTACCCTTCTGACATGCTGCTCAGCGCGTTATGGAGTTCATCAGCTCTGGCAAGGAGCAGGGCGCAACGGTGCACCTCGGCGGCGAGCGCTGGGGCAAAGAGGGCTACTTCATCCAGCCGACGATCTTCACGGACGTGCACAGGGACATGAGGATCGTCCAGGAGGAGATCTTCGGGCCCGTCGGCGTCGTGATCCGGTTCGATGACGACGACGATGTCGTGCACCAGGCAAACGACAGCATCTACGGCCTCGCGGCGTCCATCTTCACAAAGAACATCGACCGCGCGCTTAGGACGTCGCAGAGGCTCAAAGCGGGCACGGCCTGGGTGCGTTCCTCATCAGGTGTTTTTGGAATGTCCGCTCACCCTGGCTGGTATAGATCAACTGCGCGAACCAGCTCCACCCGCAGGTGCCCTTCGGCGGCTACAAGCAGTCGGGTATCGGCCGTGAGCTCGGCGAGCACGCCCTCGAGCAGTACGTCGGCCCGTCCGCTTCCTCTCTGGCATCGTGCTCATCAGATCTAACAGCTACACCGCCGTTAAGTCCGTCCACATCAACCTCGGACACAAGCCTTGAGAGTCTCGATCTTGGACACTTCGATCTCTACTTCGATCTCTGGATTCCAGGTAACTCAAGTGCACCAATCCGTTGTATATTCTTTTTTGTATATGTAGGAAGAACCAAACAAAATGTAACAAAGTTTTCCTCGCTGGGTATACCTCATAGTCGTCATGGCGTCTAGACAGCAGGTTCGCTGTCCGTGGGTCTGACTCTTCTGGGAGCCTTGGTAGGCCCAAGGGGGAGGCACTCTCGTGAAGCGCTGAAAACGACCTCGTCGGGGGGTGTGCGCGTCTAGGTGGCGTCTGCATACCCCGGCACCGCGAATGGACCCCTAACACTACCGGTCGTTGGGGCCTGCGGTGAATGAGTCAAGTTATCTGTGTCTGGTCCCTCGTGTAGTCGTCTCTGTAGTCAGCTTTGTCATAAAAAATGGATGGCAGTGACCGCAAAATGCTGGCTTCCAGATGTTACCAGCTCGTGTATGCCGTGCACTAAGCATTGGGACCCTGTAGCCATCTCAAGCTGTCCCTCGCGGCTGAGCTTCGGATTATGTACACGAGCCGTGCCAGAAGATTCTCAATAGGGCCCGGCCGTGTTTGTCTGGTGACAGAGGCCACTGATTAAATTATGCCTTTACAAGGCTGAGTTTAGTTTTGATCATACAGGCTGAATTTATGGCTGACCTATTCGGGTTTGAGATTACTCGCCAGCTTGTGTCACACATACAGCATTCCGAGTTGTACTTTGAGCCTTGGACCCCATGTCACTGCCGCAGATGAAGAGTCCACGCCTGGACAAAAGTAAGCCTGCATGAGAGTGTTCGTTTCAGCCTGGATGGCGCTTTCAAGGCCGGTAAGCCGGCACTGTCCTCTATACAACTTGAATTTTCTCCTCTGCAGCCCTCGCATTCAAACAGTGCCGTGGAGCAGGTAGTTATCAATGCAACGCACCAGACTGAGACGGTCGAAATAGGCGTCGAGGTTCGGACTGGTGCCATAGCGCTTTCGCCGTAGTGCTAAACATGATTTAAATTATATCTGAATCCGTAATATACTATGCGCCAAAGGATCTGCAGATATCGTTGCATCTTGCGAGCTCCTGAAAGGCTTGCCGGTGCCGACGTCTCCCGCTGAACACCAGGGTTGCCAAATACGGCCGTCCAGCACAAAGTAGGCGCCTGTGGCTGCTTTCGTTCGGGCCTCATCCAGGCGGAAAGTGACGGTTCGCTTTGATGATGTCAAATAGGTAACCAGATTTATGTATTCTCGTATGATCAAAGTTATGCCGAGCTTTACGGTGTCAGCTAGGCACTCGCAGCCGCGAACGCTCCTCCGACGCTTGCAAGGTGGTGCCAGCACACCACAGCTCTGAGTCGCGGACCAAAACAATACTGTCTCGATGTGAGTAGTCATGCTGTGTCTGACAATGTGGTGTGGCCGCTTAGTCTGTAGACGCTGATTCAGAAGCTGTTCATCCCCGATGAGCTTGAGCGCGTTCAACTTGAGGGACGGTATACTGTGATCACTGAGTCCTCTCTACCGCCTCCTCCTTCCTTTGACTCCAGGGTACTGAAGTGGCGAGACTACTCTTTTGCTGTGCCTTCCACACAGGTTCCGGTGCCGCCGCCGTGCAGTTGGTGCGTCCTCCGCGTTGACGTGTTCGACGTCGAGCGCGATGGTGGCATAGTGGATTGCATACAAATTAAAAGCGCTAGAGTTGCCAGCTTAGAGCTGACTGCTCAAGGCTGACATCGATGCCTAGTGCTATGGATCATTTATGACTCTGCGTACTTTGCGACGTTGCTGTGCGTAAATATCTCCGGGCATTCCTTTAACAATGACTCTCTCAGGGAATTCGAGCAGCTGGCTCACAGGCTTGGTTTACTGTCAAGGTGCGCTGACATACTTTCTTCATGAGGGACCTGCTCCTCTTTGGGAACCTTTGTTCGCCATTCCCGAATAGTCTTCCAACAAATGGGGATTCAAACCTCCGGGTCGCGCTGACGCCTTATGACTCAACAATGCGCACGACCAGACGCAATTCGACCCCAAAATTCCACTGCTAGCCTGCTCAATGAAATGGACATCGCTTCGCGATTGCGAGCGGCGAAAACCGATCATCTCAAGAGTTGCACTCAGAAACTAGTACGCAACGTTGCTCCGCGCTCAAGGTGATCCATGTTCCGCGAACATATCCTTCAGAACTTAACGGGGACAAATGAAAGTGGGGGTCCCGTTGGGGAACAACGTTTCTGTACAGATCGCGCAGACTTTCCGCTGAGGAGGTGCCACGGTGCGCAGGCGCATGCCCGGAACCGCAGACGATGCGGCGCGAATATGCTACGTGGTCACCTGTTCGCGTGCTTACTATGACAATTCCTTCTTCTAATACTCGCTTAGCGGTTCTTCGCTGTACCCGTCTACTATGCAATGTTATAAACCCGCTAATTGGCGTTTAATCCGACGACTCTGAATCTATTTGTGGCTGCTGAAGCGGTTCTGTGGGCTCATAGAGCGGCGGATTGTGGACATGGAGAATTGGAAGGCGGCCGCCACAACGGTTTCTCTTTCGGCTCCGCCGCGGCAAGCCCTTTCCAGGTGGGAAGCATCAGGAAAATACCATTTGTGGTACGAGGTGCACCGCCGTACTCGGTAGCGAGCAACGCCATGATGACATGCCCGAGAGTCGACACCGAGTTAAGCGACGGCATAGATGAACGCAGATATTGCGCTAAGGACAAAGTGCTAAACTTGGCTTGCCAATGTTCGGCTAGGACGTATATTTTTTCCAGCTATTGGGTCTTCCATATCTTTTGTCATCATTTCTTCGTCGTACAACTCGGGCCGCCACAGCACCTGCTCGTACTTTCTGCCCGTCAGCTGGGAAGCATAGCTACACGTACGCGAGCTTTACCTCGACTAACGTACGAACGCTGCTTCAATCCACAGTCTCCGAGACTATTGAATAGAACAACGTACGCCACACCTCTGGCGGACAGAGGCGCCCAGTCATGTAGCGCTGGAAAATGGAAAACCCCCGTGATCCACCGCATGCCACATCAACCACATGACACTCCAGAATCGCCGCTTCGCGCATTTAAAGACTCATTCTATACGACAGGTTACTATACGTATATAGGTCTTGGTAAGCTCAGTGATCAGCTTAACTCCAACAAGTGCCGTGATACTTATTGATGGCTATCTATTCGCTGTACAGATACTTCCATCTCTACCAGTCGAAATGGTCGCGGTGGTCTCTGAACTGAGAGTCAACTCAAGATACCACTTTCTGTACGTCATGCGACGCGTCGTACTAAGCAGGTAAGAGAACAAGGAACAGCAAACGAGATGCAAGTTTTCATTTGCCCGTGCAGTGTAGCGAATAAAGATCTGCCCTGCTATGCACGTTTGAGTAATATCCAGGGCATGTGTCAATGAGCTTCAAGCTTGCCGGTCCAATCCGAGTTCAACACAAGAGAGTAGGCGAAAATAGACGACTTGTTTCCTGAAGTGTGTTGAGCAAAATCTTGAACTAGGGCTATGTAGCAACACGCGGCGACGCGAAGTCCATCCCGCTAGCATGCGTTCTCGATATTTCTCGATGGTCAGCCCAAGTCCACAACATTGTGACGAGCTGACTAGGCTCTGCGTGTATGTCCATAAAACATACGTTGTAACGTGGTGCTCATGCCGGCGGCAAAATAGAAGTAAAAGCCATCCGCGGCCTCAGAACTGTACGTCATCACGACGTATTTTTGCCCGTGGCTGTCGAATAAGCGCACATTGAAGCCATCAGTGGTTCGATGATGATAACTGGACCTCTCCCGCGACATTACGACGAAGGGCACGCCGTTGTTCTGCATACTGCTCTATCAATGCCCGATTCCCCATGATGAGATACTGGGGTGCGTATTGCCCTTGCCCTGCACAACTGCATGTGGACGCAGCAGTCAGCTGTCAGGCGCAATGGTATCTGACCACCACGTTTGGCGGTCTAGTCATGTCCATCCAGAGACGCTAACGAATGGTTTAGGGCAGTCTGTGCACCAAGCTTCCCCGCAGCGATACATGCCTTCCAAGATGGGCACATAGGTTAAAGCGTCGAGGGCACATAAAAGCACGACCAAGAGCTATCTGCAGACCAACAGGATCTCCCGCTCCTGCCTGCCTCTTCAGCCTCCGCCTGCCTCCACACCATGTTCTGCAAAGCGACCTTGATCTCTGTGGCCCTCGCCCTCCTCGCCACCGCGAGCCCCGTCGTCCACGCACCCGGTGTCAAGGTTGCACTGGGGGAGCGCAGCACGCTGACCCGTGCTGACGGGACCTTCGACCACGAGAAGGCGATCCTGGACGGCGTCAAGACTCAGAAGTACGTTCCCCATCGCTCCCTGCGTCGCACCGCCGTGACTGACTGTACTCTGCCCTGCTTTTTGCAGCAAATACCAGAGGAACCTTCGGAACCTGCTGGCGAACACGGGCAGTCTTCCCGAGGGCTGGGAGATCAAGGACTTCGTCACTGTCCCTCCCTCTGAGAAGCGTGCCATTGGCATCGAGGCCCTCGCTGACGACCGGAACGTCGAATGGGTGGGTCCGATCGCCATCGGTACTCCCGGCCAGCCCTTCACCATCGACTTCGACACCGGCTCGTCCGACCTGTGGGTCCCCAGCGCGTCCTGCACGGACTCGATCTGCAGCGGCAAGAACAAGTACGATGCGTCAAAGTCTTCCACCTCTGCCCAGCAGAGCGGCACCTTCACAATCGTGTACGGTGACCAATCGACTGTCACTGGTCCCATCTACTCCGACGATGGTAAGCCGCCCGGGATTTATGACCATGGAGCTCAGCTGATATCCTCTTGTAGTGGCTGTCGCTGGGCTCACTGCCACCGGCCAATACTTCTCTCCAGTCACTTCGCTCTCGAACTCCTTCGCTAACAGCCAGCTTGACGGCATCTTGGGTCTTGCCTACCCTCGTCTCTCGTCTCTCGGCGGGGTATGTCTTCTTCTATCTCTTCTGCTCCCTGTACGGCACACTGACGCTTTCTGTGCGCCCCGTACCAGACCCCGTTCTTCAACACGCTGATCAACCAGGGCAAAGTCAGTGCGGGTGAGTTCGGCTTCGTGTTGGCCTCGGCTGGCTCGGAGCTGTACCTCGGCGGCACCGACACCTCAAAGTATACTGGCCCGATCGAGTACCACGGCGTCGACACGTCGACGGGATTCTGGCAGGCGACCGGCGCGAAGAGCCTCGTCGGCACCACGACCACAAACAGTGGCTTCAACACGATCATCGACTCGGGTACGACACTCATGTACGCTCCGCAGGCCCATGTCAGCGCCTTCTACGCGGCGATCCCGGGCAGCTTCGAATTTGACTATGAACACGGGTACTACGCCTACCCCTGTGGCTCGCTTCCGACCGTCACCTTCAACTGGGGAGGCAAGGCCTGGGAGGTCACTGAAGCCAAGTGAGCTCGAGCGGTGTCGCATTGCAGTCTGTGCTGATCACGCCCTGCAGCTTCAACCTCGGTCCGGTTGGCGGTAACCTGTGCGCTGGCGCGCTCGCCGTCGCAAGCAGGAGCCTCGGTCTCGATGACAACACCTGGCTTCTCGGCGATGCGTTCATGAAGAATGTCTACACCACGTTCTCGTTCGACCAGAACGCCGTCGGCTTCGCCACCCTCAAAGTCTAGAAGCCAAAGGTACTCGAGTGTGCAGCGGTCGCGAGCCCTAGCTTGACTGAAACTGAATAATTGGTTGTTGTACTGGTAGGACTATGGTAGCAGTGGTTCATGTCCAGGACTTGCTCTGTCTGTCTGTACAGACTCTTCGATCGCTGTGTGTGGGATGCCTTGAAAGTTGAAGCCTTCCGTAGAGCAAGCCCATCTCTGTCCCATATGATTATCATGTCCGTTTTTGGATCGATCAAAATGCCTTCACCATCCGCACAGCTCATCGTAGGCATTCGTAAAGCAATTGAGGCGGACGTTCATGGAGTTAGTCATCGGCCCCCGCGCTACGACGACAGCCGAAAGAGATAGACGCCGAAGCGTATATTAATCTTTTCGCTTTCGACCTTCACTGTGTCTCATCTCAACTTGCGGAGCAGCCATAGTTTCGCTGTGGTAAGTTACGACAGAGAGAAAGTATTGTTAATGGCGGTTTTACTGCGCGGCGCCGTCAGGGTCACTTTGCGATCTCCCTCAGGCTGTCAGCCTTCCGTAGGAACCAAGGTGCGCAGAAACCAACAAAAGTGAAGGCACTTGAAACTGACTATTCACGCGGATGGTGTCGTTCCGCAGAGATAGAATTTCAGATACTGTGCATGGCTCTGTCCTTCAGCCGACATAGTGACTCGTGCGCGCCCTGCGGCCTCTCCTTGTCCAGTAATCTCTTAGCGCGCCAGTCCCCGCAATGTTCAGAACTTGCTACTGGACGTTGTCTTTGGTGATATTGCGCACGGTTCATGGCCATATCTCTTCTGTTCGCTGGAGGGCCAGCGCCAGCCAAGTGTCGAGGGACAGAGGAGGCGGTCGCCGAGTCATCCCCGCTGACTCTCGGCTTCACTGAGCTGAAACGGCAGGGCTTGTTCCCTGCGCAGATTCCGACTCCACCGCATCCAATGTGCCCCGCCACGAAGATATGTTCGACGCGGAGCGCGATGATGGCGAAGCAAACTGCTGATAGCGCGCTCAGGTCGCCAGTCGACGTTCTCGCAATGTATTCGCAGGCTTGCAGCAGTGGAGATCTCATTCAATTGCGCGGAAAGCTTTGGGTATGGCCTCGTTAGAATGACCTGGAGGCTACGGTCTGCTCCGGTGATCGACCTGTCCGTCAAGTGGCTTGGCAGTGAGCACTACTTATCTGTTACTATTGCTCTGCATAACGCATAACGCCTTTGATTATGCTTTTTTGCACGTCCTCAGCATATGCACATTGCTTTCCAACTCCCCTCACTCCTGTTAACAACGCCTGATTACAACATATAGAGTCCGCACTCAAAGTACTACAACAGAGTCCGTATGCGAATGGTGTACAGGTCATCAAGTCCGTGGAATAAAGCGTCTGAATACGTCAACTGGTCAGAGTCATGAATGTCCAATATCTGTCGCCTTCGAACCCCTGCAAAGAGCGCCTCAAGTAAGTGAGACTACTCCTGTATGATCACTCCTGGTGCACTCACCTTCCGCGCTTAGAGGCCGCATACGCTGTCATCGACCTGCTGAGCCTGGGCGTTGATGCGTCCCAGGAAGGTAGCTTCGTTGTTCGTGAGGGCGTTCATTGCACCGAGCGCGATGTTGAAGCCCGACTGAGCGTGGTCGATGGCGAGCACGTTGATGGACGTGCCGTTGTAGGTGAGCTGCCAGCAGGTGCCGCAGTTGGGGTCGTTCCACCCTGCGATGGCGGCCGCGCCGCCGATGTTTGGGAAGTGCGGGAGGTTGCCGAAGTCGGGCCCGAGATCTAGATAAGGGACAACGCAGGTTAGAACTCGTCCGAGCGAAGCGGAGTGGTGGTCACTGACTCTTGGTGAGCAGCCCGTTGGGGCCGTCGGAGCACGCGACGGTGGTCAGAGAACCACTGGCGTTATCGTACATCTGGTCATAGGAGACGGTCACAGTGGTGGTGGCGGAGGGTGCCGCAAGAGCCGCGGAAGCAGCGAAGACGAGGGTGGCGACAGCGGCGAAGAACTTCATTATGATGGTATTAGAGTGAGTGGTGATTGTCCTGGCAGATGGAGTAGAGTACGTGAGGGATCTAGAGGGAATGCTGAGGATGCCTTTCCCTCCCGCTCGAGCTGGGTATTTTATACGGACAGCCAGCATGGGCGCCTTGAGCCAAATTTCCAGCCCATGCGCAGAATACGCGCATAATTGAGTTCCTGGACTCTAAGTCTGAAGATTGTCGGCAAAGGCTGAAGGCGTGAGCGCTCGCATCAAAGAATACGCTGCAACTGGCAGTATCAAGCATTCACTGTAGCCTCGACATAGAGCGCACAGTGGTCACAGAACAATCAGGGTCCTACGTGGAACGTCCGACAAAGGCCGACTCTTCGAGACGAGAACCAGGTCACGAAGGGTGTCGTGCAAGAGGCTGCGGTAGACTCTTCTGAGTCGTCTGACTGATCAGCAACCGCCTCCAGATTCATATCATGACGCATCTTGAACGGATTGCCGCGATTATCGCCCGTGCTTATTTCTCTCTTATGGGGGAAATCTGGAGAGGTGGCCCAGACCTCTATCGGCTCGCCTTGTGTTAACTCTGAGCCAGGCTCAGACATTCGACGACGTTGCAAGCGATATGCAAGGACGTGTAAGTCTGAGATGCAATTAGGTGTGTCGACGCGTCGCACGGGGTGGTACAATTTGCTGAGCTTCAAGACGGCAATAGAGGGGAATAGTGTGTGGGGACTGCCCTGTTCGAAGCCTCCCGAGTATCTCCGGAGCTCGGGCTCCATCCCTCGCCATGTCTCGCACTGTATGGAGAGCTCCTCGAGAGATGCCAGGAGGGGGAATAGCTCGCGCCATCGAATCACCCCGGTAATTGCGGGCTCGGCGAGGCACGCGGAACGAATGTTGGCCAAGGGGAGCTTTCGCATGAAAAGTAAAAGGAAATCGGGAGGAGGGGAAGCCATCTTGAAGCAGAAGCAGGCAGGGTATTTCGTGTCCTTTGCCTGCAGCTCGTCGAGCGACAGACGCTCCGTCCACAAGCAAACCGTCAGTCTCCAGTCAATTGTGGACACAACTGACAGAGATTGCGGCGGAGCGCAATCGATGGAGCTGAATTTTGCAAGGAGCGGATCTGCTGAGAGCTCGTACGAGGAACCTTCGAGGGTCCCTATAAATGACAGCCTGATGCTGGCAGATTTGGGATAGACAAGTCGACGGAGAAGGTGCGACGCTCTCACGTAGCAAGAGTCCCACATCTCAAGCGACCTGAGGCGCTGCAGTTCCGCAGACTGGCGAAACGGGAGCAGCCTCTGTTTCCCTTCGGACAGGTCGAAAGCGGTGAATGTGTTCCGAAGGACGAGCTCTTCGAGCTGCTGCAAGCTGTCGAGAAGGGAGACGAGCTCGTCCAGCAAGAGGGTCGGAGAACAGTGTTCTAGGGAGAGGCGGCGTAGTCCTGGTGGAAGGAGCTTGTAGAACGAGGATAGGCCGAGCATGTGACCGGTGAAGTCCTGCAAGTGCGGAAAGGCTCATCCCGGAAACAAAGGAGAAGAGAGCGCATGTGGGCCAGAATGGACAGAGACGGTCTTCAGGATCGATTCCGCTGGGTGCTGAGACTCCGGCAAGCTCGGTGTCCGGGTAGCATGGCATGCTGCGATTCGCGCCCACACAATGCGATCCAGGTGGTCGAGCACCCGGCTCTGCGCTTTAGTGCTAGGTGCTTCCCAGCTGGTCAAGACATCATATACATAAAGGGACATCGTCCCAGAGCGATCGAGCATATCCAACACGCACTCGGGCCTCGAACCAGAAATATGACTAGACAGCTGCGGATAGCTGAGTGCGACAGCTCGCCACGCCCTGCAAACATGCCTAATGATGAGCCATGCATATGGTCCGGGAGGGTGTCTGACGCGTGTGCGAGCGCGTTGAATGAGCAGAATGTAGCAGTAAAAGACTTCTGCTAGCAGCTCGGGTGGTAGATCCTGAATCCTGAACTGCGAAGAGGTGATATCTTGTGCTTGTTAGCGTACCGCTCGCTATTCAAGGAGCGGTATCCTTACCAACACTCCTAGCCTCTCTAAGCGAGTCGAATATGTGGTTGTAGTCCGGCGCATCACAAACGGCATTGGTAGCATGCCCATCTCTACTAGCGCTGCGCCTCATTTGAGGCAAAACACGAGGACAAGATATGCACGAATTAGAGCTTGTCGAGGTTCGAGTACAAGGCAAAAAAGGGACGATGTCGCCGTCGTGAGAAAGAGTGCTGGGGTTAGCGTGAGGGCTTTGTGGCGCCGGTATGTCCGATAATAATATTCTCGGCATCGAGCTGCTAACTTTGAGGCTAGTAAACACATTGATTATTGCACCTCGACTGGCAAATGCTCGTCCCAATTCCTGCAGACATCGTTAATTTAATTATCAAGTCGACGCCGCATATTGGCACCGAAATACGGCGAACTAGTTCTAGTGATAATGACTCCACGTATCTGGGCAATAGTCGGACGTGACAATTTTAATGGGCACGTTCAGGAACAACCAGTATCGGAGAGCGCATATGTTCAAATCTAGTCAAGAGCCTGTTCGAAGCGACCGACGAAGACTGGCGCCTCGAGACGAAAACCACGATGTGAATGGTGCTACGCAGGAGACCGCGGGAGGCTCCTCGCCAGGCTGGTAGCTGATTACTTCCGGATGTCTATCACGACTCGTCGCTGACAGATCATCATCCAGATACGTCTTCCTGTTCGGGCGGAAATCTTGAGGAGTCCAGATCTTTATCGGCTTGCCTTGTGCAAACACGGAACCACGCTCGCACGTTCGCCCACCCCGCAGGAGATGCACCAAGATGTGCAAGTCCGAGATGTAGCTAGTGTTAGCCATTTCTACGTGCCACATCGGTTTGTAAAGGTTGCAAAGCTGAGCGACGGTAAGGGCAGGGAATAGTGAGTGAGGAGAGCCCCGCTCAAAGTCTTCTGCGCGTTGCCAGATCTCGCGCTCCAGACTAGGCCACTCCGCGCATTGTATGGTGAGTCCCTCGAGGGACGTCAACGAGGGGAACAGCTCACGCCACGGAAATGCTCCAGTGACCCCAGGCTCAGCAAGGTGCGCGAAGCGAATGTCCGCGAGCGGAAGCCGTCGCAGGAAGACGCGAAGAAAAGTGATAGGAGGGGTGGCCATATTGAAGCAAAAGCAGGCGCAATCCCCTCTGTCCTTCTTTTCCTGTAGTTCCTCGAGCGATAGACGCTCCGTCCATAGGCAGACCCGGAGCCATTGATCAATTGTAGACACGATCAACAGAGACTGCGGCGAGCTGCAGTGAATGAACGGGTCGCAGTTCATAGTATCGAATCTTGCAAGGAGCGGATCGACTAGCAGCTCGGAGTCGTACGGAGGGTTTTCGAAAGCGCCTACAAATGATAGCCTGATGCTAGCAGTTCCGGGATAGGCGAGTCGGCGAAGAAAGTGCGACGCTCTCACATAGCAATGGTCCCACAAATCAAGCGTCCTGAGACGCCGCAACGCTACGGACTTGCGAAACGAGAGCATCCTCTGTGTGCCTCCGGATAGGTCAGAAACGGTGAACGCGTTCCGGACCACCAACGCCTCGAGCTGCGGCAAGCCGTCGAGGAGGGAGATGAGGTCGTCCAACAACAGGGAGGGAAAACAATGGTTGAGGGAGAGGCGACGCAGTCCTGGAGGAAGAAGTGTGTGGAACGAGGATAGGCTGATCTTCCAGCAGGTGAAGTCCTGCAAGCGAGGAAAAACCCATCCCGGAAACAAGCGACAGGTGAGCCCGATATATGGTCGAGCGTGAATCGACATGGTCTCCAAAATCGACACTGCCGGGTGCTGAGATCCCCGAGGGCTTGGCGTCGGGACGGAAAGGTGCACTGCAATTCGCACCGAAACGATACGGTCCAGGTGGTCGAGCACCTCTCTCCGTACTTCCATGTTGAATTCCATCCAGTCGTTCAAGATGTCATGCACATATAAAGGCACCGTCCCAGAGCGGCTGAGCATGTCCTGCACGCATGCGAGCTTCCGAGATGGATAGATATGACTAGACAGCTGGGGATAGGCGAGTGCAACGGCTCGCCACGCCCCGCAAACATGCCTAATGACAAGCCATGCGTATGGTCTAGGAGGGTTTTCGATGCTTGAGCAGGTATGGAAAATTAGCAAAATGTAGCGGAAGAAGACCTCTGCCAGCAACTCGGGTGGTAGATCTTGGATTCGGAACCGTGAGGGCCTGACATCTTGTGCTGGTCAGAGAGACGTTTTCTATGCGAGAATGACATCATTCACCAATGATTTTAGCCCTTAGCGAGCCGAATATGATGTTATAGTCTGGTGCATCGCGAACACCAGAGCAATTGCGTCTGGTGAGAGCAGAAGAATCTAGAGTTTCAGCAACATCATGCTGTACGTGCGGACTCCTCTGCTCTCCGCGCTTCCAATGCTTGCGTAGCGCAGAAAAACTGGTAGGCATGCGTTTCAAGCCTGTAGTCAGGCGAAAATGGGCTGGCAGTGGTGGATGTCAAGAGTAAGCCAATCCATCACGCATCAAGCTGAAGTGCAGGCGCTCGATTAGCAATGCGGCCGCAAACAGTCATCCCGTCTCACGACCATCTTGACGAGATTTCTGCCTAGCAGACGTACATCACTTTCTGTTCGAATAAGTATTAAATAATGACATATCTGCAGCCTTGAACACAGGAACTCAATAAGCTCGGAAGGTGAACGGAGCATGGGAATATGCACGATACATCATGCATCATTGTCTGCTGCGTCGTAGAGACCTGCGTATACGAGATGCACGAGATGCAAACCAGGTTTTCAGCCGGGCTGAGCCTCGATCCCCGTCCTCCGGTGAAGACTGAGTCAGGTGTGTATGCCTCAGCGCCTCCGGATGCATATCCAGGAAAACGAGGTCTTCGCACAGACAAACTTTACCGTCGTCCTCGTGGAAGTCGAGAGCGTGACGCTCTATCGTTATGCCCCGCTCCAATCCAGACATGGACTGATTGCGCGTAGCAAGCATCTGTTCTGCGTGCTGAAGAGTTGAGAATGGATGGAGCGCCGCGGGGGGCAGCGCCGAATGCAGGTGGCGACGCTCCCATACGTGCACGTTCCTCACGTTGGGCAGCATTGCAGACATCGCACTGTCGCCCGACGAGACCGCCCAAGACATATTTGCGACGCCATTGTGGAAGGTCTCGTACTCGAGGCCGAGCTCCTCCACGGACGATAACGAAAGCAGGATGCTGTCCCAAGACAGGGACCCCGTGACAACAGGTTCCATTAGCAACGCAGCCTTGACGTTGCTCAGCGGCGCCAGAGCCAGGAGCGCAGCGATGAGGTCCCCATTAGTGCTCGGACAGCAAAACGAGATGCAAGCCGACTCTCCGGTCTCTCGCTTTCCCCGAAGCTCGTGTACAGGAAGGCGATCTCGCCAGAAGCGGAGCTCCAGATCGGTAGTCGAATGCCTGTGGATGGTGACCGACTGTGGCTGAGAAGGGATGACGCACTGTATGCGATTCGCACTTCCGAATTGGTCGCGAAACACTTCCGCCACTTGCTGATAGGATGTATCCTCGTCTATATGAAGGAGTTGGAGGCTCACTGACGCGAAGGGCGGATAGATGAGACGGCCAAGGGCGGCAACCGAAGCATGAGAATCGTCCACGATTTTGAGGACGCAAAGATGTGGAAGAGAGACAGGGCCTTGATATGTGGTCGTAGCAATAGCATTATCCGCGGGCAGCGTGTAACTGCGGAACGCGTTCTTTAGCACCAGCTCCTCCAGCTGAGTCAGCCGACTAAGGAGGTCTAGGAGATAGTCAACAGATGGCACAGGAATGCATTGACAGAGCTCGAGTCGGCGTAGGCTCGGGCCTAATATCCGGTTGAAGGGTGCGAGGCTGCCAAACGAGCACGAGAACTCTTCCAGACAAGGAAAGTCAAAGTGTGTAAAGGCTGGGCGTGTACGAGCGGGGATAGAGTACTGGTAAATTCTGAAGGAGCGAGCAATCGAAGCGACTCTTCGCGTGCTTGTCGAAACAGGAAGTGGCGGTGCAATAGGATCTGGGATGAGGCCGGGAAACTGGAGCTGAGCGGAGACGATGCGTCGCATGTGGCTAAGCACGACTCCACGAGTTACTTTATTCCTCTCGGCATCCGTGTCCGGGTGTTCGTATACATAAATTGGGGCGTCTGCGGACCTACGCAGCATATCCGTAACGCATTCCGGTGAGGTGATGCAGATGTAGCTTGATAGCGCCGGATATGCAAGCGCGACCCTTCGCCAGCTACGACAGACGTGCCTGATGACAAGCCATGCGTATGGTTTTGGGCGCGGGCCGGTGGGTGCTCATCCTCGAAGTCTTGTAGCTCTGGTCGCGCGTTGTATAGGATTAATATATACCACAGAAAGCATTCAGCCAATATCTCGGGCGGAAGGCAGTCAATTGGCACATTAAAGCGTAGCGCACCTAGGGTCAGATTAGCAGCCTCAAGTGGCAATATTGTTTGTACCCACGCAGCTCGCCATGCCACCTCAAATGCCCAAAAATTTTGACGTAGTCCACCAGCTCTCGAGTCCCCAGCGTACTACGCTCGACTTGTTGTGAGGTTATCGGATTTCCGCGTCGCCCTTTGGATAAAGAAAGTCTTTTCATTAGTATAGCAAACTGCGAGGGTGTGGGCCTGAACCTGAGACAACGTACAAGCTCAGGTGAGCGCTGTTAGCACTGGCCTGATGTCTCAACCTAGCAAAACGACGGCGTAGTGCGTGAGCCCATCTTTCATACACAGGGCCCCGGGAGATTGCGTGTACCAGGTTTCCAGGGGATTGCCCGCAGATCAACGTCCAGATAGCTGAGGTCCAAAATCCGTTCGATTGTTGTCTCACAACAGCCGGATTTTGACCTGACAGCAATCTCGCTTCGGGTCTCAGGCCTCAGGTGGGATCAAGCGCCCACCGCCCACCGCAGATTCGCACAGTGGGACGCGACGTGCAGAAGGCTTCTGCGCCAGATATCAAAGATATATGTAGCGGTCCCAAGTGTATATATGATGTGGAACAAATAATGCTGCTGAGAGGTCTCGCCGTCTGTCTGCTCAGCGCCACGCAGTGGACAGGGGCGCAGGTCTGCAGGAAAGCATCGTCGGGATCATGAGTATCGTCCTGCTGATCTTCATAATGTCATCATGATTCGTATCGTCATCAGATGTGCTGTGATGACCAGAAAAACTATGACTATGCCTGACTTCATCTGCGGCTATAACCGTCTCCCGCCATCTGTCATGGCGATCACAAGCCGGTAATGTCAGTGATACAAGATCTGTCCTACGAGCGGGGAAAATAACGCACTGCCTGGATCAACATCTTTGTCGTCCGATGCAGGTACGACGGATGCTGCTGCTCCGGCATGCTCGGCAGGGCGGCCGACACATATTGCATCACAGTACGGGCCGCCCTGGTGCAGTATAGGCCCTCACTTGTACTAGGAGACAGCTCGGAAGGCGGTAGATGCGAGGTGGCAGGGGCAACTAGAGAAGCGAGGAACAGGTTACTAGAGGGAACTTGCCCATAGGCCTTCAATGTACCTCTGTGCTCCTCTGGCCTCACACGGGTGTATCCCGCTTCGTACCATGCGGAAAAGCTTCAACTAAGAATCGGATTGCGAGATATACCAAATCCGGCTGATAGTGATTACAGCAGAGCCAAAAGTGTAATCAGACAAAAATCGAACGGATTTTGGACAGGAGCGCTCAGATTCTGCTGCAATCGGAATCTGGGTCACACGATTATCAAAATCCCGCAGATAGTGCCCAGGATGCTGTCCGCGGGGGCCCTGTGTACTCTTTGGCCGAGATCTCTTCGGCCGAGGGGATGACTCAGCCCGATTTGAGCACCGCAAAGTCTCAGAAGCGCCGCGCTGCAGTCACCGTTTCTTCGACACCTCCACCAACACCCCATCGGCAGTCGTGCCTGTATAGGAAGTTTTTACTCAGTCATATAGTGAAAGACTTAGCAAAGTAGCGTGGAACAAATGTAAATGGTATCATAGAGCATACAGCACATGCCACCTCATCGCGCGCAAACCACATTAACGCATCTTCACCATGAGTAGATACCGCAATCTGATTTGTGTCGTATCGTATACGATATACTACACCAACACATGAGCACCCGCACACCCGCACACCAGAGAAAGAACACGCACCTCGTTGTACTGGAGCCACAAGTGCGGCATCTGGTCCGTCGGTCCGGGGGAGACATCGTGGGCGGGGCCCTTGGGCATGTGCACGCCCTTGAGCTCAGGGTTGCCAAGCGCCTCGCCGGCATCCTGCCACTCCGCGGGCTGTGTACGCCCGAGGCCCTTGGTCGCGCGTGCGCCGGCGGTGCGACAGCCTTGGTCGGCATTATACTCGGCGTTCACACGCTCGTAGAACGGCTTCGCGGCGACCTCGCATAGGAGGAGCAGGCCCGTGCCGTTACTTAGGTTCGCATAGCAGTAGTTAGCGGACTTGGACATCATCTGGTCACAGCGTCGTCAGCGTACGAGACTTGGGTTACGGGAGCAGAGAAAGACGTACGTCGGCGAAGTATACGCCCTTGCCGAACATGTAGCCGGTGGCAGGCGCCTCAGGCGGCGCGATGCGCAAGCCCTGCTTGAGGATGCCTGCGAAGTTGGTTGTGCGCGAGCCGTGCCAGAGCAGCAGCCGTTCGCCGTCCGGTAGCGCGGCGTTGCCCGCGGCAACAAACGCGTCCGCCTCTTCATGACGCTCGACGCGGAACGCATTCATGACTTGCGCTCGGATGTGGTGCGTTGCGCCATGCGTGTCCCGCACGTATCGCTTGAGTGTAGCCCACTCGCCGCTCCCGCGCGTGACCGGGTCCATTGCCGTCAACTGCAGACTCTTGAAGTGTCCATCGAGTGGGTTGATCGGCTCTCCCGTGAGATGGTCCTTCGAGACGGTCGATGAGATCAACTTGGAGGCGACTTCCATGTCGCCGAGCGCATCTACAAGGTCGAGCTCGCGCTTGAGGAGCTGGACGCTGTTGATTACTGTGGGACGGTTCCGACCAAAGTTATGTGGGATGATCCTGAGGAACGGCGAACGAGCGGTGGTTGGCTTCGTCGAATACACTCGGCTAGGACCAAGCACTTACGAGTAGTAGCGTTCGGTTAGAGTTTGTGCGGCGCCGTCAAGGCCTCCCAGGTTCCTAGAGGTCTGGCCGCTCGGGTCCTGCAGGACCTCGGAGAGCGTCTGCGTACAGCGTAAATTCGCACATCATGGACAAATAGCCGTAGTTGACCCACTTTGAGGGCGGAGAAGCCATTAAGGATGGTAGACTTTGCGAGTTTACCGAGAGGAAGTTTGTTCGCGTCATAGTTCATCGAAGACAGGTGGGCATCGATGAGCCTACCGACATACAGTCAATTCCTTCACAATCTGCCATATAACCATGTGTAAGACGTACTTGGACGAGAACATAAGCCTGCACAGCTCCTGGACCTCAGGCGGCAAGGTCGAATCGGGGATTTTCTCGGACTCCTCGTCCTCCGCCTTGCCCTTGCCTTTGTCGTCCGCTTTGTCTTCGTCCTCGAACGAACGTTCAATCCACGTGTACTTGCCTGGGCGTGCCACCATGTTGAAGCGTGCCTCCCAGCTCACGGCTGCTTTCTTCTTAAACTGGTCTTTGAACTGATATATGCCTATTGAAGGATTGAAGGGGCCCTTGACCTGCTTCTGTCCCGTCTCGCCGACGCGGCCCCAGCGCGTGAAGAGCGTTACGCTCGAGTCGTTGCCGATCGGATGCAGGAGCTGAACGACATAGAACCTGCGGGGAAAAAGGGTTGGTGAGAGAACAAATAGATCAGTGGGTATGTACACACTTGTTCGAGTTCTTCCCGATGTTGGTTTGGTTGAGCATGGCATCCCAGACACCTTCGGTGTTGGTATAGACCTGATGCGTGTCTGATACGGCGCATTAGCGAGGATGTGGCGGCACCGGCATGGGCGGCATGGTACTCACCGACCATCCCAGAATGCGGGTCGACAGGCGCAGCACCACGTTTGACCACAGTGACCTACACAAGGACTCGTTAGTTCGACGCGACTTCGTGCGTTTATCCAAGCACATACCATCTTCTTAGCTTCCTCCCTTTTATCCTCCTCCTTGCCGTCTTTTTGGTCCTCCTCATCGTCCTTCTTAGCGTCGGATGTCTTAGCTTTCTTCGATTTGGGCTTTACTTCCTCTTCCTCCGCATCTTGCTCCTCTTCCTCGTCTTCGTCTCGGGTACGTTTGCCCTTGCCCTTTGCGGTGGTCTTGGACTTAGTAGCGGCACCTTTGGCCTTCGTTTTGGCCGCGGCGGGCTCCGCGTCGGCGGGTTTGTCCGACCCAGCCGCGCCGTCGGTAGTGACGGCACCGTCAGTGGCGGCAGTGGCAGCCTTTGCGGCGGTGCGTGCGCTGGAACGTGTCGCCCTGGCTGCAGGTGCAGGTGCAGCGTTAGTGCCATCGGTCGTGGCGGCGGCGGCTGCAGCGGCGGCTTTCTTTCTCGGAGGCATGTTTGCTAGCTACGCCGTGTTAGAGTGGCCAGTTAACGTCTGGAGCGGGGAGAAGGGGCGTTTTAGGCGTGGTTGGCTGTGGGCAGGAACAACCTGGGTGTTCTCTGGACATTTCTGCCCTGGATGCACGCCTCTTTATACCTGGTAGGTTTGGCCAGGGGCCGTGGGATGCCAGACGCGTATTCTCTGATGGCGCGATTCGTCGGGCTTCAGTGCCCGTACTATTTCATATATGGTACGAAGCGCATCAGCTATGTGTCAGAAGACCCGAGCCCCGCGCGTCGGCTTACCCAATTGGGGACGTATGCGGTGCCGACCCGTATGACTCGCGCGTCGGGTGATCACAATGTGCGTCGGAATGTCGGCATGGCTGGGCAGAGGGTTGCCTTGGGGCAGGATGCTCCAACATCGCGCAAGACATCTCCCGACGCCCCGACGTACCCGGCGTCTCCGATAATTAACCTCACTTAGCGTCCTGCCAACACCTTCCTTTCCCGCCGACAACGATATTCCATCCCCGTTGCCTACTAAGTAAATTTGTATACTCTTCCATTGAGCTCAATCCACTATACCTGATCCCACTAGTACTACGTCATCGTCCGACGTTCGCGAATTGTAAGGGCTTGCCGCGAGTGACGATGCCCACTAGGTCTACCAACACCTACTCAGAAACGCCGGCCATCGATGCAGGCTCTGTCGATAAGACGGTGAAGATCGAGCTCATTCCTGAAGTAGCTGAGCTCAGCCTTTCGATCTCGACGCCGGAACCGAGCCTGCGAAGGTCGACCAGAAAGCGAACCATCTTATCAGTCAAGGAGGAAAGTGACACCGAAGATACTCCTGCAAATTCCACTTCGAAAAGACGTGTGCGAAGGAAGGATGCAAGCAAGCAAGAGGCTAACGATGGCGACGTACTTCCCACCCTTCGGTCGACCGGAACACCCAAGATTGCTGCGAAGCGCAAAGTAGCACGAAAAACAACATCGTTGAGCCCAACCAAAGTCAAAAGGGAATATGCTCCGCCTGAAGCATACGCTCACCTCGAGTATCTAACAGACTACTTGAAGGAGCATTTAGATGGTAAGTGTTCCAAACGGCCATTGCACAACTCTCGTTAACGCCTCCATTGCTTCTGTGCAGTAATGTTCTGCGGCATCAAGTATCGTACCTGCCAATTCTCATCGCTAGCTTGTAACTGACTCGTCGTACAGCCCGGGTTGCGTATCAGCCGCGGTTGGTCACCACTTTGCGCACCCCACGAACCACTTCTGGCGTGCATTGCACCTCTCGGGCTTCACTGATCGACTACTTAAGCCTTCCGAAGATTCGACTCTCCCAAAATCGTATAACGTTGGGCTGGCACGTCGTTTGTCTCTCCTCGCCCCACATAAGCTAATTTCTGTATGCAGACGGACCTCGTCGCACGCCCTAGTGCAGAGGTAAGCTCCACATTGTATCAGTTCCGCCAAGGTGTTCTCATCCCAAGCTGGCCCACAGCAAGCAGAGCTGTCAGTCGACGACATGCACACCGGCGTCCCCGTGCTATTAGCTAAGATCGTACGCTACATGCCGCGCGTCTTGTGCTTCGTGGGGAAACAAATCGGCGAGACCTTCCTCACTCAGGCGCTCTCCGTCACATCTTCATCGCCCAGCGGTGAACTAGAGCTCGCTGCAGAGACTGAGGCCCCCGGAACGGCGGACAAGACAAAGAAGCAGGCGAAGCCCAAGAAGCCCAAGTTCGCGAATGGCTTCCAGCCATACAAGGTCGTCCACGCACCAGGTAGCATCGTGCGCGAGACACTGTTCTTTATCATGCCGAGCACATCCGCTCGCGTCACAGGATATCAGGTGCGCTCTCACCTTTACCTTATGTCTAGCATTAGGGATGACTAGCTTTGTCTGTGTACGCTGACGATGTCTCCATGGTAGTTGCAAGACAAAGCGAACATCCTGCGGACGCTGTATGACGAGGTGCAACGCATGAAGGCGGGCGAGGGCATGGACACCTGCAACATGCGTGTAATCGGGCTGCCTGCCGTCAAGGCGGAGCCGTAGGTAGCGGGCGAAGGACATGGATTAAAGGATGAGTTGTTTCTTCGCTGTGCGTATCTCTGCTACTTTACTTTGATTATAAAATTGCACCGTGATTGTCTAGTAGGTCTAGCGTACAATTTTCAGGTCAACTGGCTTTGTTCATGCCTGTTCGCGCCAACCTGGCTGCTTCTGCCGTCGCGACGGGAGTTGGCAGTGTCCGTTAGAAAGTTGCGCTGTACACCTTCGTAACGTGCAGATGCGTAGAACACGGTGTTCATACCTTTCAATACCCGCAGTTCACGACTTTCATTGCTCGTTGGCGAGGGGCTCGGACTGAAGGAGTCTTTCGCCCGGCAATCTTCCATACAGCTTCTTTGAATTGGCGTCCATGTCGTGATTGGGAGCCGGCGCCATGTGGGATAAATGTTCAAACGTTCACGCCCAAGCTTCAATGCTTCAAGCTCAAGTTCGCACGACCGTGATGCTGTGCGCTGCCGACTGCGGGCGCTCAGTCCCTCCTCTCCCGCTGTAATCCATCATATTCACGTATGTCCGACATTGGATTGCGCGCGTGGAGCATTGTCTCGAAAGTATTATGTGAGTTTGTGGCTTGATTACCTGTCTTGCAAGCACTAGACTTTTGGCCAACAGGCTGCGTCCAGCGCAGTGGAACGCGCTCCGTCGAGGATGGCGAAGCGTACAACTTATCGCAGAGAGACAACCACACTCCACAGACCGTAAGTGTCCACGATCGGCGGTGGTCGTATAATATTGAAAGAGGCCGACTGGTCTAGAATGCCGGCACAGGGAACATGCCTACCCCTGCCGCTCCACTGATCCGAGATCGGCCTTCGAGGGTACGACACTTCGTGCTCAAGGGGACATCGGTGAGGATCCGAGGCTACGACGTTCCCTGGGAGAAGAACGACGTCGGGAAGATACCTGTTTTCTACGGCGGACTGCTGGGTCCCCCGACAGAATCTTGGATGCTATACCGTGATCAAAGGGAGTGGCGAAGGAGCGCATGGGGACTAGCGCAGATTGCGCTATTGGGCGCCGCGGCAGAGGAAAAACTCTTCCAAACTTCCGGCCAGGGGGAACGTTTCACCCTCAGACCGACAACTCGCTCTTCCGTTCCTTTCCAGTGGGTACATGTAGGCCCCGGCGCCATTCCTGATACACTTGCCGACCTTTCATGCGCCACCATGAGCATCGCAGATCTCCTTCACAATCTCAATACCGTCCTTGGTGCAAATCATCTGCTGGGTACGGAAGGCATCGATGACTTGCTCGAGGAGATTAGAAGAACGTCGCACGATTTTGGAGAAGCTTATGGCAAAGTGCGAGCCTGGTGGACGGGGCCGGAGCTTGGTAGAATGGGGAGGAGGCTATATGCGATGCTACGCGAACACGAAGCGGACGACGAGGCCTTCCGACAGCAGGTCACCCAAGGATTCGCTCTTCAAAAGTCAGGCGTACGTCCAAGGCGTGTCTGGGACCTGTACAGCAACCGCGTCCTACCAACTGCCACGGTTCCAGAGTATAAATATGATCGCAGCCCGCGAAGCCTACCTTACCAGCTGTGGACTGTGTCCCATAGCTGGGTGGCCGAAGAAGAGCAGGAGAATATCTGGACACCTGTCAACAACAACCAATGGCCTGTGCCTCTACCGCGCGCTACGAGCTTGGGGCACGTCCGTGTCGAGCTGCTGAACATGGGCGCCGAGTACGTCTGGCTCGATGTGCTGTGTCTAAGGCAGCAAGGTCGCAAGGAGGACGAGGCCCAGCGGATTGAAGAATGGAAGATCGACGTGCCCACGATTGGATATATTTATCAAGGTGATCCAGATGATAAACGTCGGCCGTGTATCACATATTTCAACGGCCTCGGGCTCCCTCTCGACACGTCGCCAAACACTTTGGCGTCCGGTAGACACTGGTTCAACCGTGTATGGACGCGGCAGGAGACCTTATTATCCTGGCTGCCCGGAGGTCTGACAGGGGAGCCGCTTACCGACGGAGAGGAATTCTTTTCCCGCTTGAGGGCCCTTACTGAGCAAGCCGATGCACAGAGCGAAGGTCTTGCAAAAGAGCTAATGGGCCGTAGCTGCACCAAAGAGCTGGACAGGATCGCCGGCCTCGCGTACTGTCTGCGGTGCCCCACCTTACCACTCTACAACGAGGCGGTCCCGGTGGAGCGTGCATGGGAGCTTCTTTTGAAACACGTGCCCGATGGTTGGCGTACGGACGTATTCCTCCGCAACCCGGCAGACACACCTTTCGCACTCTTTCCTTCATGGAGAGGATATGGGACCGCCGGACCCGCCCTCTATGGCACATTGCTCGACGGATTGAACCCCCTGCAGCTGGTGGACCAGTCTCAACTTTACACCGGCGACCCAGGACAATATTATCATATCGCAGATTTCGTTGGACCCTGCCGGATTACGTGCACTAGCCACAGTACGACAACGGAAAACTGGCCGCCGGGAGCGCTCAGGCTTCGTCTTGACGTCAAGGGCGCATCGACCTTTACGTTGGTGCCCGAGGGCATACACGGCGTGGTCCTACAGGATGCGGTCTACACTTTGATTCGGTTTCGCGGGTACTACAGAGAGGAGGAGTGTTGGGTCATAGCGGAGATTATTGAAGATCGGGATGCTCGAGGATTCGAACGTCCCGCCGTCAAAGCAGTGAAGTGGGCCGTCATGCGCATTATTCCGGACTACCGGTCAAAATCGTCACGGAAGACCAATTGGACCCCAGTCGATTACTGGGCTAAAGTGTGGCGGAATAGCAAGCAGGGAAATGTAATGTACATAACTGGAGAGGAGGCGCAGCAACGGACGAAGTACAAGGATCAGTATATAGCAGCATTCGAGAAGATTAGAGCACTTGGAAAGACGTTTATCATTACCTAGCTACCCTATTATATTCCGGCATTGTGGTGGCGCAATAAAACAACTGTCTACAACCGGCTACTCCGTAACTTCATGCTACGGCATTATCGGCGACACTGCTAGTGCCAGCCGCAGTTTTCACAGTACTAGCTGTACGCGCACCATAATTAAACGCGCTGAATAGTCGCAGACGCGGATCCCTGCAAACTGACCATGCGTATAGCCTGCAGAAGTGGCCAAGAGGCTGTCCAAGAGTGGTAGCGGTTCGGAAGAGCGAGCCTTCAAGCTTCAAGCTCAGGCGTCTCCGGCTCAGGCAACATGCGCATCTTGTGAGTAATGCGTTATTTCGTCTCAAGAACAGGGAAACCGCGATACCAGAAGATGACCGGCCAAATAGCAGTAGAGCAGAGATTAGATCTCACCGGGCACGTAAGCGGCAGTCATGCACGATAAAACCCAATCAAGAGACCATTTGGAGCGACTGACGAAGACTGATGCCCCGAGACGAGAACCAGGATGTGAACGGCATCATACAGGAGATTACATGAGGCTCCTGGTAAGACAAGATACTAACCATTTCCGGATGGCTTTCAAGATGCGCCTCTAGGAGTCCGTCGTCTACACACCTCTTCCCATTCTCGTGGAAGTTCGCTTGAGTAGTCCAAACTTCTATCGGTTCGCCGGTCGCAAAAACCGAGGACGATTCACGTCTTCGCCACGTTTGTAGTAGATGTGCGAGGATGTGCAAATCCGAGATGTGGCTGGCGTTAAGTGCACCCACGCGCCACACGAGGTGGTAATGGCCGCAGATCTTCGCGACAGTGAGAGCAGGAAACAGCGAGCGAGGGCAGTCCTGCTCGAAACCTGACGCGCGTCTCCAAAGCTCAGGCTCCATGTCGCCCCACGTTTCGTACTGTATGAAGAGCTCCTCAACAGATGTAAAAAAGCGGAACATCTCATGCCATCGCACCTCGCTGGTAGCCACGGGTTCGGCAGAGTGCGCGGAACGAATATTGGCTTGAGGGAGCTGCAGAAGGAGTGTGTGGAGAAAGTCGGCGGAAGGATAGAGCATGTCGAGGCAGGAGCAGGCAGGGTTCTTCGCATCCTTTGCTCGTAACTCTTCGAGGGACAGACGCTCCCTCCAGAGGCATACTCTGAGCACCAGGGAGATTGTGGAGACGACTGGCAGAGACTGCGGCGGGGTGTGGTCGACCGAGTTGAATTTTTCAAGGAACGAATCGACTAGAAGCTCGTATGGAGGGTCTTCGAAGACACGCAGAAATCTTAACTTAATGCTTGCAGATTCCGGATAGACGAGTCGGTCGAGAAGGTGTGACCCTCCCACGAGGCACTGGTCGCGCACTTGAAGCGAATGGAGCTGACCTAATACCGCGGTCTGGCAAAATGGGAGCAATCTTGGTTTACCCTTTAACGAGGCGGAAGTGGTGGATGCATTCGGAAAAACGAGGTTCTCAAGCTGCCCAGCTTCTCATCCAAGTCAGCCAGTGCAACTTAGATAAAGCAAAGAGATGTACCTTCCTTAAGCTAGCCCATGTCAAATTGATGTTGCTTGCAGCAATGTCGGAGAAGAAACCGGCTGCTCGGCACGGACTGGAAATTCCCGCTCCGATTGAACCTTTCGATCACTCTACACTTGCAATTGCATCTCAGACGTAAAAAACCAGTGCACGCTTTTGTTTTGACAGCGACTAATAGCATCTGGCCCCTCGACCAGCTGTTTCACTCGTGCGACCGCAGTATGCTCGATCCCTACAATGGAGCCGTGCGAGAAGTCAAGGAACTATATGGTTATGACATGGATAGGAGGGCCTACACATTTCTAGTGGTTGAGGGTCCGGTCCTAAGGACCGGTTGGGACCGGGACTCAGACTGAGACTGGACTGATTAGGACTGGGTACAGTCCAGTCCTACATCAGTCCAGTCTTGGTCATGGTCCTTGGTCCCAGATGGCCTCGGATGTTCTTAGGACTGGTCATGACCGGTCAGGACCAGTCCCGGACTGAACAAAATGCGACAAAATGGTGGCAGCCAAGCATTGACTTAGCTACCAGCAGATGTATATTTTGATTTCTGAATAGCTGCCACAATTCCGTAGGCTTATTCAACTATACAGGGGTGTTTAAGCACAGATCAATTCATTGTTCAAAAGTACTCTAATTTAGACTTATTTGAAGGCAGTCGCACATTCAGCCAAAGCTGCTGTGTGACGGAAGTGTGACTGGCTTACCGGCAGATGAGATCAAACTATATAGGACATCCGGCATACGCCGGAGTTCTCTGACCGCCTTGTGGGGAGTGACATACCAGAAACAGTAAAAAAAAAACAATTCCACATCAAGATGGCAAAGTCTGCTGAAAAGAAGGCGGTAAATGCCACGGTGAAGAAAGCCGCTGGGAAGACATCCGCAACACTTACTGCTAAACGCAAGGGGCAGTGCAGTCTCCGACTTAGAAGACAGTGACACCAATGACGCAGCAAAGGAAGCGGCCAAAGCGTCTGCGCAAACCGTCCCGCCGTGCCAAGGAGGCCAAAGGAAGCTGAAAAGATGAGGACACAGGGGAAGACGACAC